AATATGCTTCTAGCTTCAGACTGGCTCGCAGGAGTCTTTCATTCGAGCAACTCACTGGGTGTTTCTCCGTCGACGCAGTGCCTTTCTTCCAAGCCGTCAACCTTCGTTGTAGTTGGCCCAATCTCACCACGCTCTCACTGACGTGCAGCCTTTTCGCGATACCCCAAAAACGTGGAAGGATAGTGGCTCTTCTGGAAAAAAATTGGAAAGACGGCGCAAAAAATGCCCCAGCTCCGGACCCTCGATATCTGGTACGGAATGAGGCATCACGCAGCGGCGTTTAGGCATCGTGTCGCCGATAACCTAATCATAATCTCATGGCGAGGGACATGGGACCTAAATCTGGGGGCTCAAAAAGACGAAGCCATCGCGACGGCGTGGAAAGCACTCGCAAGGCTGCAGGGCAACCGCACTCTCTACGTTGCCAGTTATCGACCAGTGAATGTCGAAGATGTGACATCCCACGCGGCGGCGATTCGTCTGATTGAGATTGGCCGGAATGTTATTCACCCGGCATCTTTGGAAGAGATTTCCAGGGAGACTAAATATCATTTTCCCACTTGACACTCGCTCTTAGAAACGGTATTTTGGCCAGCTATTTTGTTGTTGCTCGAGAGGGCTTCTACTCCACTGCGAAGTGTCATTTCTTGGTGGATATTGTGGCGTGTTCTCGGTTTGAACTATTATAATCTGGTTACCAAAGGCTGGGGCGTAGCCTTCCTCTGACCTAGCTGTTGCAGCTTTACTGAACCTCTTGATAATAAATATAACCTCCATGATCTGGTTACATGCATTTACTAACATTCAGCTGCTGCTTTATTGTTAATATGGGTACTTTCACGTTCTCTTTCTGTATGATGGCAGTATACTTACACCGCAAAGGTTTTCTGTCTCTACTACTATAACATTATTGACTTGGACTATGTTGTGCCATTTATGTACTTTTGAGTGCAGAATTGCTCTCGTGGTTTTGGGTGTGATTGCATGTATCTAATAGTCAACTGAACTTCAATCTTCTTACTCCACGTGGTAAAGCAAGCTGTACAGGAAGAGCCAGGTATCCGAATAATTGTTCGGGTGTTCGCCACTGCCACATCTACCTCTAGTGCCGATATAGGTACCCAAAGATGAGGTTATAAAGCACTTGCTAGCGGCAACTCTCCACACGTTATGTACTCTGCAATACTGATATAAATTCAAGATGCATGGCAAAACCTATTTCTTTTAAACTTGTAACTTATTCTCCATTGTCATGGTATGCGCTGGCCGTGCAAGGGTCGTGTGCGTGCAGCCCTCCATTTAGATCTCCGCAACTTGGTGAACCAGAAAACTGTTACCAAATAAGATCTTTATTCTATTTTAATAACCTACAGTCCCACAGCTAATTGGAATCAACATCTCGATGCCACCTTGCTTCAATCACAAGCCATGTAGATAAAAGACTTCGCCTCCACAAGTCAACGATCGACTTTTGTATTGGGCATGCTGACCTCGAGTCTTGGCCAGCATCATGTTGTGGAGGCGGAGCCCATAAGCCACGAGACATATAGTAACCACCTACGACCTGCTGCATCTACCACGCGTCACACACAGGTGGTTGCGTCAAAAGCTGCCAGTGACGGAGGCAACCCATCTGTGGGACCGGGCGGGTAAGGCTAGACATGAGACATGCACATATCCGCGCCTCGGGCGAGATTTGCATGCTGACGGCATATTCCGTGCAGGTGCTGATTCATCAGAGAATATACCGGCAAACGAAGCTCCGGGGACGCGGATATGGTTTGCCGACCGAGTACGGGGCATGGTTTACCGGCGGCTTCCAGGCTGCTTGTAATCTATTGTAATCTCTACGAGTACTGCCGACATCACGCACATGGAGATGCGAGTAATCACACGCCTTGGAATTACGAACGTGTCTCAGAGAAACAAGAGCGGAGAAACTCTTGGTATTCCCGCAAGAATCCTTGCAATTCTTTCCGCAATAGGCGGATGGCACAATCCGGCGTAGCCACGGGGACAAGACCCGGCTAGGACCAGAGGAGCCAACCCGGCGAGGGGAGAGAGAGAACCTTGGAGAAAAAAAAGAGAGAGAAAAAGGCACAAGAAAGTTGCTGAAGAAGTTTGATTACGGATCCTCCCTCGCACGGAATAGGCAGAAATGCGTACCCCCGGCCCACTCGGACCTAGGGCTGTGTCTCTCTCTCTCTATCTACAGTACGAGAAGTGACCATGACTCTAATCTCTAAGCCAGCCAATGGCCGGCGGGTGCGGATTGCGTTTAGTCCAAGGTTTCTTGGTTCTGTCTTGCGCCATTGGCGTGAACAAGCCGGAACTAGCAAAGAGTCGTTAGCCTGCTCACATACTCAACGCCCGAGCACGGAGCAAATCTAGATTTGCAAAGTCCCTGCCCCTCCCCGTCTGCACGGGTTTGCTCTCCACACATTGCAAGCATCCCTCGTGATCACCAGCATAATCCGGCATATGCATTGTGCTGGGTGCTTTTGCCCTTACCATCTCGAGTATACCCGAGACGTTGCGGCCCGCAAGCTGACGAGCCGACAACCGGCATCACGGAGCCCTTCCTGAGACGGCCAAGTTACAAGTACATGGAGCTGCTACATAATAAGCGTCGTCTGTCGTCTCCCTCTTCGGCTGTGGCCGACCTTGCTCTCGCTTCTCCCTCTTCCTCTTCCTCTTCCTCTCGCTCTGTTTCTGTCTCTCTCGTCAACCAACAAATTCAGAACCACAACCAGAAACACAACCAGAAACACAACCACAACCACAACCACACTCACACTCATAACAAATCCCACAACCACCCGCCGGATCCCGCAGCCATGGGCGGCATCGCAGCAGACGTCTTTGCGTCGTCTCCTCCTCGACCGACGAATCTCCCGACTGGCACGCCGACTCCCCCTCCCGAGCCCATGTCAGAGCCGTATCACGGCTATTCTTTCCCCCACAACAGACTCAAGCGCCGCCTGACGCATCCCAACAAGACGCCGCTGGTTCTGGTGTCTTGCGGCAGCTTTTCGCCGCCCACTTCCTTGCACATGTCCATGTTTTCCGTCGCCGAGAGCTACGCGGAGCGCACCGGCTTCGAGCTCGTGGGCAGCTACATGAGCCCTTGCAGCGACACCTACGGCAAAAGTTCTCTGGTCCCTGCTCACCATCGCATCAACATGTAAGTCCGAGCCAAGTCAACCCCTCTTTTTGGAAGACGAGAGAAGGCCGAGGTCGAAAGTCTTACTAATGCCCTTTTCGCAGGTGCCGTTTAGCCATTGAGCAGACAAACAGCAACGCCATGATCGACGACTGGGAGACTCTGCGCCGCGACGAGGCCGGCCGCCCGGTCTACACACGCACTGCCGATGTCCTCAAGCGCCTGGACGAGCAGCTCAACGACGTCCTGGGCGGCATCCAGACCCTGGACGGCACGTTTGTAAGAGCAAGGGTCATGCTGCTTATCGGCGCCGACTTGGCCCTCACCATGAGCGATCCCAAGGTGTGGGCGCCGGCGGACATTGACGTGCTCCTGGGCTACTATGGCGCCTTCATCGTCGAGCGGCCTGCGCTGTGTGCGACCCAGGACGCCATCCAGCCCTTGAAGAAGTATCACGGCAACATCATGGTCGTGCCGTCCTTTCAAAACGACGTCTCGTCGACCAAGGCCCGAGCCCAGATCCGGAACGGCGAGGTCGCACAGGATTTGCCGAGATCCGTCTACGACTACATCAAGCTGCACCATCTGTACCAGAGCGCGCCCCCCAAGGACCGACATGTGGACAAGAATGGGAAGCCGGACCTGGAAATGGTCTCGCCCCGTCTGCCTGTCGCATCGCACAGATGACACTGGTGAAACCTCTGAGAAACCATGTTTGCCATGACACACAGGAGACTGAAAGTTTCAAGGCAACGTGCCCCTTCATTTGTACGCTCGGCGGGGGAAAATTCTTTGGGGGTTTTTTGTCCGCCTGGGCCTATGTACCACCTTTCATCAGCGCCAGCCCTTGTTTCGCGAAAGATGAGTGATGCTAGATGCTAGATTGTAGTGTCTCATGTTCTTGTCTCATTTTCATTTTCATTTCTTTTTTTCCGGGGATACGGAGTTTATTTGTTTTCTTTTTCCTCTTCTTCTTTGATATCACGCGAGCATTGTTTAGCTGCATGTACGCTCTTTGCTCTGCCATGTATCTGGTGCCGCAAGCCTCTATCATCATGGGGACTGGCCGCCTCTCCAGCATCTAACAAGATGGGAATGTTCTTTATAAGGGCTGTCTGGGATTATTACTGGGCTCAATAATGCAGTTGATGGAACTGGGCTTGGGTAATAATCACTTGGACATGATGGCGGCCAAGTCTGCCACGAGGGAATCACGCGACAGGGTGTGACGATTAGAACGAGTCTTGACACAACCTCTGGGAAAACAGCGATAAATGGACAATGCGGAAGCTATTGTGATAGAGTTTTCGGACTGATGAGAGATTTTGGGAGGGATATTTGATGATTTAGAAGTTGTACGCCCTGTTTTCTTTTTTGTCATGAACTTGGTTTCATGTCGGGCGTCGAGCATCTTACATGCTCTCTGCATTGTGTGTACTTTGTACATTCTTACCTACTCGTACTCTCATTTCACAAATCCCGGGCAAATGGATAAAAAGGCCCGGATGAACGGACAGTTCAAGCAGCTCTAGGGTATCTTGCTGCTCTCTACCCTCCTTTCCTCCTTTCCTCCCTTTCCCATTGAAGGCCAGGAATTGTGAAACTCGTAAAAAACTGAACTGCGTTCCACGTTGCCGGATTCGTGTTGTGGAACGTAATGTTGACGCTGTGTGGGTTTCAGAGCTGTATCGTGACTGTTTACGGACATGTCTCGGCTTTCGGCGTTCTAAGCAAGTATACGTTGAGGGTTGGCATAGCGATTCAAATCGTTTTAGTCATGACACATGATAATTAATTCAAGGAAATAGAAAATCTAGTAAAGGTAGCTGACTCCCTGTTACCTGAAATTACGTCCATCCATCATGTTGCCGTATGTTATAGGATGGACTACAGTTGTCTTTGTACGAAGCAACGATATAATATCTCCATTCCATCCCCTCCCATGTTTTCCCGTTGGCTCGATTAGATTCTCTTCATGTTCAAACACGTTGGCGCCGTGGGCATCTGCCGCCATCTTCCATTCAGATATGACATCGGGCGGGAAATTCCACTGCCAGGTGCTGTCCCAACACAAGGTGCTGCCCGCGCTATCGTGAACGTAGGCGAAGATGCCTCCGTGATTCAATGTCACGTAATATAGTTCCATAATCGTCAATTTGGGCATGTGACGCGCAGCTTCGGCAGCTGATACTAGCAAAAGGGGGATTTCATCTTGTCTCTCCGGCGAGATGACGGATGATGTCAAGACTATCGAGGTGAGATTGAGCCATCCCAGCTTCCAACGAGGCCGGCCCATTTGCGGGTTTTGGAAGTCGGAGAAGAAGTCAAAGGCGTCGATGATGAAGGACATCGAGATCACTTCTGGTTCCTTCTCTTGGCTGATTTCCGCCACTAGCCGACCCAGGGAGCCGTCTATATCATTTGCCTGTCTCTCCCATGTGCAATCACCCCAAAGATCAGGACTATCATCAAACACCTGCAGCCTTCTGATGGATGAGGGCATCTGAGTGATGATGTCTCTTACATCCTCACAATATGGGCGGTAATCCGTCCTCCAATATTTGAGAGCAAGAGGCTCGTAAGTTATGAACTCAAGATTCGGGAGCGATATCATGATTTGGTAAACATAATAGTGAAAAAAACTGAAGTGCATCTGTCGGCGAATAATGAGGTTTGTTATCAAACCCACCTCGGGAAGTCGCAATATCCTTGAACTGGGATGGCTCCGATGGATGTAGAAGTTTCGTACTTCGTATTGTTGGCCGCTCTCATACTCTGTCAATGCGCGTCTGGCGCTGGGCGCCTTCTTATAGATGGCGTTTAAAGGCTCGCTATCCACCGTGAGATCTACATCTTTGAGTTCGTCTGGAACAGTGTCTTTCATGGAATGGTCGGGGTCCGCAGCCGAGAATGCTGTCAATTCTAAGGTAATGCCCGGTTGGCCTACACTTCTCTCTGACCATTCTGACAAGATCTCAAAGAGTTGGAATAACGTCGCATTGAATTGCAAGGTGTCATAGTCAAGGCGAATATTGACGGGTGTCACACCAGGTTGGACCGTTCTCTCAAACCGGAGCCATATATGTTGGACGAACCGGCGTCGGGATCCTGTAACCATGGATTCTAACTCGCCGAGACGCTTTTTGGATAGCGTCAGACGTCGGAAGATGTATGGCTCGAAATAGCCATACCACTTTTTGCAGACGGCAGCGCATACCGAGGCTCTTGCTTTCCCGCTCTTTATCAAACCTTCCAGGTGTTCGAGAACTAATCCTTTTAGTTCTTGTGGCAATATTTCCCAAGGGAAATGTGAAGGTGATTGCTGTTCTTGCTCTTCCTTGGGCTGTTGACTTGGATATGGATGGACCCGATTTGAACGGCCTCGACCTCGCTCGCTGCGTGCCATTTTTACTCAAACAGAGGCGCGTAAAGAGCTTGATGGTTGATCAAAAGATGACTTCATTCACGCTGAGAAGCAAAATACACACCAAAGTGATGGGATATGGAAAACTTGCGCCAATTTCCACGCTGTTGGTCAACATTCTACACGCGATTCGGAACCTTGGCCATCACAAGTACATACCTATGCATACACCTTAACAACGTGTATTGAAGAACGCTTCTTCAATCACGCTGTGTTGTGGTAAGCATTGATGCTATTAACAAGGAGTTAAAGGATCGCACGCTCGAATTCAAGACCATGCACTCACGTACCTATTTTATACCAGCACTTTTCACGGTTTCAAGCTAACCCAACCAATTTTTGTGGTCCATGTTTCATCGCATTAGGCAGCCATTGACCTGAACAGCCCACTTACTCACGTGGATGATACTTGGATCAATGACTCTCTTGGATGGATGGAGCTGATATTGGACGAGCAAGTCAGGCATTCTTTCTTCATGTCGTTGCTGCCTTCTCCCAGTATCGACGAGTATGCGCATAATTATTCATCTGTAGCGATAAATAAAAAGGACCCGTTAGTTACCTAACGAGTTATTATCCTCTATATCGTCATAGTACCTGAATCCCTTAATACCCTCCGCTCTATCGCGTACGTGAATTGAGCTGCAGTTAGATGTAAATAACCCATAATTAGACTTCCAAGTGCACATAAAATTATTTTCTCTCTGGTGTAGGATGAAGATCTTTCTCACACAGAGGTAAATATTGCTAATTGTTGTATAACCTAGGTCATATGACAAATTAATTGAAACTTGGCCAAGACGCCGCAAATCGTACTCCAACAAGATGAACAATTCACAGGCAAGAAAGATCCAAGAGACAATGTAGTCTCCGGGGCTATGTCCAAAAGATTTACTGAATTCATATCTAATTTGCCTATCCTTATTCCTATTCGTCTATATACCTTGGTAGACCATAATCGGCGCGCCAAGCCAGAAGAATAGCTCCTTGATGATAAACGTTTACATGTCTTACTATTACTTGTGTTTTACCTGTTGATTCTGATTACTTGATGGTTGTAGAATAGTAGAAGTGATCCGATATTTCGATATTGAATGAGAATGATATATTCAAGGCTCATTAAACCCCAATCACAAGCCAATAGCATCTTTCGGGAATCTTAATACTTTAGAAAACTATGTTAAAGTTGAATTATGTTAGTGGTGCGGTAGAATTGGCACTTGTGAGTGAATAATCTGTAATTTAATTCTAAAGGATACGTAACAGATAAGTTCGCGTAATTCTGGTCTTCTCAATACGATCTACTTGTCGAGGCCAATCATCGTTGACCTTGAAGAGACGGTCAATAGCTCAATTTAGAGAGAGATATGATATACTGGTTTATGCTGGACAATAGCCACGAAGACTTATTACAGTTTGCAATATGCCCAATACATGATGGCCTCGTCGGAGTCTCTCATCTACTCCCGTCTCCAAGGCCCTTGTCTTTAGGAACTCAAACCATCGCAAATATGAAGCCTTAGGACGGTTAGATAACATATTAAACAAGATTAGGCTTTTGATTGACTCGTGGTGACATGAAATTATACATTTATGGAGATCCTAGTTGTCGTCATGTGTGTTACACCATATGAGCGTCAATACCACCATTCTTGTCAACTTGGGCGTTTGTTCTGTAGCTTGAGAACCTGCTGGTATGGAAAAGACATTAAAATTTGGCATCAAAGTATGTATCACCTCTAGTTCTTGGCTTTATTTGTGTGACGAGCCATGATGTTTCTCATTGCGAATATTACAAACTATTAAGAGAGCTCTCATTAATTTTTCGAGACCGCGTGTCTCACAATTATGGAAGCATACAGTTTATGCTGGTTCGTTCAGAACAAGAAAGATGCGATGAATCTGGTTCTTGGGGTGGGCATTGTCATAATATTTCCGTTCTATCTAGTCACTCAGATTCTGCTCACGCCCGGGATATTTTGGCGTTTATCAATTCATCTTTTCATATAGCGTATATCATGTCTGTTTTTAAGCTGTAATCTGCCAGTCCTCCGTTGCTGTAGAACATAGTTTGCAGACTAAATTAACATTGAAATTGGTATTGAAATCAGTGATCGATTTTGTATCGTCATGTAAAAGCAGGGCAAAACCTCGAGATGTTACGATGAGAAGAGATGAACTTGAGCTGATCTGTAGGCTACCAGCAATGTATGAGCCGCAATCACGGAGCGTGTTACTCGGTTTTCGGACCAAATAGTTGCTCTTCCTACATGAGCACATGATTACTAGGTATCTCCAAGAGCATGAGTTCAACTCTTTTAAGAATGGCCTTTAGCCAGCCATTTGGGTGACATTACACCTTTGGATCTGAGCTGTTCAGCTCTATTCAGCGATAGGCACGGTCTTTTGACAGTGTAAACACATATCATATGAAGTGGTAGAATTCCATGCGATATCCATCTTGTTAGCAGATCGCGACAAAACCAACGTTTCCAATACTGCTTCGAAAAGACATGTCGGAACTTGGTGAGAAGTTATCTTGATTCCATTCTAGTAACGTATTTCTGAAAACTGTTCATCAAATTGTCCAACGATATAAAGACTAGCCTTCATGAAATGGCGATATGATGGCTCGAGTGAGAAGACAACTTGGTTGGCGTGCACTTTTTAAGAGAACCGAAGTCATCTTACCGCCAAGCCTGCTTTCTTTTGGCTACTGATTGTGCGAACATAGAGACTCTTGTGTAACACCTCAAAGTATCCGAGTAAATGGGCGGTACGACCATCAGGCTTGAGGCATCAGTAATAGGTCTCGTCCCCTCGTGATGACCTTTCTACATTTACTAGTGGGTCATTCGTATAAGCTGGGACGTTCGTGCTTTATGACTGGCTCAATCTGTCGCTTGAGATTTCTGCGGAGTACGGTCTTTAATCGTAATTCCAAATTGTAATGCCGGGTTATCGTGACCTACGAGAGCCGAGCACATTGTTGCGCCTACCGCATCTGCACAAATTGAAAACTTATCACGGGGCTCATGAGTGCCTAATTGTCTGACTACAAGGCACAATTGACAATCAAACACTAGTAGCAATGGCTAAATTGATATTGCTATCCCCTGCCATTCTCCAATAATTCGTCCCCAATGATTATCTAGGTTGTATTTACCTGAGGGGTGCATATGCAGGCGCCAGGGTTTCGCCGCTATTAAATTTCTACAGCTATCAAATCTGACATGCTTTCATCCATGCCAGTCAGCTTGGAACTAGCAAAGTGGGTGGCAATCCATTCGATATTAATCGTAGGGAGCTGATAACCAGTTGTGGGCGCCGAGTACCTCGAGATACTTGCTTCTGTTCCATTGCATGTATCTCATAGTTTTGCCCAGGTACCCTGCTTGGCACAAATCAGCACTAGGGGTCTAGATTAGCTATTGTAATTCTCCGGCAAATGCTAGCGCAAGACCTTTTGCATCGAGAGCTTACAAAGTGCTTGTTGTCACACCCTTTACACCCTTTACACCCTTATACAAGACTGGCGAACTGAAAGTCAGAGTCGTTTTCGTCAAGAATTTGGCTAGACTAAAAATCAATAGTCTTATACAGTGCCTTGATTTTCTCTTGGTATTGGTTCGCTGCAGTTTTGCTGAGTTCAGGCATTCGCACCAAGTCGCTCTTTGATCTAATCTCACAATGAAGCAATGGCAAGGATACTTTCAATTTCTGTGGTATCAGTTTACTTCAGGGACTGTTCTGCGGCTCAATAAACACCATGCAAATACGTTGGCCCGTTTATCCTCACTTAGATCTCTGAAAGATAAAGGAAATCAGGGCGAGGTTCAGCATGACACACGCATCTATGTCAATCAGAGCACCAACAAGGAGAGTGAAAGTGATAGGGAAAGTGAAGATGTCTGGGGATTCAAAGACACTTCATATCGTGCCAATCTCGATGGTACGGTGGAGGTGACCGGCTCTCGATATCTTCTTAGCGGTTGTAAGTTACCATCGCTTTTGCCTTGGGCTAGTGATGTGCTTGGTGTCGATGTACCAAGGCAGCCAATGCTCGAGACTTTGGAAATTTCAATCCCAGAGCCCCAACATATCAATGGCGAATTCCTTGATTCCCTTCGCCACCTGGTGCTTCTTCGAGACGACCAAATCAGCAGCGACGCCAAAAACCGGAGGAGACATGGGCATGGCCACACCCAAGAAGAGATGTATGCCATCAAGTACGGGTCTGGGCTTGCTCGGGTGCCTGAACTTGTCGTCTATCCGGAGACTGAGTCTCAAGTGATTGGAATCGTCGAAGCAGCTCGACAGAAGGGAGTCTGTCTTATCCCTTATGGAGGCGGAACGAATGTTAGCGCTGCGTTGAGATGCCCATCCAACCAAGATGGTGAGAACCGCATGATTGTCTCTGTTGATACACGACGAATGGACAAGATTATCTGGATTGACCCTGTGAACCGTCTCGCGCAGATCGAAGCAGGGGCAGTTGGAAGCAACATTATGGAGGCACTGGCAGAGAGAGGATTCACCATGGGTCATGAACCGGATAGCTGCGAGTTCTCGACACTGGGCGGCTGGATTGCAACGAATGCTAGTGGCATGAAGAAGAACCGATATGGGAATATTGAAGATGTCGTACTCGACATGCGGGTTGTCATGCCCACAGGAGGTGTTATGACCAAAGGCAGCAGCAGCATTCATCCTCGAGAGTCTACCGGGAGCAATCCTCTACGATACACGTTTGGCTCAGAAGGCTCTCTGGGAATCATCGTATCTGCCGTTGTTAAGCTCTTTCCTCTTCCAGAAGCCACAGAATACGCTGCTGTCCTGTTTCCTACATGGGAGAATGGAGTACAGTTTATGTACGAGCTTCGACAATCCAATTGTCAGCCTGCCAGCGTTCGACTGGTGGACAACGAACAATTTCGTATGAGTCAGGCACTCAAGCCAGCTCAGCCGCCAGGGTTCATTGCGGGTACCCTCGCTGGGCTCAAGCGTACGTTGGAGCACATGTACATCCTTCAGATCAAGGGATTTGACCCGCGTGAGATGGTAGCTTGCACAATGGTGTTTGAGGGCAGCAAGCCAGAAACCAGGATTCAGCAACACGCCGTTAAACGCCTGGTTAGTAAACACGGAGGTGTTGATGCGGGCGCAGAGAATGGCAGACGGGGCTACCAGATGACATACAATATTGCCTATATTCGTGATTTCGCGATGCAACATTATATCATGGCCGAGTCATTCGAGACAAGCGTCACTTGGTCACACGCCTTGGACCTCTGTGACCGTGTCAAGGACCGACTGCGACGAGAACATATAGAGAGAGGGCTTCCTGGAAAACCACTGGTGACTTGCCGAGTAACGCAACTCTACGAGACAGGAGTAGCCATCTATTTCTATTTCGGTTATTATTTTGAGGGCGTCTCTGAGCCGGAAAGGGTTTATGCTGAGATGGAAGAAGCGGCTAGAGTAGAGGTCCTTCTCGCGGGAGGCTCGCTCTCACATCATCACGGGGTGGGCAAGTTGAGAAACAGGTTTCTGGGGAGTGCTTGGTCGGACGCGGCCTTGGAGTGGCGAGACGACGTGAAGCGAGCTTTGGACCCGGAGAATGTGTTTGGATGCGGGAATCTGTTGAAGCCTAAGATTGCCCAAGATTAATCATCTAGATTATCTATTTACTAACGCATAACTATGTACTATACATATTTGGCTGATCGTAGAGAGCCAGTTAATCAGCAGTTTACTAAACAATTCAAGTCAGCTATGGGGTCCTGGTAACATTGAGAGCCACCTCAACTCTAACACCAGAGAAGTCCAAACAGAGAGATGCTACGTGATGTAAGCTATTCAGTCGGCAGCTTGTCTTGGTTCTTTTGCGACTGTTCATGAAGAGGCACCGCGCCCGTTATGGCCGTAATTGCCCTTTCGAGACCTTCAAAGAAGCCAATAGCAGTCAATGGGCGGTTCATCCACCCTGTTGTGATGCAGTAATAACAGTCATGGGGGCGTATGTGGTGCAAATGATGGTGCTGCCGTGACATGAGCAGACCAGCATCCTGCAAACCTCTCACAAACATGGGAGGATTTTCCATGTGAGCCCAACAGTGGAACTGGTTCGTATATCCGCAGAAGAACGCAAACGAGAGCCAGAAGGTGGCTGTAGTAAGAGCCGAGGCGCTGTCTTGCGACCCAAGGGCAGACGATGCCACCCAGAGCGCTGGAATACTGACAATGAAGTTGTTCCCATTGAGCTCCAAGAAGCCATGTCGTGTTATAGACCGAGGATCGGTGTGGTGATCTCGAAAGGGCTGGATGAAGGCAGGGCCGATGCCTGACCAAGTTCCGCTTCCCCAGTTATCAGCGCCCCAGTGGACAATTCCGGATACCACATCGGCTGCTAGGATGCCTAAAAAGAGATATATGGCCATGTATACTCGTATGTGGAGGATGGTAGATGAGCTGATGTCGTCGGTTGTATAACGGTCGTACATCTTCTTTGCGGTAGCAGCAGCCTGGCCGAAGAAAAGAGCCACGCCGCAAACTTCCATCAAAACAGTGGCCGTTGTGCGATCCTCAGAGGGATGTTGTTCTTCCCTTGTCTGTATAGCGGTGATCACAAGTCATTGTCAGCATGACGGGTATTGGAGATTGCATCGTGGTGAGTTCGTCTTGTAGATGCTGGATAGGAGATGGGATACCAGTATGCTTGCTTACCTCTTCCGGCTCTAGATTCGTGATATCCATGAATGTAGTAGAAGAAGCAACTGGCTGTCACTTGACAATGTCTATAATTTGTCCATACATCGCGACAGAGAAAACATGCGTGTAAATCTATTTATACTCCGTAGCAGCAGTATGGGTAGTAAGAAGCGACTGCCTACATGTACGAATAGTTACAGATGGCCCAAATTCGCTCATCTATTCTTCCACACTGAGCGAACAATAGCTACAGCGTGCCGCAATTTGGCAGGGATATGCTCCAGGATTTCTGTATACATAATTACGTGTATTCGGGCAACCAGGGTTGTATTCGCCAATAGCCTCTAATGCAGCCTCAAGGCAGCCTCTGTAACCGACCTTTGGAGCCAAGAACACACCTGAGAAAACTGCATTAGTAGCGCAATAGTAAGCTCGGAAGGATCTGACGTCTCTAGCATGCATGTTCTATTTGGCAAAAGGCAAGGCTCGGTATGATAGTGGGATGGCCGCATGTATGTTTGGACCTGTGTGAGGCCCCCAAAAATTAAAAGGATTCAATGTTTTGAAAGGATGAAGGTTGTTTACAAGGATATACATGCAATAGACATAGTATTGACATGAGTCTCGTCACTCTTTGTTCTAGTCAAGCTCGGACAGAGGGTGCCGTGGCATATTTACTTGACTTCAATTGCCATCCTCCATCATCCCTACATGAGCTATAGGTAGGTTGCGACACGTTCGTTGATGTCCAATGGAGCACACCGCATCTGATGCCTCCTCTCCGCATCCCGTCAAGGATTTCCGTTTTCGTGTAGTCATTCTGTGTCTCTGCATCTGCTGCTTTATTGCGTCGCTCGACACCATTATCCTTTCCTCGACCCTGCCAGCCATTGCAGCAAGCCTCCAGGCCACCACGACGGATGCGTATTGGTGTAGTGCCAGTTTTCTATTTGCTCAGAGCGTGGTCCAACTCATCTACGCTGTCGTTGCTCGTGCTCTTAACCGCCGCATATGCATGCTAGCTGCTCTTGGGTTCTTTGAAGCTTTGCGAGCATCTTATGCGCTACGGCTCGTAACATACAGTGGCTCATTGCTGCGCGGACAGTGAGTTGTTTGTATTATTGTATCTTCCTTCATTTCCATGCTCGTGATATATAAGTTATGGCTTAATAGCTTCTGACACTCTTCAAAGATACAAGGTGTTGGCACTGGTGGAACCAATGCGCTTGTCCAACTCATCTTGACAGATATAGCTCCTCTAGCTGAAAGACCCAAATACACGGGACTGGTAACTCTCTTCTCGGCACTTGGTCTGGTGATCGGGGGGCCTTTGCGGCGCCGCGATAGTGCAACATACCACATGGCCATTGTGAGTCGAGAGGATTCGTTTCTATGGGTAATGGCTAATGATGATCCATAGAGTCTTCTGGATCAACCTGCCGATATGTGTCCCCACAATGGTCGGTTTTGCATGGTGTCTTGATGCTCCTCCAAGACAATCGTCGGTCTGGACAGCCATCAAGAAGACAGATTGGGGCGGTGGCATCATAGTAACGGGATCTTTGGCAGGGATTCTTTTTGCTCTCAACAGCGGGAATGCCGTATATCCTTGGACATCTGGCAGGATTCTGTCACCCTTGATATGTGGTGGCGTCGGCTTGGTTGGATTTGTGGCATATGAAAGATTTGTTGCCGGAGAAAATGTCATTCTTCCAGGCAGACTTTTCTCCAATGTCACTGCCGTGTCAGCCTACATCATGGCGCTCCTCCATTCGATAATACTCTGGACTGCAACATATTACTTCTTTTTATATGTGAGATACACAACGTCTTATTGGTATTTCTTAGGCTAATTACTTACTGCTGCTGTGATCTAGTTTACCTTTTGTTCTCATTCGTACCTGGGCGCGGCGATTCTTATGCTTCCCGCCACACTCACATTTCCACCGTCAGCTGCCATCGCAGGTCATATAATTGGCCGTACGCTCAAATACCAGCTGGCTAACATAATTGGCTTTGCCATTCTGGTTGGTGGCCTCAGTGGCTCAGCCAACCTGGATGAATTCTCCTCTCACCCCAACCAGTAAAATATCTATAGACATTACATTCTTCTAGACTACACAATTGAAGCCTCAAGGCTTGTTCGTAGAGTACCAATACCCAGCCAAATTGACCACAAAGAAAGAACATGAAGGATATTATGGCTGCCTCCAAAATAATCGAAACGTCCAGGCCAGACGCATTCTGGAAATTGCGACGCGTAGAGAAGGGCGCCCACCACGATCGGTCCATACGGGGGCATCATTGGCCCGTAAATCTCCAAAGTTGCTTGTAGTCCTCTTGTCCACAACAAATGTACCACAGGTATCGCAACGCCCTCGGCAACGAGTCCGATCCACACGGCAATTCGGAGCCAAGAGCTTCCCGTCGCCCGCATGATTGGGAGCCAGCATGAGGCCACTGCTGCAGTGCCCAGGATCACGGACATTGCCATGTAAGTCAACTGGAGATAGGGGGAGTCCACGAAGGCGTTGAATTGCGTTACCAGGACCGAGGCCAGGGCTAGTGTCGTCACACCCATGAGATCCATAGTTGAGAAACACGACAAGGTACCGCTGGAAGAGATACAGCGCATTGTGTGCCAAGACATACTGCATGCGGTGCAAGCAATAGCTGCCATCAAGTATACATAGTAGACTCCAACAAGACCTTTTGTGGTGTAGATCTTATTAGGGTTGCTGTACGACACTGACGGATTGTCGTATACGAGAATCTTGACAAAGTATAGGCAGCCGAGGAGGTGAGACCAGATATTGAAGGATTCATTATGAAGATGGAAAATGGAGCGTATACAGTATGTACATGACTCGGTGAAGCGATAGCCGTGGAATATGTGGTCGTTGTGACGCCAAGGTACTGGAAGGTCGGAGATGTGGATGAGGCTTGTTTTGGACTTGCGGGCTGCCGCCAAAGCAAAGCTGATTTGCTGATCCAAAGTCTTCTGCGTCAACATGTTTGATGTGAGTGTGACTCTGGGCCATTGTGAGACAGTACAAAGGCCACGATTTAGGCCCTTTTATCCCCTATTAGAGGCGTTAAAGGCGGTAAACTCGGAATATATTGTGTAATTCGCGATTTACTGAATAGCTAGGGGTAGAAATTTGGTCATGGCTCAAGTCACTTACAAGGTTAGCTCGAGACCTCGGAAAGGGCCTCGGAAAGGAGTTCGGAAAGTTCGTAGTGAATTTGTCGGCCAGTACATCAGGGTACAAAGAAGGACGATGTTGAAAGTACTCATGCGGTCGTCCATAATTAGGGCTGACAAGATATGGTGGACTGATATGGATGCATCCCATGATTCCCATCCCACTTAGCCGCCGGTCCCCCAGTAGATTCTCTAAGCTGATGTGGGCAACCGGCGATTCAGCTCCTTAGAATTTACTAGGCACGGCCCGATACGGGCTATACTATTTCACATGTCTACTACTCGTACTACCACAAATATTGACAGTTCTTTGCGAGAGTGAGCAACTGCATATCAGGCCCAGCCAAGCATCACCGTCTCTTAAATTGTAGAACCTAAGCTCTTACATGGGCCCCCTTGACTGTCTCAGCTGCGCTGCATCTATACTTAGTCTCATTGTGAGCAAGCGTAGTTATCAACTGGTCCGCATTCGGTAGTTGCACAGCTGGGCTTTTGTGCCTTGCCATTCAACGAAACTCATGGCACTATTTGTGGATTGGTTCGGGAACACCTGCTGTGCTCTACTGCTAGTATTCCATCATCAAGTCGGGCTGCCTTTAGCCGGTCTGACTTTCAATGGATGCTTGAATGTGGCGGAGTATTACTACCCAATACACGGTATGCTTTAACCACCCCGGAAGATGATACTAGCTACTGTAATTCGCCAATCATGACTATTAATGACCCTACTGTTAGCAAAGGCGCCAGTAGTCCCTCGTAGATAACGACCACACCTTTGCCAGCTGCCAAGGACTCGGTAGCCCCCACTCCCAGATTCTCCGCTCTTACACCCGCAACCTTTTCGAGAGCCTTTCTATCTAGTGTTTGTGGCAACCATCATTCCAGTTGCACTCTCGGTGATACCGGCTAGCTGATATCCATGGTAGGCCAGTTGATTAATCCACTCTCTAGCAGCGGTGGGAATTGCTGTTTACACTACTTGTCTTACCAACAGTTTAGTAATCGCTCTTGAACATTAATTGGGATAAATCCTACTAAGAAACTATGATCAATAAAGATTTGCGAGAACCAGGAAGGTGAGATTCCAGTTGGAATATAGCTTCGCGGCTTTAGCTAAAAGGGAGGCTCAATCTTGTGTTGGGGCTCACTTGGCGAAATGCATTAGCTCGCAGTTGGAGTCAAATGGGGAATGTGCATTTTTGAAGAGACTGCAGATAAATTACGGCAAATTAGCTGGTAAACCTGTTTATTTTCCTTTAGTGGAACCTCTCTACGTACGTTCATGTTCGTACTGATGAAGTACCTTCACAGCAACGCTTTATCCCGTCTCGTTTTCGCCCCCTAGTGAGGCTATTCAAGGTTGGCTGAGGTGTGAACACCCACCCATCCTCTTCTTCAAGTTGGTGGCTGGTTTGAAGATTTAGAGAAGATCAACAACAGGTCAACCCAGAGTGAGTTACTGGAAAAGCAAAGTCGATTCTGATAGAGCATGAACACACGACATGTCTGAAACTCAAGCCAATGGAAGGACAATCTTCCTCACTGGAGCCACAGGTTTCCTAGGCAAAGTGGTCTTGGAAGAGTTGATCCGTCGACGGTATGAATTGCAGATTGAAAAGGTTATAGTTCTGATCCGTCCTTCTAAGACATCGCCTCATGAGGCTATCGCCGAGGAGTCTCACCTTTCATCTCGCTTTCATGACGAGGTTGTTACATCCAAGTGTTTTGCGCAGCTATCTCCTGGATGGACTCGATATGTTGAACCGGTATACGGAGACTTAGGCCAGGCCCATTGCGGATTGGACACCACTGCCTATGAGAAGATCAGCAGAGAGACGACTCATATCATACATTGTGCTGCTTGCGTACAATTCGATCTCCCACTCAGCAGTTCTCTGGATATTAACTTACAAGGAACGCTAAACATCCTCCAACTTGCTCGGACATGCTCTAGCCTTGAGCGTTTCGTATACACCTCTACTGCGTACGTGACACCTCATGGAATGCATGACCAAATCCGTGAGGAGCTGGCACCATTGGGTCCCTGGCAAGACGCACAAGAGTTACTCGATGCCTTACACTCTGGATCTGTGACTGAGGGGGAATTATTGCAACAGACCTGCCACCCCAACACATACACTCTCTCGAAATGCATCACAGAGCATTTTGTCTTGCATAATCGTGGTGAAATCCCCATAACTATTGTTCGCCCGAGCATCATCACTGCAGCCCTAGAGCGTCCGTGTCCTGGTTGGTCTGATAGCGCTTCGGCAGTTGTTGGAGTTGTGCTGGGAGTGCAGGATGGCGGAGTATGTGCTCTTGGAGGCGATCCGACGGCGTTTATGGATTTGGTCCCTGTTGACTATGTCGCCGACTTCATTATCGACGAAGTATTTGCCGTACAAGCTTCGTCGGCAGCAGTGCCAATCGTTCATTGTGTGTCAGGTCTGAGAAGTATCACGCCAAAGATCCTTTCTTCAGTTGGCGCCGCGTATTTCCAGCAATCTGAAATGCGATGGCTCAACTACCGGAGCTCTCCGACGACTCACCTCTATCGATATGTATGGCAGATGATGCCACTTAAATTGGCCAGGACATTCTGCTGGGTGGGAGGCGATCATCGTGCCGTGAGGCAGCTGGCGCGGGCCACCCAGAACATCGACAAACTTGATCACACATTTGGGTACTTTCTCTCAAACTCATTCAACTTTGCCGCAAGTCGTCCGACTTTGGCCCAGAGAGCCCCGTACTTTAAGCCTGCCGCTTACATGCAGATGATCTTTCGGGGAGCGCAACAATTCATGATGCGACGTACTCGCGAGCGGAATATGGTATCCACCGAGAAATTAATCGCTGGGGAAGACGTTAATAATGGTGGTGAAAATGCTCTCAAGCTGTTTCTCACTTCTCGAGCCAGTGTGATTTTCCGCTTCACAGCAGTCGTTGTCGGGGCGGCTTTGAACCGAATGTTTCAGCGAGTTACCTTTGACCAGCGATCCTTCTTCGATGCTCTTGAGGGCTATAACTCGGGATTGTCCGACGAAAAGATCATAATCATGCCCACCCATCGAAGCTACATGGACTTCGTCATTTGTCCTTATCTCTTCTATCAGTTCCCTGTTCTAGGTGTCAAAATTCCATGCATCGCCGCCCAAGAGCAATTTTCGCGGGTACCTGTTCTAGGATGGCTGTTGAGACGGCTCGGCGCTTTCTTTGTTCGGCGCGGCATCGGCCGAGCAGATCCGGAGCTCAATGAACAAGTTCGACAGCTGGTTGAACAAGACGAGCACATACTCTTCTTTCCCGAAGGCCAACGAAGCCGTTCCAGAGAGTTTCTATCCCCGCGACGAGGTCTTTTGCGATCATTGCAGGGTACGGGCAAATCATTCAAGATTCTACCAGTCTCAATCAGCTATGAACGAGTACCGGAGGAGGGAGCTTTCATTAGAGAGACCCAGGAACAAGAGAGACCTCGCATGAGCCTTTTCGCCCTCATCAGGTGGACATACAGCATGATTCTCGGCCGTGTGAGACTTGGAAGAGTACACGTCAAGTGTGGGAGGATGCTAGAACTCAACCCTGAAACTGATGTGCATGCCATCTCAGACCAGGTTCTGAACGAACTTCAAGAAAACACCGTCGTAACAACATATCACCTTGAATCTTTTGTCAACTACCATCGTCGAGATTGTCGTTGCTCTCCTCCATGCGCTATCAGCGGGGCAAAGCGGCATTCAGATGCGGTAAACTGGCTACGAAAACAGCTCGAAGAACGAGGGGCAACTGTTCTCGACGGCGCGCTTTCTGTGGATGTGAATCAACACTCATCGCCGGCGCTTGAAACCAGCCTTATGAATCAATGGATGCACTTCTTCGATCGTGACTCAGTCGCGATGCCTCCGAGTTCTGCCGTTGCAGCGGTTGATTACAAAGTCTTTGAGGTGTCCAAGTGTCAGTCGGTCATTGCATAACGATGGTGTCAGAAAGTGGCATGACAGAGAGGAATAATGTTACGGTTACAATGGGGGTGATTGGAGGGATTGGAGGAAGTGTACTTGTCCATATTACTATAAATCTACGTGACCTTATATGGCTATGGACACTGGGAAATACGAGACTCTATTCGCAATTTGAGTTAAATATCTTATAACTGTCAGGAGAATCTACAATAAACATGAAGAAGAGAAGAAAAGCTTTCTTCCTCACATCTTTTTGCCATCTGCACATCTTCGACATCATCATGATACCAGTAAGCACATAGCTCTTCAGACTAGAAGAGAACAGAAGGACAGAATAGTTGAATGGCCGAAGAACTGTTTTACATTTAAATCTTGCCTATCAACATGTTTCCTCCTCTATCGGGTTATCTTCTCCTCCCATGAGCTCTACTCTGAAATACCCGCTAGACAAAAGTCATTTAGCAGCAAACCCACTCCCGGCGCACGCCGCAGGCAAGGTTGGCCGGCGCGTCATGGCAATAGCTATTGAAGGAACCATAATCATTGTTCAGCCACAGAGAGCCGCCGTAGCCTTGAAGCACGTACTTGAACCAGTTGGTGAGCGGGTTGGCAAGATGAACATTGCATGGGTTCGCAGGTCGGTTGTTGATGATTGTCCAGCGGCAGGGGTCTCCTCCATCAACCCACATCACTAATAGGTAAAAGAGAAGTGTTAGTTAACTAGTTCTTCAAGTAAATTGAACATATATGGCGAATAAAACCGGAGAGAAGAATGTACCGTTTGAATTATTAGAGGTACCGATCGCGATGGCAGCCTCGGCACGCGTCGCAGAGAAGGCCAGAGCCAGAACGGTGGTGATGAAATCTCGTGAGAAGAGCATAGTGAAAAGTAGAAGGTTCTACCCAATAAATAGGACAGGATTTCCCTGTTTGCTTGTTTGAGAGACTGGCTTGTTGATGTTGCTATGTGTGAGCTTTGGGAGCTGTTGGGGGTTTCTGAAAAATTCTACGTTCAAAAAGAGTCGAAACTGTCCCTTTATATACTCCAGCCATATCCTTCGCTTTCGGTGATAGTCCGAATAACTACCTCGGCCTCCCGGAGAGTTCAAGATTCGCGAATAAACTTGATGTAAGTAAGGGACGGCCTTCCTCAATGGTATGAACTCATTACAGCCAGATGAGCGGAGCTATAATATAAATTATTCTTTAAACATAGCATGATTTGATAGAGAGTAGCGGTCTATTCTAGGCTCGTATCACGGAGGTTTCCGTATACGGACGAAGGAGCTACACTAACTCAAAGGAACTTATAATATTCTAGAAGCGATACGGCGAACGCGACGAACATGAACTATATGCGGGACGCATGGGAAAGGTAGATGGTGAAGGAGGAGTCATTAAGACACTGGAGCATCAAGGCCAAATCTAGACGATTGGTCTGTCTTTCATAGCATTCAACTATAATCAAGTTGGAAGGAATTCATCTGTTTGACACCCACAGTCGCTGAGTCGGATGTCTCTACCTTCTCAAAGGTGACAAAAATATTATACAAGAGATATAGAGGTACCTTCCTTAAACATCATAACACTGTCAGATTGCACAGAGTTTAACCTACAAGTACCACCTCCCTAAACCGACCGCGGAAGTCGTTAATAGACCATATCAACGGCAAGTGAGAAAAACAGTACAGAAATACCACTACGTGTTTTCTTATTCAATTTTTTTTTTCATTTGTCAAGATTAGAGGGGCTTGTGAACAAGGAGATCTGGGACTGGTTCTTGTTCGAATAAGATGACACTCCGTCACCTAACTTAGTTAGCTTCATATAAAATGTATGGCTATATCAGAGAGCATCCCACTAGAGTGGAAGAATCAGTACCCTGAAACCTTTCTAGCAACTTCGAGAAGTGTCAGCCTAGAAGCCAAAGTCAACAGTTGGGAGTCGCATTGGATATGCAAGTGTGGGATATGATACCTGCACGCCCGGAATGCCTTGACTTCACATGCCAAAAGAGGAACAATCTCTAATTGTTCTTATGAGCCATTGATCATACTAGAATTATGTTTTTCAATCTCCTACATGGTGGCTGACTTTCATGAATAGGTCGGAAGTTCCTTGGGTCCTATGTGATTGGCCGGTGTGTAATTCGTACTAAAGCCTGAACTAATTCCCCTTTTGGTAACCCGGAGGTGACCCGGAATTTCTTTGGTGAGCTGAGAATACTGTATTATCCCCATCGTGATTCTATCTGAAGCTTGAGAACTTCAGGTAGGGCAGACGGCGTTTACACAGCGTTCGTAAAAGACAGTCCAGTCACATACATTATCGCTATTGAAGTTGGCAAATTCATGGATAACCAGGAGTTTTCGGACGTGAGCAACCTGCTTGTCACGGCAGAGAACCCAGCACGTAATGATACACCCGGTCTAGATCACGCACGATGTGTCGCTCTGCACAACCACCTGGTTCACTATGCCTGGGCTGCCGAGAGACGCCCTCCCGCTAGTCCAACTAGCAGTAGCAAAACGTTCTTCACCACCTACGGAGCTGCAGCGGAGGCTCTTCGTGAACGACTTGACCCCTCGCTGGCAGCTTTTCTTGACGCCGCCCTGTTGCCTCCCGATGGGTCTGATGGCCTTGATCCCGCGCCTCTCTCCGTTTTTGTCGCTGGGTTCTGTGAGCCCGACAGTTTCTTTGCTCAAGAAGTGGCTGACCTGTTCGACGAGCCTGTCGACAGCCTGATCTGCCTATACTATCCCAACGTTGGCCAAGGTGGAGGAAGTGGTGGTGGTCTATTCTATCATCAAGGCTACCATCGTGCCGCTGTCTTGATGCATATGTGGGATCACGATTATGTCCTCCCTATTGCAGCACACCAAGAGCTTTGGCACCCTCTCGAGACGGTACTCTCCAACTGGATCGAGCTGATTCATCTTGGCAAGACTCAAATCACACCTTCACCGAGAGACGAGGGGGGCCGGTATGGCAGCGAAAAGATTGGACCGTGGGAGTGGCTGCCGTATAGCGAAGCCCAAGTTGCAGCTTGTTTGGATGCGTGGGAGGAGCTGTGCAAGACCATTGAGACGCGTATCTCACATATTACCAGCAGCGGCAGCATCACCACCTCCAATACCACAAGTCCAGTGCGGCTGCTTGATCCCGCTGTCCTGGATGCGGCTGTAGTGCCTAACCCGTCGTTTGCACGCTCTTTTCTGACTCGCGCGCGTCGGCCTCTCTTCCGTAGCATTGCTCCTGGTCTCGTCCTGCCACCAGCAGACGCAGCTGAGTTTGCGGCAGCGCAGTCCTTCACCGGACTGCCTCGCGGCCATCATGTCGTACCGCCGGTATGCCTTTTTCCTGCTACAGAAGATGAGCCTAGATTCATCCTGACCTCATCTTCAAACCCTTTTTGCAATGACTTTCGAGCAACGACTGCCGATTCAGCCGTGCCGTCCCAAGTCCGCGCCGGCGTCTATAGCGAGTCGGTTGAGAGGAATGCAGGTCATGACTACGCTGAGGAGGGCTTTTGGCTGCTGCTACCGAACAGTTTCGAGAGCGGTTGGGATGCAATCGACGGCGCGCGGAAAAGCGACGGGTCGTTGATTGCCAAGGAGAGGTTGACTGATCTGTTCCAGCATGGATATAAACCCTTTGGTGGTGACTACTATCGGCCTCAGAGGCTGGAGCGTTTGTTTGACTGTTGGCGCACACTCATTGAGCAAAATGTCTGGACTGTTGGGCCACTTGGAGTGCAAGGCAACCTGGATACATTTAAAGAGGCTGGAACAGCCCGTTGGAAAGACTATGTTATTCCGCCGAATTGGTAATACCATTCACCTTTCGATATTCAGAAAATCTGGCCTTCTACCAGCTGTTCTCCCAGAATCTCCCAGAATAGATTACATTATAGTTGGCTAAATGTTGATTCTTCTGAACCGTGACTCAGGCCATATTCAAGTTGACGCCCTAGTTCCTTAATGGTACCCCAAATCCTCTTCCAAAGTTTCTTACGAGATGTTACGAGTTGAGAGATGACTTATTTAGCATACGACAGCGATGCAAAATAAGCCAGTTTCGGTTTAAAAATTGTCTTCAGCTATTACACTCCATTGCCTCTCATAATACAAGTCTCCTGGCTGTTAATTACTCATATAATACCCAGGAAATTGTAAGCATAGGCACTAAAATCGGGTACCGATTTTCCCTCCAAAGAGAAAGCTGGGATCATTGTGTCGTTCACATTCTTCATGGCTCTATCGATCGCTATACCGTACCTGTTTAGTGGATACGTTCTCACCAACCAACTTATTGCTTGGCTCTTGGAGTTTTTAAACTCAAACCAGTACGACTGAGCTTTCATACGTTTATTTCTAGACAATGAATCGATGATCTACAAAAGACTAATGAAGCCATTTTACAAAGTATTTTCTTTCTTGGGCAGTCTATATAAATGGGTGTTAATGACATAAAGTCTCGCATTTTAAGCATAGGCGATTTCAGCCGCCACACGTGTAAGCAATTGTGTTTTATTCTAGCGTCATCAAAAGTACCCCGCGATTAACAGATCCCAACCACAATTCAACAATAACAACAACAACAACATCCCGAAGAAGGAGAAATTTGAGTAAAAAGCCAAAAAAAACATACAACAGCCGGTGTTCGCCAGTGGTCACCCACCTGACTACTAATCTGCCGGTTAGTGGCTTATCTATGGGGGAGCAGACGGGACCCCGAGTTCTCCACTACCTATGGTCGTATGTACTAGTCACAGTCTGATTATAGTTTATATAATAATCAAGACTGATCATACTCCAACTGTATGTTCCATACACATAATCGCGGTGATCTTTAATTTCTCAGCTGAGGAGGCGTTGGTAAACCTGCCAGACGAAACTGGTGATCTGATCCTGTCCAACAGAGATTCTACCAGCGCAGCAGGGCCTGTCGCTTGGCGCTTGAAGTCTCGTGAACTTGAAATTGCTCTTGATGAGTCGCTCTGCCTTATAATTAATTGCCTACTAGTAGATTCAATCGTCTCCTCGGCCAGGCTGAAACAAGAAAACAAGGAAGCCTAAGTGCCTCGAATAAAGTTCTGTTGTGCGTGCTTGTACTGATCACTTCCAATCTTGAAACATACCTATACAAAAACTCACTAATTTAAAAATTCGCCAGGTATCACTCCACAACATCCACCAGAGTAACTTGCAATTAAATTTTCACTCTGAATGCTTGTCCCACAGGAACGAAAATGTTCACCACATTTGACATGTCGAAGTCATCATTGTATGATGTTTTGTAATCTATCATTGTATTCTATAAGTTAAATGGCCGATCTAAAGCTCTATCTATATGGAAATGAAATTCCTTCGGTACGAATGTTGTGCATTGGATGTGAGTAGCTAGAACTCCAGCAAAAAATTACCATTGAGATCTTTGGGAACATTACCCATACCATATCTCTTGGTACGTAGACTATTAGGCTCTTTAGAATCTGTGTGATACTTTATAAGGCAATAGGGATTCAAGACAAACCTCCAGTAAAGATTTCCTGAGCAATTGAACCGACAGTCTTGTATAAATTCGTAGGTGTTCAGTTTATCGGGTGACACCGCGTCGATCGTGTCCAAAAGCTTCCAGGCGGTTGCATCGAAGCGAGCAATTGACTCTTTCAGAGATTTTAATGCATGACCAATCGCACTCTGAGGGTTTTCGGTGTTTGCGCACAGGATAGGGATCAGGCTGTCAATAGCGCCTTTGGACTACAAAAGAATAAGCATGATATCAGAGAACAACAGAAGGGAAACACGTACAATTTCCTTCTTCAGGGAGAGAAGATCGTTGACACTAGGAACACTCATTAGTCTGCACCATTTCCAGAGGTATTTGTTACATACATTGATACGTTAACGTTCGATTCATCCCATAGAATGCGCATATCTGGATGATCCATGATAATGTCCGAAATGTTTACTCTAGCACTAAACCTGTTTGAATAGCTCATTAGCAGCTATCGAGTTAGGAATGATTGGGCAGATGACAACTCACTCATTGACAGCCATAATGACGCCGACTGCGCTAGTTCCCATTCTGATATCCCAATACTCATCCAGAGAGAGGATACAGCCATCAAGTCTCGATTTCTGTTCAAGCTGAGATTTTTGAATGAAGAATTCCATCTCTCGCAGGAATCTTTTCCGTTGTTCTACACAACTCATGGTTAGACAACATTGGTAATATAGTGTTAAAGGAGGACATACCGATATTGTAGACTTGGCTCAATGCTTTTCCAATAACTCCAAAGCTGCCAATGATTTCATTTATAGGAGTGACAGCTTCCTTTTGAGAGTAGAGACTTGAATCATCAGTAAAGCCAAGAGTCTCAGTGATATAAGCCACCGTGTTTTGGCGGTATCGCTCAGAAGCTTCGAAATCATCACTCAATGTTCCTGTAGATTCATCGATCTCATCATCCCATACAAAGAGCCAAAAAGATAAATACGCTAGAATTCGCAACTCTTCCCTCGGGGCACGTGGCCACCAAGCAGATGCAAACAGAGCAAAGTCGCAGCTTTGAAGCTTCATTATCTTGACTGGATCTGAAAAGAGGCTGTGACCATACGTGAGACCAAATATTAGTATAACGATTTCGCGGAATGCTATCAAGTCACACCTGTTTCAAGTCATACCTAGCAATTTTGTTATTCATATCTGGAACGATGTTCTGCCATTCCGGGTTGATAGCAGCTGGCCAACTCGTGAAAAGAGGCTGCAACTCCGGTATCAGAATCGAGCATGATTTTATCTTTGCCAAGAGTTGGTCGCGGGTATTAGGAATTGAGCCCATTGGAAGATGTGAAGGCGTGATAATGGATTCAAGTATGTGATAGGTTAGGCTCAGTCGTGAGATAGAACAGCTACTTAGACAAAGAGCAATCTGTACAATTGAGTATTGATAATCTAGGGATATATATATTGATACTGTTGCGATGATATTAATGGCCACATTAAGTACTAGTAGCTTCATTTCACCTCTCTATCTCCTATTCTACCGTCAAGAGTTGTCTCTCAGGGGAAATATCAGTGTAATCATTCTGGCCCATTCAGATCCATCCCTGTATCTAAGGAGACACTTGGCTTCGGCGCCTCTGTTTTGCCTACTGTAGATCGACTTTCATGGCACCTTGGCACCTTTGATAGCTGTGTTTACTCGTATTCTATTAAACCTAGCAATACTCGTTGCCGCAGCTGCTAAGCTCATTCGGTCCGAGTTCTTACTCAGCACTACGGTACTAGGGGTCTCAAAAACAACCTCATCCCCGTGTATACTCGAGATAACACGGGGGGCGCGCTGACTGGGTACGTGTAATTGTTTGATAACTTAGCAAGGGGAGACCAAAATTACGCGAAAATTGCAACAATAAGCATATAACGTTATCACTTTGCATATAACGTTATCACTGTGCATATAACTTTACCCTTGCAACAGTACTCCATACACCCCACAAGCATCTACTTTGTTAGTTTTGCAGTTCACTAGGTATGAGCAAGATAACCAGCAAAGATTAGCAAAAGTACCGTTTTTATCAAATTGTTAATTAAGATAGTTTAGAGTTAAAAAGGAAATACTATTCAAAAGCTTATAAAAACTAAATACTAGGTTAGTTAAATGAATAATTCATTATCTTCCCTTTTAATTTTAGTATAATTCACAAAATGTTAACCTAGGAGGAAATAAATGTATAACAAAGCCAAACATAGGGTGCTTATAAAACTAATATATACATATATATATATAGGTTTCCTTTTTTAGTGAAAAAGAATAACTATATAATATAATATATAACTTTACTATTACCCTATAAGTATAAAACAAGCTAACTAACATAGTGTATTACAGTGTAAATATTATAAGTTATATACTATAGAAAGCTAGAATTTTACTAATTTTATTATGTAACTTTCTTTTTTTTTCTTTAGCGCGAAAGGAAAGCTGCACACATATACATATTAGTTTCAGGGGTAACCTATGTTTAGCTTGTCTTACTACTCGGAGGAAACGGGATGCATACCACTCCAAATAAGAGAATCCATCTTCAGCCATTACATCACAGTTGAGACGTGCATAACTGCAAACTTGTATGCTAACCCAATCTAACCCAACCCCTTTTCACTTTTCGGCTTATTTTCTGTTTACCGCTTGATATCTTCATGTAGTATTACGCCTCCGTAAGAATGATATGTTTGATAGGGTGCAAACCTGTTTTATATAAACTGTGGGCATTGGGGAATTATTGAGACTCTTCTGAAGCCAGTTCCTTCGAACAGAGCGCTGTGAGAACGCAAAACTTCACAAAATGCTTTCCAAGGCGGATGTGACTGAACATCTGCTTTCACTTACGCTTATTGAAGCAGTCTTGTATGCCTTGGGTATATACTTGCTGGCTGTGGCTTTTCTTATCTTTTACCGTCTCACATTCCATCCGTTGTCACGATTCCCGGGACCCAAATTGGCCGCAACAACAAAATGGTATGAGTTTTATCATGACATCATAAAAAGCCCTGGAGGTCAATTTGCAAAGGAGATCGAGCGCATGCATGAACAATACGGTATACATGGTCCTGCAATCTACGCAACACAATACCTAACAAGTCCATAGGTAACATTGTTCGCATCAACCCAGATGAGATCCATATTCGAGATCCTTTGTGGTTTGATTCACTGTACGCTCCAAATCCAACGCAACGTGACAAGTATCCACCGGCAGCGCGTATGGTAGGCTTACCACTTGGAAGTAAGTGTACTCGTCAATTTAATTCTCTGCCGTGGAGTGATGCTAACTCTGCTCGACCCCTCTAGGCCATGGAACTGTTGAACATGACGTCCACCGCAAGAGGAGGGCTGCCAATGCACCTTTGTTCTCGAAACGAGCCATCGCATCAGACGGCCAGCTTCTGATCCGGCAGCACGCCAAGGAGTTGGGAAATATTTTTGAGAAATCATTGGCAGACGGTCAGCCAATCAATCTAGACACTGTCCTGCTCGCTTTCACCACGGATACCTTGTATCATTACGCCTTCGACAAAGATGCTGGCTTTATGCACGATCCTGTTGCCGCCCAAAGCTGGAGGAATGCTATGATATCTGTAGCTACAGCAACGCCATTTATTAAACAGTTTCCTTGGATCATCAAGATCATAACAGCAATACCACATGTACTACTCGCTTACATGTTGCCAGACTTGTCAAGACTCCTTGGCGTTCATCGGGTAAGACACATCCATCCAAGCCGCAGCCTTGCCACGATCTGACATAAATGACAGACAATGAAAGGTCTGGTTACTGAATATATGACTACCCGAGAAGATCGACCTCAGCTTGAAAGTCAGAAAACACATGGCGGGTCTGCAAAGATCAGTATGCAACGACCTCCGACTCTCTTCCACGCAATTGAAAGAAGTACACTACCACCACACGAAAAGAACGCAGCTCGCTTACAACAAGAGGGAGCAACTATGTTATTTGCAGGGAGCGAAACAACCGCTCGCCTCCTAGCTCATACAATGTTTCACATTCTTGACAATCCGGATATTCTGAGAAAACTCAAGGAGGAGATTCTGGAAGCAGTAGACGACGACAAGATACCAGATTTGAAGATCCTCGAAAAACTACCGTGGCTAGTAGGGGTTCCCAAGATGAATGCGCAGTAATTCTCATGCTAACATATCTAGACCGCTACTGTCCGTGAATCCCTTCGACTCAGGGCTGCAACAACTTCCAGATTGCCTCTCGTGTCTAAGACACAACTCGCCTACAAGGATTGGGTTATTCCCGCTGGGACACCAGTTAGCATGAGTCACCCGGATATTCTACATGACGCAACAATATATCCCGAGCCGCTTAAGTTTGATCCTGAGCGTTGGTTCGATGCGACTGAGCGGGCGAATCGTTCCTTTGTTGCATTTGGAAAGGGAACTAGAATGTGCCAGGGCATGGAGTATGTTAACCAACGCCATCCCTACCCGTTAAACTTTGGCTAACCTCACTGATAGTTTTGCTTATGCCGAGATGTATATCACCCTGGCGTTGCTTTTCTCTCGTTTTGACCTCGAGCTTTTTGAAACATATAGACACCGTGATATTGACTACGTGAGAGACTGTTTCCTTGGCGAGCCTGACCGGGCAAGTCCGGGAATTCGCGTCAAGATTGTTGCTGATAACGGTAAATACACCGTTTAAACCATCACATTGTGGTGGGCGATACGCTTACCGCTCCGATCCTATTATTCTATTTGACAGCTTAGATTTAGACAACTATGTATTGTTTTTAAACACATTCGTTTTAGAATTCTCCTCAAGTGCACTGTGGTCATTCATATGTTCATGTAGTTGTGTGGTCATGTGCGTGCGTGTGATTAGTCTGAGCTTAGCTCAAACTAAAGACTTTATGTTTATTTACGTAGTTGAGAATGCTGCGTAGTTTTACGTTCTGTCGTACCGTAGCGTTAACATGGCAAGAGATTAGGCTAATAATCAATGGCATTGGTAACGATTACAGTGACAGAACCAGCTGCTTCTAAGGGATCTAACTATTGCGGCAGAATCCAGATTATGACACGTGGTTTCCAAAAATGATACTTTTATGATTTTTGTCTTTCTCGTTCATTAATTGGGATATGGTGATTGTTACATTCTGCAGTAGCTAACGTTACTAGATGATATCTTGACCGCCATTGCAGACCACTTCAACAACACTTTTCTTCTAGGATTACGCACGGGCTTGAAAGGAGACTTGCCGTCCTTGTCGACTCTAAAACTCCGTGTAAGATATTAGTGAATATATGGGTGCCCGAAAATATAACGCTAGCGCCCACAAAGATTGAAGGTCCATGGCACTTCTGACATGTGCCTCTTACCAACTCCACTAGTACGCTTCCCTATCCCGGGTCATGTATAGGAGACTGCTTTGATAAGTGGGATTGCGGTGGTGTACCGGCATGAAGCTTAACGATCTTGACAAGGAACGGCAACTGACCAGCGATCTTGACAAGGAACGGCAACTTACCAGCGATCTTGACAAGGAACGGCAACTTACCAGCGATCTACCGGCGGCCCGATTAAGATGACTGCATATATCTCATCTCATCGCATTAATCTACGGTAATTAGATAAGGCCCGCACGATCAAATCGGAACCCTTGAAGTCTTGACCGCTTTGTTTCTATTTTCCAGATACCGCTCTGTTACAAATTAATTCGCTAGACCAGCTGACGGCGACGTGGTGCAGTTGATCACTGCTGGGCTTCATGCATGTAGTTGTCTAGGCTGCTACAGCGGGGACCTAAGCAAAAGTGAGTGCCTAAGAAAACCCATACTGAACACCCCTTAATATATCGTACAAGCCATATTTAAATAAAATAAATATATATTTATATGAATTTTTGATAATAGCTTCTAAAAATTTCATTTTTTTATATTTTAATGTATTTGGTGTTTTTAATTACAATAAGAGAAAGAATAAAATTATATTAAAAAGTGGTATTATATTTAGCGTTAGAAAACTAGTATAAAGGTGCTAAAACTTAACTAGTTATAGTGTGGATAATATATATTAGTATAGTTCAGCTTTAAGTAAAAAACTATACTTAATAATATTATAAACAAGCTATTATAGCTTCAATAAGGGGCCTATAGGGTAGGCTAAACTAAATTAATTACAAACCAATAGGCCAATTAAGACTATTGCAGCTGTTTAATAAAAAGGTAATAAAGCTGGCTTTATAATATAACTTAAAATACATAATTGATTATATAATTTTACTTTATATTACTTATTAAAGTATTTAAAATAAATACTTATTAGTATAGTTCAAGGCAATTGATAGGGGGGCATGATGTTTTTACTATGTAGGCATGACCTTAGGGGGGCATGATTAAATAACTAAGTTAGTTTTTATTATTACGTAATAAAAATAATATATTTATAAAGCTTATTTTTTAAGTTATTTATATATAATTTTTTTACCTTAAAATATTATAGCCTTAATTTTTAATTAAATATAAAAGAAAAAAAGGGAAAAAACAAAGGGTATTACATAAGCAAAATTTCAACTTTTTTTTATTATTTTATATAAAATTAAATAAAATAATTATAAAAATTAGGGTTGAAGTTATAAATAGACTTATTATTAAATCTTAATAAAAAAAATTAAATAAAATTATTTTCTATATATATATATAGTTATTTAATCATGCCCCCCTAAAGTCATGCCTACGTAGTAAAAGTGTCATGCCCCCCTATCAATTGCCTAGTTCAATATTATAATAATATTTTAATTATATATTTAAATACTTTGTTTTACTATTAGATATAATATTATTTATTTATTAACTTAATTACTTAGCTAATATAAACCTAAAACTGTAGGTTTATGTCTTAGGAATTATAATTTATACGAACTTATAAATACTAGTTAATTATAAACAACTTTAAATAAATAATAAATAAAAATATTATTTCACTTTTCTTATACTTATTTAAAATAATCTGTATTTATTTTTTCTTTATCTTTTTATTTTTATACTATTATTATATTTTTATAAGCTGTGTGTTAATGTATACCGTTTGCTTTGATCTCTCCTAACTACACCCTGGTTATACTTTGCTAGATCGATGGAGAGCTCGAGTACCATATTCCAGCCTTCTTTAGTAAAAGTCGTCCCCCCTTCGCATTCACATAAAAACATATTGCGGCAAAGGCGCAGAATCATCCAATTGGCTCCAAGTTTCCGTCACCAACTACGCGTTCATCAGTTGTTAGTACGTTGGCAGATCTACAAAGCCTATTTCGAGCTTGATACCCCAACATCAACTGACGAATATCTCTTCTCCGATCGCCCTCAATTATTCATGAGAGTTGTGACATTTGAGGATACTACCTTGATTACTGTTAGCTGGTTGCACACCTTAATGGATGGTATGACTTTGAGAGAGCTCTACACAGCTGGATAGCTGTTTTGGAGGGCCGAGAGCACGACGTGCGACCTTTGCACGAGTTCGAATTCGACCCATTAATATCACTGGGTACAGAGCCAAAGGAAGAGTCAGTCCTCAACAAGTGGAAAGTTCCCGCAAAAGAATGCTGGAGCTGTATGGTGGTTGAACCTCCAAAACCCGGCCGTTTCCAGGTCTCCTTCCTAGATCCTTTGATCAAAGCGGCAAAGACCTCGACCTGTTCCCGCGTTGTTTGCTGTATGATCCCCTTTCGGATGTGCGACGCGATAAAACTGAGCGGCTTGTTTAACACATCGCCAACAGAAAGGATCGTGTACAAGCCCATGATAGCGTTAGGTAGATATGAAAGACCCTCTGGTAGAAGGTCTTTAGACAAACACCCTCTCATGCTGAAACTATTCCGAATCGCAACCAATTGGTGAGGAGAGGGCTTCAAGATGCCCACCAATGTCTAACTCCACCAGGCAGAAATTATATCTTCATCACTAAGGAAACAAGCTGTCAGAATCTTCTGCATTGAGCGCGGCGAGCTCTTCTAATGTTCGGTGCTTAAGACCTTGAATAAATTGCGATGGGAGACAAATAAGACCAGTTTTCTCTTCTCCAGGAGGCAATCGTAGCTGCAACGAACTTCTTACTTGGAGCTCATGTTCTCCAACTTTGGCAAGGGAAAATTCTTCGACCTCGATTTCTCGTCAGCTGTTACAAAGGAGGTGTCGTCTGTTAAGAAGCGCCCTAATCCTCTCGGTAAGCCTTTTTATCAACATTACGAAGGTCACATCCCGCATTTGCGCAACTGCTACATTTTCCCCATGCTTGGGAAAGATCACATGGCAAACCTTTGGTTAACTGGTCCACTGCCACTGGGTGCCTGGGACGCAGTGGAGGAGTTACTCTGCGGTAGCTTAGCACTGCCGAAAGCGATTCGTCTTCACGGCTACTCCATATTGGTACACGCTCATAGGACTCGATACTCGGTGCTATCTCATATAGGTGCTACAAGGAATGCCTACATACCTACATAGAGTCGCTGTAGATGAATGTTTATGTTTCGGTCTGAGACCTATATTAAAATGTTAAGCTAGATTCATGTGATCGCTCACATCAGGCTCAAGAAATATTTCATCATTCTGTATCAACTGGTCTCTAGTACAAGGATAATATATAGCATCTACTAAAAAGCATCAAATGTCTCTCATAATTCCTTTTCCCCGTTCGATCGGTTATCGCACTCATCATATCCCTTTGTGATAAACGTGACGGAAATAGGATTTGCGGCATATTCTAGGACGCCATTCACGAACGGCAAGTTTATGTTAGGATTGTCCAAAGTTATCTGTGAGTTTCAAGTTAATCCTTTTGCAGCCTTTGCCCACTTTGAAGTATGGGGGACTCACGTTATACTTTAAAAGCAAAGTTGGGATAATCTTTTTTATCTCCAGCTCTGCAATATGTCGACCCAAGCATGCTCGGCTTCCGGCGCTCCACGCGAGGAAGCCTCGCTCCATAGCGATGCGTTCTGCATCAGATGCGTTTAGCCAACGCTCTGGTCGAAACACGTCTGAGTCTTTCCCGAAGCAGGCCTGATCCATATGTACAGCCATAGCGAGACAACCAATCACAGTGCCTCCGGGGATAAAGATCCCGTTGACAAAGCAACCTGACGGGGGAACAATTCTTTCCATTGGGATGCCAAGAGCTGGACTCAGTCGAAGAGTCTCTTTCAACACAGCATCCAGGTATGGCAGGCGACTGACCTCGGTGTAGCGAGGAGGAATAGAGAGTTTGCCAGACTGCCGGGCGGAACGCAGCTCTTTCATCAATGACTTGTAACAAGAGGGGTTCTTCAATAGAAAATACAAAATAGCAGTCATTGCGCCAGATGTAGTGTTGGTGCCGGCCGAGATAATGGAATTCACCACACTGGTGATCGTTTGAGGCTTGAGAACGTTGGGGTATTTCTCGCTGTAGTCAATGCATTTCTGCAAGAGATCTCTCCGATCTAATCCTTGCCCCTCTTTTGTGGCTGTCAGACGGTTGGTAAAGCGTTTTCGGCTCATTTTTGCCCATTCTGATGGTTGAGCAAGAAACCTGCCCCAGATTGGATTACGGTAGATGAAGCGCTCCAACTGTGGTAGGCTCTGCCAGGAAAACCAATGAGCAAGCCGCTTTGAAGTTAGCGTTGCCAGGCCGTAGACGTCTGTTCCGTTCTGGAGGTGACCAGGTGTCTCAGTAAACGCAATTTTCATGAGGAAATCTAGCTGGAACCACTGAAGAATCTCATGGAGTATGAAAGTTGAGCCGTTTCCAATTCGTTGTAAGAGTTCCTCCAGAGTAGTGTCGACGTCCGGCTCATAGTCCAGGAGGCTTTTTGTGGTAAATGCGCCGCCGATGGCACGCTTTAACGCTCGATTCTGCTCTTCATCCTGCATATCAACAATGCTGCCCACAGACTGGCCGTTTACATAGACCCTCATCGGCTCGTACGAGTCGGCCTATTAATAGCTTCTTAGACCTAATCATTTTAATAAATTTGCAATATTTTTGGCTTACTTTTATATAATCCCCTTTATTCGTATATATCACACTCACGTAGGCCGCATCACTGACGCTGATAGTATTTGGTCCAATCCGCACTAAGGTTCCATATTTCCGGTGCAGGTCAAGAAGATGCGGTAGAATCGGACCCCGATATTGGATACGAAACCTCCAAAGGTCTGTCACTGCCGCCAAGATCGGGCCAGGGACTTGTTTCAATCGCCAGTATTGAAAGAAAAGGTTGAGGGCAATACAAAAACTGATGATTGCACCCAGATAAAAAAGCACCGTCATTTTCGCTAGGAGACAGACGAAAAGTCTCTTGTTTCGAAATTGGTTTTCCTATTGGGCTGATATTTTCTCAACTTATATACAAATAGCTGACAACTAACCTGTGTATTATACCCCTGAGCATCTCAAACTTACCGCTTACCCGACAAGACCTAGTTTACATAGAATACCACTATTTCCAGAATTTCTGGACTACACGTCTAACGCGTAGCTTCACACATTTGCTTATAGCCAATAGTTGGTAATTTATAATAGTTATTATAAATATAATTATTAACTTAATCTTTTACCTTATTTAACTTAATAATTTAATAAAATTATTATATATAGTATAAGATATAAGTTCAAATACCGCTTCTTTAGCAGAGAGAGGCGTGGGGCCTAGTCGGCCCTGCTTACTAGTCAACCCAGCGTGTAAAGTTCACTAACTAGCATGGATTAGTTGGGCTTGAGTCTTGGGAACATCTTATTTCAATCCTTACAACTGCCCTTGTTGAGTACCAGGAGAAAGCCACCCCTATACCTATTGCGTAGTTAAAGCATATTACTCGGCCTAAGTGGAGCGTAATAATTTAGGTTCAAAGAAAATGCAGGGAGTTAACGTGATTACGTTGGACTTATTTCTTCTGTCTAGGTATACAGCGGGAAGTAGACAGATTATTTACATCAAATTTAACCCCTAGCATTGTCAGCAGCTTTGATGTATGGAGACAAGGCAACAGCAGTGGGTAAAATATCCCCGTGTTATATTTTCGCGCTGTGATTTGTGCAGCGGTAAGATAAATGAGGTGTCCGATCATATATCCAGTGCCGGTCGAACCTGGCCAAAGCTGCGTTCTTTGCCCTCAACGAAAATTAAAGAGGCTCACCATATTGTAATGGCTATTTTAATATACTCATTTGCATCATGAAACAGTGCTTATCAAGCTGGCTACTATAAACCTCGTAGGGTGTATAAAACAGCGGTGAGTGTCATGACGGGACGAGCGTTGATATCGACGGAGAATTAATCTCTGACGCTAGGGAGATCGCGGGCTGTGCCTTAAACGTATAAATCCTTAGTCTGCCAGCTCTGTTGTTCAAACGGTACGTCTACACGAAGGTGTTATGCTTTTTACGATAGATTTATCAATGCTGATTTATCGAGTTTAACAATGTTGTTGCCATCTATCCTATCTACATTAGTAGACTCACCCTTGTCTACTTTAGTGGCGACTTGTGGCCAGACGGTACGCCTTTAATGACCATTGAATTCACAGATTATTTCAGCCTGTCTAACTCTTTGGATTCAAGTTTATTATTTATTGTATCTGGTATATCGTATACCAGCTTGTCTTCCATCCTTTAGCTAAGTTTCCGGGACCACGGCTGGCAGCACTCACAAATGTATAATTCGAGAAAATGAAATCCAAGGAAATATTTACTGATTTAACGTAACACCATCTAGTTATACAAAGTCAGATTAGTGGTATCAGGTAATCACCACAAGAAAATAGACGACCTTCATACCAAATATGGTAAGCCAGCTCTTGATCCTTCAGAAGCTTTTACTAATGTCGATGTTTATAGGACAAACAATCCGGATTGGACCCAACGAGCTTTCTTGCATCCATCCCACCGCACTTAAAGATGTTTATGGTCACCACTCAACCTCCCAGACCTTTACCAAGGACCCAAGACTATATGCAAGTCCATTGGGTCTAACGGAGAGCATTGTGACAATTACCGATATTGGTCGGCACGCTGGTGTGAGACGTTTACTCTCCCACGCTTTCTCGGACAGAGCATTATCTGAACAAGAAGCCCTTATACAAATCTATATCGACAAGCTTATGATCCAACTGCGAGAACAAATGAAACACGGTTCCTTTAACATTATTCCTTGGTTTAACTTTTTCACATTCGACGTTATTGGTGAACTGTCTTTTGGGGAGAGCTTTGGCTGTTTATCAAATGGTATGACTTCTCCAGCTTGTTTTGCAATTCAATGGAATGACTAAAATATAGCTGATAGGGGAAATGGATGACTGGATTGTGGTCATTCTTGGTCGGGTTAAGGCTTTAGCAATTGCATGGGGGATCCGAAGCATACCATTGCTAAGTAAAGTATACCATTACTTTCTCCCTACCAGTCTACGCCAGCAAGGAGTAAAGCATATGAACTATTCGAGAGCTAAGGTTTCTAAGTAAGTCGTTCTTCGCATACTGATTAGAAACTAAGTTGATGTTTTCTGTGAATTAGACGACTGCAATCGACAACTGACAGAAAGGATTTCATCTCATGTCTGGCTCGGGAGGGCGTCATTAATTCTTTCTCGGTGGAAGAAATGTCTGCACATACAGCATCATTAGTGTAAGTTCTCAAGTGCGGCACTTGTACGCCTATTAACAGATCATACAATAGACTGGCCGGAAGTGACACGACTGCTACATCTCTATCTGGGATTTGCTACTACCTAGGCAAAAACCCTCAGGCATATCAAAACCTTGTCCGAGAGATTCAAGATAGTTTCTCCAATGAATCGGAAATCACGCATTTGAATTGTCAGAGACTACCATATCTTCAAGCGGTAATTGAAGAAGGCTTGCGTCTCTATCCTCCACTGCCCATTGGTGCCCCACGCCTTGCTCCCAAAGGTGGTGCAATGGTTGGCGATATATATGTTCCTGATAATGTAAGTATATCTCCCGAATTGATTGTTTGGAAGAATGTTTACTCAATACATTCCATAGACGTATATATCAGTGCCCTCGTGGACACTGACTCATTCCGAAGCGAATTTCTCAGATGCGTGGTCTTTTAAACCCGAGCGCTGGCTCAACCGATCAGAAGGAGATAATAGAGAACAAAGCCAGCCTTTCCTCCTGGGACCACGTGGCTGTATCGGTAGAAAGTAAGTTTTCTTCTATTGCTTCCCGCATTACGAACGTGTCATGACTGACGAATTACTCTAGTCTTGCCATGATGGAACTGCGTTTAGTGATGAGCAAATTATTATGGCACTTTGACTTTGAGATTGTCAATCGAGACATGATTTGGGAGAAAGACCAGACGGCTTATATTGCATGGCAGAAGCCGCAACTGGTCCTTCAATTGACACCACGTAACCCGGCAGACTAATGGGCCCGGTCTCGACACATGGCCAATCATTACAATTCTAGAGCCAGTCGGCAGCTGGACTAGAAAGATTACAGCTTGACTTTCCCAAGTTGTTGCTAAAAGATGAACTCTTCCTGGCTCTTTGGTATGCACTGTTAATTTCTTCTTGAGAAGACATCTAGAAAAATTAGTCACAAAGCTTGGACAGTATAGATTAGAATTGGACGCTTATAAGCTTCATTTTTGCACAATGACATCCGCTTCGAGATTCTGGCGCATTGCGGACCAGTAAACGCACAGAAAGAGTGCCAGATGGCAGACAAAGGACAATTTCGCACCGTACCGTCCGTAGTCTTGGCGGTTCTCTTCACCGTAGGCCATTCGCATTCCCGAAAAAGATGTGAGTTGAGTGAGACACCTGAATGGTGGTATGTGACCCTACTGGATCCAATGTTGTAGAGTCTCCACAGCATGGTCTGGTTATATCACAGCGCTTCCTTCGATATTTACGGGTCTTGCGGCCAGTTCTTTTGCGCAAGACTTTGCGTCATATCCGCTGCTTTCGGGCACCGCGGGCGCTCATGGATAACCCATCCGGACTATCGTCCGCCGTGTAAGAGCACGACTGTGATGCCATTAGATTTTGGGTTATGACTGAGTTGCGAGTAACATGGTGTTAACTGGTTGAAAGTAAGATTCATACTAGCTGCTGAGCTAGTAAGTTGCTAATGTGTGGCTGGCCCCGGTCGAAGAGGAGCCTTTCTTCCCCGGACCAACATTCGTAAAAGCCAGTGGAGTATCATCAGCCTATCCGCGGCACAGGCGTAAACGGCGTATATGGCATTAGAGTCTCCAGTTGGCAAGCACCCAGATCCAAGAGCGATTGGGATCCTATCACGATATCTTGAGTTACCAACAAATAACCTCCACGATCGATGTCTAGCTAAATGAGAAGATTAACGGGAGAGACATGATCTTCTACTCTTTATAGTCAAGCTTCCCACCATTCGCGTAAACTTCGGAATCTGTCTAGAGCATGAAGATTGAATATTTTCGTTCTTCTCCAGCGTGGAGCAGCTTCACACGTACAGATCCAGTCGAGCGTAACCCGCGATAATGGTGGATGGGATGATTTAAGACTCGCCACGGCCATGATTTCCATACCTCAGTCCCATTTCGACTGGGATCAAGATGCCAGGAACCCGTTTAACTGGACCTGGCACCGAAAGTGGACGACCGTCGCCGTGGCGTGCTGGGTAACCTTCATCACCGGCCTCAATGCGACATCCATCACCACAGCCGCCGAAGTCATCTCTCACCAATTCCACCTTCCAGATGATCGGATTGAGGTCAACTTCTTTGCCGTCGTGGCATGGAACGCCGCTGCCGCATTTGTACCCCTTGTCACGCTTCCGCTCATGGACACATACGGTACGAGGACAGGATATCTGGTATGTCATCTAAGCTAGATACACTTTATGTGTTCGGCCCTCTGCTATCAGCTTGACAAGCGTTGATTTATTATTCTAACGCGTGATTCAGGCGTGCTATGTGCTCTTCACCATCTTCATCATTCCGCAGGCGCTGGCACAGAACTTCGCCACCCTTGTGGTGAGCCGTGTCTTTGCCGGCGCGTTTGGCGGCACAGTGCAGAATGCGGCCGACGGCATCATAGCCAATGTGTTTCGCCATCACCATGAGCGAGCCTTGCCTTTAACCATTTATATCCTGGCCTTACTCATGGGAGTAACCATAGGACCCGTTCTTGGTGCTGTTTTTGAGCCTCTGAATTGGCGATGGTGAGTTTGCATTCATAAGCTTCATACGTTAACATCCCTGACCCTTTCATTCTGTGCCTGGCTGGTTTCTGATTTGATGAGATTAGGATATTCTGGATTCAACTTATCATATGTGGAGCGACCTTGCCTCTTGTTGCTTTCTGGGCGGAGGAGACTCGAGGTTCCGTCATTCAAGCGCAGATCTTCTCAAAGACCGAAACCGCTGCCCCGGCCAAATTGTCTGAGGATGAAAATCCGGTCAAAATGCTTAAAGAGACCATTACACGCTCTGCCAAATTCTTGGTGGCCGAGCCAACAATCACCTCGTTTACCTTATGGTCCTCTTTTGCGTTCGGCCTCGTCTTCATCTCGACTCAGTCGGTCCCTCTCGTGTTCGCTCGGGCATATGGTTGGGGTTCCTACAGTAGTGGCTTGGTCCAGTCCGCCATCGCCATCGGAGAGATTGTTGGCTTTGCGGCCTGCTTCTATCAGAACCATATATACGTGAGAAGCGCGAGGCATGGCATTCCTAGTACCGCGGACGTGGAAGAAAGCCAGGAGTATCATGACCCGGTTCCCGAATCCATATTGTACCTCTCCATTCCGAGCACGGCGATAGCATTATCCGGCGGCCTGTTCATGTATGGCTGGAGCATCTTCCAGGCCCATTGGGTTGTCACCGCCCTGGCGCTGCTACTGATTGGTTACGCAAGTATGGTGATTGTAACGGCTGTCACGATTTACATTACACATTCATATGCCGGGTTTGCTGCCAGTGCCATTGCTGCCATTGCATTTGGTGAGAACTTAGTTGCGGCTTTCCTGCCTTTAGCCGCAAAGCCCATGTACAAAGACTTGGGATATCAGTGGGCCAGTAGCTTGCTCGGGTTCGTCGCTCTGATCCTGACGCTTGCTCCTATTATCCTCCTGTGGAAGGGCCCTGCTATCCGAGGTAGAAGTAAAATGGTACAGAGTTTTCCACGCTGAATGCGAAGATTTACGATACCCAATACAAGAACTACGGCTAGAATTATTAGCAACAACATAGGCGCAAAGGATTAGTTTTTACAAGTATGGGGTCACACTGTCTTGCCATCGAGCCAGTGTCCAATCCCGCCGAGGGAACAGAAAAAATATGAAAGCATACAACAGCTGATATTTATTAGAGATTGCCTACCTAATTACCCATTATTGGGAATAGCTTGTTTGTAGATTAGAAAATGCCGGCTTCTATCTATTCCACTACATGCCGAGCCCATTATACTCTGCCATTTTCAGATCTGACTGCTTGCCGTTGAGTAGCATCGACGCAAAGTTCACAAACGACTGCGTGAGTTCCCTTTTTTCATCGTCTTTAAGTACCTTGGACTGTGCAACCTCCAGTTTATCGCTGATGGCGTCCAGTTTCTCCCAGACCTGAATAAATCTGTTGGGCGTTACTTTGCCCAAGGTGGAAAAGGCCTGCTTCATGGCATCGTGCTCGGAAATCCTCTTCAAATCGCCATTCGTAATTGCAATGCCTATGACGGAATCCACGTTCTGATTAGCGATCCTGAGGGCCATGATACTGGCCTTGACGCAATAAATAATCATGGCGGCCAACCCGGCAGCTAGAGCCGTAGCAACGCTCGACCCAGTCTCGTACTTGAAGTCGGCCACGCGACTTGTAACGCCAAATGACTGAGTCTCAGATGAGGTCCTCCCCGCCTGTTCTTTGACTACGTCGACGCCGGGGAGGACAAAAGAAATTCCGTCGTCGGGTGTCCATTCAAAAATGGTGCCATCAGCACGAGCAGCACCGATACGAAAGAAACGGCTGCGCCAGGGGCCGCTTGGATAGTCTAGTTCGGTAAACTTCCCTTCATCAGGTGACGAGCAGAACATGATAACTTTTCGTTTGACAGCCAAGTCTAGGATCTCGTGGACTGGCCGAAAAAGAAGAGTTAGTTACAATACAATATTGGATACGGCGTCCATGAATGAGGGCGACTTACGCTCATCTTTTGTTTCATTCTCGGCCGACGATTTCGGCAGCGTCCATGACATAGAAATAATAGTGGCATTTTTTGCGAGCGCTGCTTCGATTGCCTGGAGAAGAAGAGTTTGGTAGGTCAGTCTTGTTCGTGGCCATTAGCTACCATTTATAGGGTCAATAAGAGATATTTACCTTTGCCGCATATTTTCGGTCAATTTGGCTTTTGCCTCCGCTCACATCGTACGTCTTTAGTCGTATAGGATAAATTTTGGCCATAGGACATACGCGCAGGATCATACTAGCCATGACTGTCCCATGGCCCCTTGCCGAGGAAAATGGTGGCCGTACCTGACCGTCATGATAATCGAAACTTTTCCCTTCTAGAACTTGACCAGATAGGGTATTATCCAACCTATCGACACCATCGTCGATCAAAGCAACAACGACGTCGCCTTCAAATTCATCCTCGGGCCGCAATACCTTGTTAGGGATGTCGTTCCACTGCTCTAATGTGTTATCCCAAAAGGATCTCATTTCACCGGCAAATCTGGATGTGGAATCCAACCATCTATGTGAGTTGATGCCCTTAACAGAAGTGGATGCTGTGAAATTGGAAACACCTCGAGCCGTTAGTTTAGATCCATCATCCATATCTATGGCTTCAAGAAGAACTTCTATCTCGCCGGTTGCCTGAAAGGCATCCTGTTGTTCCAATTTTAAGTCTTTCTCTCGGGCTTCTTTAGAGTTCTTGTTGAGTCTCAGTCGAAACTCTTCAACCTTTTGTTTAATCCACTGAGGATCATCATACATCTAGTCTCTATGATTAGCTGGTTGCATCGCATTTGAAGCCAGGGATCGGCTCTCCAACAGGATTCATACTTTGCTGGCTGGCGGAACCAGGAGATAGACTCTTTCCAATCGAGGCAGCATTGGCAAACCTTCTGGCTCACTCCATGCCCGAAGTACAGCATTACTCCCACTCCATCTGAGTCGCAGCTCTCTCAATTGCCTATCAGGGAGAAGCTGCACATTCTTTGGATCCTCACTTGTCGGTGCAGCCTTCTCTAAGCTCCTCGCACTAACCCTGAGGATTGTCTCTGGGTCCAAGTCTGTCTTTTGCCAGTCCAGTGATTCCACAACAAAACGCTCAAGGCATTGTTGAATGGCCTGGTCTGTGTGGATCTTTTCTCCCGGATCCCCGGAGTCATTGACAGATACTCTAATAATGTGACGAACCCCCTTTTCATAAAGCCAGTTAAAGAAGTGTACCATGTCTTTACGGCCAAGATGCTCCTGTTTCCCCTTTTCTGCTCCTATTTGTCGGTCTGCAAGACGGCCCTTGATGGCTACCTCCACTTGGGGAAAAGTTACATATTGTAGAACTCTATCGAATTGGAAGCCGGATTTATTGTCTTTGCCAAACTGCTTCTCAAACTCATTCCACGCCACCTTGGCTGGTAAGCGATCGTAATCAAAGCTAATTTGGACATCTATATTCATTTTAGTCAACTGTCTTGTATGTGTATTAATCTTCATCTGTTTCAACTCACCCTTCATGTTTGTTCCGTACAGAAATGCAAGTGCCATCTCCGAGCTTCGAGTTCTCATGTAATGTAGCTTCAATTTTAGAAGAATCTCTTTGGAGACTTTTCGCTTTAGGTTGTAGTCGCTAGCGATGTTTGCCTTGCGGGTGATAGGAGTAGGTTCAGTCGCAAGGCTTCCTTGTTTTAGATTTCCGTCCAATCGACCCGTGTCTCTTCTTTTGATAGACATATTAGCCGACGACTCCATCGGCTGGGCCAGCTTCTTTCCGACGTCCAAAGCAGCTGGCACCGTGAGACTTTGACTCTCTCTGTCATTGGTCTGAGGTTGAGAACTTCTACTGGCATCACGGCCAGTAGTTCCTTGGCCTTTTACGAAGTCAAAACGACTCTTACGTGCGAGCGCTTCTGCCTCCGCTTTTAACCTCTCAGCCTCCTCTCTCTTTTTTTCCTGCCGCTCCCTTTCGCGGTCGTCTAGTTTTGCCTCTCTGCCAATAAAGCCCAATGAGGCTGTGGCATCTCTCACGCCGGTTTGTACGCTAATTTGCGGTTTGCTGTCTGCTTTGGGGTAACTGGGCAGTGCGGTACCTCCAGGCCGAGCAGTACTCGCTGATTGATCAGGTATTTGATTCGGAGCGCGCTGCTTCTTCCTCGTTCTATGGCGCATAATTTCGTTTTGTCTTGAAAATTGAAGTTCTTCGTAGACGGAGCGCCCCTCGGCGTTTACTAGGTCGAGAAATGTTGTCCCAGATGGCAGTTTACGTCGAGAGGCCTCCAAATCCCGGGCAACAAGCAGATCAATGATTTCGGCGCCGGCATCAGTACATTGCTTGAACGATGCCGCATAGTGCATAGGCGTATTGTTTCTATCGTCTTGAGCTTCCAAGGCCTTGTCATTAGCATTTTCTATCAGCATTCTAGCTGTGCTGAGGTTCAAGTTGCCTAAGAAGGCAGCATGTAGAGTTGTTCTTCCTCCCTGCGCGGTCTGTAGAAGCGCTGTTTCGAGGTTTTGCTTAACAGACGTCGTTTTTGCATCTGCACTCTTACTCCTGACGCAGGCGGAGATTATATATTCGGCAAGTTGATACGCGGAGTCTCTGATGGCCATATGTAATGGGTTGTATCCGTCGTTGCTTTGTTGTAGCAGAAGTTTCGGGTAATCCTCAACGAGTCGCTGAACGAGGCATCTCACATTTTCTGATTTCATGTCGTCACGTTTGATCATATCCACTATAGCGTGTAACAGATTTTCTGAGCCATGGCCAGCGGACTGGCCAGCAACGGCGCCGTATGCAGAGAGAAACCTATCAACATCAATCTCTCTGTCGATTGTTGTTGTCTTTATTGCCTTGACTGCTGCCTTGTATTGTTCCTCAAAGCTTTTGTCGTCTTTGCTGTAGACATAATTGTCTGCATTTTGTTCATTTTCGTTCTCATAGTTGACTGAGTCTTCACTCTCAGTATCCGAATCGGCCATATCGGGTGTGATAGGATTTATCGGAATGCTGGAAGGAACAAATTAACCCTTTCTGTTATGAGTGAGGAATTGTTAACATAGTATGTTTATTGAGTAAAAAAAGAACGCATTCGAGACAAATATGTGATGAAGGTGACAGAGTATCTTCTTGTATTAAAATGAGGGGGTAGGTTGTTCAGGCGACCAATTATTGGGCACACAGAACAACCCCTTCGGTCCATACCCCAATGTCGACGAGGCATACAGTGTACCGTGTACATATAGATTTGAACAGGGTTTGTGATCCATTAAGTTGCTGAAATATTCACGCATTTCCTTACAATGTGCCACATTAAATCCCAAGCATGCATGGAATAAGATTTTGTAAATTTCTTTTCTAGGGAAAGATACTGTGCTTAGTTAAATATAGCCACAGGTATTGTGCCTTGTGACTCATTTAAAGAATATCGCTCTACGTCTGAAGAGCCTCCATCTTCAAACCCAAAACAGGCAAACGGGCGGGGTTCGGGACAGAGCCTCAAATCGTATCTACATTTAAGGCACCCCTTTCACTTTCTTACATTAAACAGTCTGAGAATCGGCTGTGTCTTTAATTTCCAACTTTCTATCAACTACCGTTGGTCGCGTTCTGTGACCTCCCACCTTGCTTAACATGCCTGAGGTGGAACAAGACTGTACGTTTGATAATGAAGATGCTATCGATGCTATAATGTTGAGCATGTATGAGGCTGGAGGAGAAGAAGGGAGCGGTTTTCACATCTTCAATGTCGCTGCAGATCAGTATCATCGCGCTGAGGTCCTTCAGCGAACAGGTGCCATCGATATTACCTGTAGACTTGAAAAGGTGATCCATGGGGCAATGTCAGCAGACAGCGAGCGATACGCAACCCTGGTTGTTCTACAGTGGTTCTTTCAGTCGAGCAATAAGCGCCGCATTTCGGAGGCCACTATCGAGCTTCTGTTTGAAGCAAATTCGGGCGATGATGATGATATTGAAGTTGAGCGGATCTCATTCGACGGTACATACAGCTTGATGCCAACAACACAACAGGAGAGCCTCACTACGGGAGGCGAGGCTAGCGTTGGCATAAGCCAGCTCGCCAGCTTCAGTCTAAGCGGAAAGTGGGAGAAAGTAATCACTAGGCAAACATCAGACGCCGTCACACTAAGCGGCGGGAAACGTATCGTCAACAACAGGCCGCCGAATCGCATCGCAAAATGGATCCTCTCGGAAAACAAATCGCAGCCCACAGGTATTCCGGCTTCTCTGAAAGTGGCTGTTCTTGTCTCGAGATTAGAGGAAAGGAAATTTACTTGTCGATTAGCATTATCATGCAAGACAGACACAAGGACGGCTGCCGAGAGCTTCTTTAAGAAAATACCCAAAGATGACCCGATTGTTTTTCAACCAGACTTTCATGACAAGGGGACGCGCCCGAACAAGAACGTGACTTATGGCGACGAAACGCTGGGAAGCATAGATCTTAACAAACTTGGCGATGTGACCTTTAGGGCTATCATTACAAACGGGGAAAATACGCTGCAATAGAGCTGCGGTATTCTGTATCCGGTTTAGATTTCCTCATCCTTGACACTATTTAGCAGCAGCAGAATAGATAGTGATGTTTAACACTGGCCGAGATGCCAGCATCGCTGTTGCCTAAGACGGGTTATATTATGAAATGGTGAATAAGGCTTCCGTCATCATCCCATGCGCGATTATTACGCTGGGGTATAGCTGCGCAAGTCGCAATTGGCTATTGTTATTTGTACTCCGTGGACAGTCCTATCAATTGAGACTGGGTACGCCAAATAAATACATGCAAGGATGCGTGCGCGGGTAGAAATGCAACAACCCCGCTGTGTTTCTCTTACCAGGCTCCAAATATCTTCTAAAACTTACTATATGCGAGCAAAAGAGGGCCCAATGGAACATTCTGAAATCTTTCATTGACAGAAGAAACGTTAGAAGGGGCGCCTAGACCGGGCGAAGATCTAGCTTTCATCATGGAACTCAACTTGGCACTTCCCATACAAGAGGTGTCCCAAGAGTTGGAGGCTGAGTCTGAAAGGCTGAGAAAGAAAGATGAAGACGACGCCATCGATGCTATAAGTGTAAAGACAACAACAGATCAAATCTTCAACCCACCAACGGAGCCACAAATCCATTTGGAGCAACGGAAGCTTGGGCTGAGCATTGTCCGAAACCTCGGCTGGTCTGGTTCCTATTATGATGATTATGAGTATGAGCAAATCTAAGCATACGTTAAAAAATTAAAAGGCTCACTGTGGACCAATAGCGTTATCACGGTTCATGGCATACGCGACGATTATAAGACTGCCTGGATAGACAGAGAAGGCTCATGGTGGATAAAAAACAAACTATTCCGTGATCTGTCAGCCAGACAAATCGATTATTCATATGAGATACATGAGGATTCATGTTTGTATGAAACAGACGGTCTGCGACTGCATGCAGAACGGCTTATAACTGCGTACGCGAACGTTCGTAGTGAGCTCGGAGATGTATGTTTACGACGTTACAAAATTACTAACGTGAGTGGCTCTAACAAGAAAACTGATAGACTGAAAGAGACCGCCCCGTAATCTGGGTCTGTCACGATCTCGGCGGTACAATTGTAAAAGAAGTATTGATAAACCAGTTTTCTTCCCAAGCTACCATTCACTAAGAACTATAGGCTCTTTCCATGGCGTTAGCCCGTCCTGATAAGTTTGGAAGGATAGCTATATTAAGCACAGCTATTGTGAGTCTACAGACCGATTATTTCTTCTTATAAATAAAATATGGTATTGATCATATTCGTAGCTGTTTCTCGGCTCTCCCCATCGATTCCGTTCTTTTGAGGACCTTGAAGAGCAGCTCCTTGCACTTATTCTCCTTCAAGGGCCTGCTATCAGGACTCAGTTACTTAAAAAGGTCAAGATGCTTGCTCACCAGGTAGAGAGAGCTAATCAGACATTTCTAAGCACAAAGTTATTCTATCGGGTTACGGTTTTCAACATCTTCGCTCATAATATCCATGACGCTGGGAACCAACGATTATTTCAGGATAAGGCGACCCATACAAGAAGCGTAAAGAATAACCAGGAGGTTATAAATACGCCTTACACGGCTACTCCTTTCTTGCGCTTCGGGCACGATATTGGACATCCGTTCGAATCATCGGGCAGATTTGTTCTAGATAAAGTGAATCATTTAGATATGGTCAGGGGAGATGGACCAGATGAAAGCTGGGTTACGCAGGTCTTCAATCTGTTTGACATAAACGGTTGCCGTGAGTCTCTTGTTTGCACTCTTTGATCTTTTGAAGCAGGGTCAAATTTGCCTTTCTAACATAATGTGCTCGATGAATCAGCCATCAAACTCAACCATCAGATTCTCCCATTACAAGCTTGTTTCCTATCGCTGGCTCCCCCGATACGGCAATTCGATATGTCGTATGATCCGATGATATCCAAGGATTCAACAGTGTGTTGGATCATGGAACAAAAGTTATTTTCAGAGCTCAACAAGACATACAAACGCCCTGAGATTATCCATTTACATGGAGATGGGAGCCCTCGTATTGACATTAGTGAAATTTCTCGACGCCTTTGCGCTAATTTTGATAACTCTCGGGTCATCGCTGATAATGGGTCTCGGACGCCTGTTAGAAGTGTCATTTACTTTGAGTTTGATCAGTGGGATTCCAAATACAACAACATTTCGTCCATGCTGTTATATTTTATCAACATTGTGTCCTGGCGCCTCTGGCCGCACAACTATTGGTTCGAAGATTTGGAAACCCCCGTAAGAGACACCAAATATTGGTCATTGGAGACCATCTGGCATTTTTTTATCGTTCCCTTTTTGGCCTCTACGCCTTCGAAGCTCACGTTCTTCATCGGTTGCTTTGATCAGTGCCCCGAAGAAGAGCGCAAGTGGTTTTTGCAGCGCATTATGCTCTTTCAGAGTTATACCGAACAGAGCCCTAGCTTTATTCTGTCTACCTCTAGTCAAGATGGTTTAGCCATCGAAGCGTTGTCCGAAGATTGGCGCATTAACCTGCAGGAATGCCCAGCACTCAACCAGCCAATCATCAAAAATACGTCGACTGATGAACTTCGGTCTGGTCTATTTGATCTTATATCGAAACGTCCTGTTTATGAAAAGGTCCAGTTACAGCTAGACGCGTTACTTGAGCAGTGCAGCGATATGCCATATCTTGGGTTCATTATCCTAAGATGGCTTAGCAATTACCGCCGTGGAGCTGCAAAGTCTCAGATTGCTGATCTTATAAGGCAGCTTTCACCTGTCACTGTGGAAAATACAGCGTGCGTTTTTGTTTCCTCGTTGAGAAAAGAAGATCAGCCAATGATGAGAGATATATATAACTGGATCAAATACGCAGCGGAACCATGGACGGCAGAGTCATTAAGCGAGGCGCTTACCATCCATCAAAAACTATATGGAGAAGCAACGGCTGAAACAGAGCCATCTATTGATGATGTTGATCCCAGGGATCTCCTCCTCAGTATTGAACAAGTATTTGGTGGAATCATCGTCATCTTGAACCGCGATATCAAGTTCAGTCACTCGTCGTTTTACAATGTGTGCATTGACAGGATGACACCAAAAGACGATCTGGAAAGAGACAGAGTGAATGGCGAGATTGCTACAGCTTGTTTACGATATTTTATGCTCAAAGACACCCAGCAGAAGTTGTTAAATCTCTTCCCCGGAATCCTCGATGGTGGTCCATGGACTTCCTTGCTTGATGCAACGGTCATTGCTCACCAGCAAGACAGCATGGCTGAATATGCGGTGCGGTTTTGGCCCCAGCATTACAATTCCAGTGGCAAATTCAAGCCCAGCAATTTAGTACATGAACTGTTTTCCAACCGCGCAGCTCGAGCCGCCTGGGCGGTACCTTTCTTCTTCTTCTCCAATCCACTCACCCGGATCAACAGAAGCTACGTCTCTTCGCTACCAATATTCGCTAGACTAGGTCTCGAAGATTTGGTTAATGAGTATTTGGAGTCCAAAAAGAACGAGCATGGGTTCTTCAAGGACTGCTGGTATGCTGTCACAGAGGCATCGAGAGTGGGAAATAAAACCATCGTTCAGCGATTGCTTGACCAGCTTCCTGTGGATGAAGACGAGCTCAGAAACTCATTATTTTGGGCTGCAGCTTACGGGAGAGATGGCGTGGCAGACCTTCTCCTTGAGCGTATACCAAATCTCAGTACCTTCCAGTGGCCAGAACATATCTCGTATCAAGCCGCTGCAGCTGGATTAGACAATATTCTCGCAGCTCTCATACAAGCCGGTTATAACATGAACGAGCTGGGTCCTTTGTGGAGTTCGCCTCCAGTTGTAGCGGCGGCGTGGTGGAATCAAACTTCCACTGTGGAGTTTCTGGTAAATTCTGGTGACAAGATTGACCTCTCAGTATGCGCCAGTGACGGCGACGATGCATTATTGGCTGCCTCACAGGTGGGTGAGCCGCACGTCGTCGACATCCTTCTCCGAGGAGGTGCGAATGTTAACCACAAAAACCACATTGACATGGGACCTGTCTACAAAGCCACTATTCAGGGCAAGTACAAGGCGCTCAAGTACCTTCTGGCGGCCAATGCGGAATTTGAGAACGACCGGGAGGGTGATACAGAGAACATCTCCAGAGGGCCGCCCTTGCTTACAGCAGTGAGTTCTGGCTACCTAGAATGCACTCGCTTGCTGCTGGATGCAAGCATTGCTTGTCAAAACGCTCAAACTGGCGCAGTCCCAGAAGATGTGTCTCTCAATATTAGTTCGGGCAGTCATACACATATTACATGTATGTTGCTTCAGAATGGTCCAATTCCGCCAAACAACGCTCCGAGCACTAGGCAGCTCCTTCTTGAGGCTATTGAATCGGGCAATACCCAACTTGTTTCGCTGCTGATCAAACATGGTGCTTCTGTCAATGCCTTTGAAACGCCCTTGACATTGGCGGCTAAACAAGGCAGTGTTGAAATGGTGAGCTTGCTCCTTGAGAAAGGGGCCGACATCGATGAGGTGACGAAAGGCGGAACTACGGAATCGCCCTTATTTCGTGCCATCTTTGCAAACAAAGTAGACGTTGCAATGTTGCTGTTGGAAAAAGGTGCTCGTATACAATGGGAGACAGATTTAGGGTTGAGTATGCTCAATAGCGCTTACAACACTCCAGAGGTGATTCCTGAGCTACTTCGAAGAGGCCTTGATCGTGATCACCAGTGTGTTTATGGAAGTACTCTTCACATGGCCGCACGATGGGGATACCCAAAGGCGATGAAAGCCTTGCTAGAATCGGACCCTAAGCCTAACCTGAACCTCGTGTACGGGGCCGCTGATATCTTCTCGGAGAAATCGGACTCAGAATACATCATTCGAGATGAGCTTGGTCTAACGGCTTTGTTAATCGCCTGCCAGAGATATGAGCCCGAATGTGTGGAGCTCTTGTTGAAGGCCGGTGCGGATCCTCACTTTCGTGGCAAAGATGATATCGAGGCTTCTGATATACTCATGCGAGCTGGGAATCTCGAAAAAGCTGAACGATGCCTCAGACTATTTCTATCCGGGCCTTACAAAGAATCAGCAGCACAAAAGCTGGACAAGAAAGGAAATACCTTGTTGCATAAGATTGAAAAGAAGACGCTCGTATCGGTGTTGCAGCTTCTGGTTAAAGCTGGGGTACCACTGGACAGCAAGAATCGGGATGGATACACTCCCTTAGCCATCGCCGTTCAAAAGGGCAACGAGGCAGCAGCCAAGTATCTCATCGAGTGCGGAGCCTCTCGTACAGGCAGTGTTTTGCGCTTAGCTTGCGCACAGGGTTCCGTGAACCTCGTCGGACTGCTTATCCAAGAGGGCGCTGATCCAGAGGCTATAGAGCCGGAATATGGCAGGTCGCTTCTTTACACGGCACTCCATATAGATGACGAGGCAGCATGCAGCCAGATGGTGCGTTATCTCGTTGATGAGGTCAAAGTTCCGCTTGATCAACCAGGTGGTCAATTCAAATACCCCATCATTCGAGCCGCTCATATTGCACATGGACCCGAGAGCGCCGGATTGAAGGCGCTCAAATTGCTCATCCGGCGGAAGGCGAGGCTTGATGTGGCCGACGATCAGGGGCGTCGTGCAGTGCACATTGCAGCAGCATTATTATGCAAAGACGGTCTCTGTGCGCTTGTTCGAGCAGGTGTAGATATTAATGTACGAGATAAGCTTGGGCGTCTACCGATTCACTTTGCGGCTTCAGTAAGCAATCAGGACAACCTTGAATATCTGCTAGACGAGTTCAAAGACATCAACATTGACGCAACGGATTATGACAATTGGACATCGCTGCTATGGGCAAGTCGGACGGGCGCCCTTGGCAGTGTGGCTCAGTTGCGTGAAAGAGGTGCTGACGTATGGATCCGAGGTCGAAGGCGAGTTGAAGACTCCAAGCCGGAGGATACGTGGTCGGCATTAAAGCTTGCTCGTTTCGCAGATAGAGATTCTTCATGGAATGAACATCTCACGCCCAAGGAGAGTACAAGAGTCAACTCAGATGGCGATACAGAGGAATGGAACGACTCCCTCCACAGAAGCATGCCTGGGGATCAAAAGACGATGAAGTGTGAGAGTTGCTTTACGGCAAGTGTTACTGTTGATACTCGCACAGATTCAAGCATGCTAATGACTATTATAGGAAATTCTGGGGATTCGCTGGGAATGTCAGCAATGTGCCGATCAAGTTTCCTTTTGCTTCAAGTGCTTCGGTCGTCGTGATGACATCCACGATTCAGGTCATTCTTTTGAGGAGATAGGACCTCTCTATATACAGGCGTCATTGGCGCAACGCGGAGAATCTCTTGCAAATCCTGAAGCCGACTTGACTTTGGCAGATGGCTCAAGATTGCACGAGGAGATGGAAGCTGTAGTAGGCGGTGAGGTCAGTGCAGCAGCTCCGGAGGATGAGGCTTCCAGTGATATAGACTTGGACTTTCATAGCGAGGATACGGACTCAAGTTCCGACTTTTGAAAGTAGCCTTGTTTAATACTATAGGTAGGTAGAGTCAAAGTATTTACCAACAGGGCCTCAAGCTGTTTTCACCAGGGCTGAGTATGATGCGAACCCGCTTCTGAGAGGGGTCTGCCATACATCAGTATGCGTCGTCCTTGGTACTGTTTTTGAGGGTAAGAAATAGATGTTTCGATAATCTACGTATACTTTGGCTAGATGCTAAGGCTCCAATAGGATCATCTTGTTGCAAATCTACATATGTCTTCCCTCACGTTGAGAGTATGATGCAGCTAGCCCATTCCTATGAACAACAGTATGTTGTAAGGGGCTGCAAAGGAGCCATAGGCGATCTCATCAACGCATTTTGACAGCGATTGAATACATTAATAATGATGTACTTGAATTCCTTCATTGTCTAAGTAGGTACGTAAATGGCAAGCATTCCTCAATAGACGCTTGACTTGCAAATCATTTGCAAACCAGCAAATGGGCAAAGTGGGCTATGATTAAAAAGGAAATGCCCACTAAGGACTCAGCCTACAGCGATGAGACCTCCCACACCAGGCTGTCAGCACAGAGCCACAAACAGATCATAGCAACCAGAGTCAGAATTTACAACCTGAGCAAGACAACAAAAGCAAAAAGAAAAAAACATACAACAGCCGGTGTTCGCCAGTGGTCACCCACCTGACTACTAATCTGCCGGTTAGTGGCTTATCTATGGGGGAGCAGACGGGACCCCGAGCTTTCCACTACCTATGGTCGTATGTGCAAGACTAATGCAGTAATCTAACTTATAATCATGAGCTAGATATATTCAATTTACAAAAACGAAAAGCAAAAATATACAACAGCCAGTGTTCGCTCGTGGTCACCCACTTGACTACTAATCTGCAGGTTATATCCAGGGCAGGAAAACCCAGCTAGTCCATCTACCAAACTGTTTGCGTCCATTCCTCTATATACCAATGGTGGCGGTTGACCTGATCCCCTTCTCGCGGCTTCTCTTATAGAGCTTCTCATCTCTTCCTTGTTGAAATACTTTGACACTGGCTCTATTTAGTTACTGTCAACGTAGCACCTGCCTGCTATCCAACTAATGTAAAGAAAGAGCAACTGCTTATGAGTCTAGGAAACAAGTTATATATGACCGCAGGCTTGTTTATTTTGTTTTGTTTCTTTTTTTCTTCATCGATGCCGCCGCCACCGCCGCCGTACCGATGTTTGCAACCGACATTATCGTGACTGCCGGCATCGTCGCCATGGCCATTTGTGCCATGGCGACCACTTATCGTCTCTATTTCCCTCCTCGTCCTCGTCCTCCTCGTCCTCCTCCTCCTCGAATCGAGCTCGCACCACTCGAAAGAGTGGTGAGAGACCCTGGGGCAGCCCCCGGGGCTCAGGCAACTATCGTGTCCCCCGCCTCCTCCTAGGTTTGCTTGCTAACGGCAAACAATAGGTACTGCCTTTCCCGGTCGGGCTCACCAAGTAAGACCGGGGGGTGGGTGGTCGTGGGCCCCAGCAGCGCCTCACATCTCACCGCGATTGCTGGGTCTAGTAGCCTCTCCAAGGAGAGGTGAAGCTAAGTGAGGCATCTTTTACTGCTGAGTCTCAAGCTAAGTTACTCGCCGTTCTGTATCGTTGTGAGATGTGTGAGCTGACGGTCTGTGCTTAGGTACCACGACTCGTCGTTATCAGGCTCCTGGACAATCCTGTATATTTTCATAAGGGAGGAAATGGTGCGAAGGCCGGGTCTGGACAAGGAAAGGGTGCAGAAACCGGGTCTGGAAATGTTTGATATTGTACGGAAGAGTGGCCCAAATAGTCTGGTAACTCTCCGGAGGTTCAGGGCAATAGTTGACAACGGAGATTCAATTTTAAGTCTTTCTTGATTCAAGGATTCTCTCCTCTGTAAAAAGTCAAGTAGGAAGCTATATTCCACCCAGGCTATTTATCAGCTTTATAAAAACGTTCTGCGGCTTTACTTGAACAGTCCCAGTCCCATAATAGATTCTCTTTGACCATAACTCCCGGATACTACCATGAGTATAATCCACATAAGGACCTAGGTAGTGCCAATGTGCATTTGTATCTCTTACATGTGCCTTCCAACTATCTATTGGTGACCCTTCCATCCCAAAGTCGTGCCAAGCCTGAATTATCGCCTTTCGCTTATCTGTAGAAATTATAACTGCAAAATCCGTAGGGCAGTGTAAACAAGAATTAAATATCCACTGGCCAGGGGATTCATAAGCTAATGTAATACTATCCTCAAGTAAAGTAAGTTCTTTAAGTAAGATGGACCCCTCGAGCTGCTGTATACTATTGTTATGTATAAGCTCATGGATACGTAATTCCTTTGAACGACGAGACATTGCGGGTCCGCCAAATGTATTAATATGCATGTGCGGGCAGACTGGGAGGTGTAATTGTACTCTGCTTGGGAAGAGTGGTAAAGCAGTTGCTTTATTGCTGATTTTCCACTGTTCACGTAAGATAAACCGTTTGTTGATAATCTTAGGTTCTGCAGTAAATTTTCTGAAAAGTGGTAATATAGATAGCCTCCTTGTATCTGTATAAGGTTTTATTATTGCCGCAAGATATTGTTGATATATATTTCCCAGGCGAGATAGCTTAAGTGCAAGCTGTATATGGTAGTGCTGGATAGAATAATTTTCGAATTCAATTCCTCGAGAATATTTGACGCTGCAAGGGATCTCCCTATGCCTTTGAATCCAAAAGGCCGCTGGTATATCTGAGGTATTAATAGGATGTAGTTTGCAGCATTTTAAACAGGCCCAGTGATTCGGTAAAGTGTAAGCCAGCCCTACCCAGAAGCCCATCCGGTCTTTAAAAGAAAGCCGTGAGATCTTAATATCCCAGTCTTGTAATGTAACTTGCCGAAGTGCCTTACAGGAGTGTGAAAGGAGGAATTTATCATGTAAAGCCAGGTTGTCGATAATAAGAAAGAGAATGTCTTGCGGAAGCTGGAGAATAGCGGCGCTGAGGTTCTTTTGGTAGCGTGCTTTGCTAAACGGTCGATGTAGAAACTGTAGACGACGCATTTTGATAATAAGTAGTGAATGAAATTCGGGGGTGGTTTCTGAGAAGGGGGCGGCCCTTTTTGTTCTTTAATATACCCCTATGAAGGCTACATGTACGTAATTATGCGCTAATGGCGTTTTTTAAGTTTGGTTTTGTATATAAAGCTAATAATTTACAAGCTACACGTAATAACTTAATTTTACAAGCGCTAAACTAATTCGTTGCTCAACCACCAAAAACGGACTCATTCAACTCCAGATCTTGAGCCATGGGATGCAAAAGATGGAAAGCATTACACTCAAGAGAAGTGCTTAACGGGACCCCGAGTTCTCCACTACCTATGGTCGTATGTGGTAGAGAGACTGAGGAGAGGACTTATATAACTTCTTTGGTTGAGTATCTTACAAGGGACGATATGCTTGTGCCGTAAACATCTGTACATAAGCCAATAGAGAGTAGATTGAGTCGATTACACCGTGAGGATGTGTAAAATACCTGATTATAATGCGTATAATACCCTTAGTATATTGCACTGTCAGCACAAGATAACGTCATACATGACGGTTTGTCACAAGAGCTCGTATTGGATTTTTTAGTCAATATTCCAAGAAATACATATGGAATAGTAGGCATATAGACCATGTAGTACCTATATATAGATTGGTGGTAAATGCTGCTTGGTTAACAAATATCGTTATTCATCATCTTGACTGCGGGTTATAGCACCGGCCAGCCCCGACACAATCTCATCGTTGTTTTCATAGCGAGTATTTTCCATGACACATGGTAATGCGCCACCAATTTGAAGGACAAAACGGACCGCCTAGCATCAATGGAGGTGGTTAACGGCAAGGGATAGAAGCTATACGAGATAGCCCACCATGTATCCACTAACTAGAATAATAAGACTCACTATGCATAGGTATTGTAACACACAATGCCTGACTATGGAGAATTTTCTCTTTTCTTTTTTAATGGGGCTTTTAAGCATTTAGACGGTGTTGGATGGAGACTCGTGGAGTAGGAGACGAAGAAGGAATGAAGCATAACTATAACCATATCCTGGCTACAAGGTTGGTTTACATACATAAGAAACCGCCATGTCGCTTAACAACGGCCTTCTAGACCTCGAAAAAAGGAGAAGTGTACCTACAAATCCAACTCGCCAGCTTCCCATTTTACAGCTACCGGTATGTAACTTCAATCAGCAACTTCTGTAGTTGGTCAAGCAAATCTTGCCGCCCCAAAAATCCATGCGAAGGCGCTTACATGCAGTCTGACATTGAACTGATGGCCTCCATAAATGAAGATACCTTCCTTTTTTAGAGAAATCTCCTGAAAATCGATGACATAGCGCCAACCTGAAAATATTATAATACGATTGTTTCGCCCGTTCAGCGATGTTGGCACGCAACAAGACAAAGCATGACCAGAGTCAAGATGCCGTCCTTCAATCCAGGTCTCATTTCGCTGTTTCTTTTTGCCCTTCCCAGGGCTGCCATCGCCGTCAATGATGTCGATGCCGGCTTTGATGCCTACGCAGCGTCCCAGGTGATGGTTGACAAATCCTCTCATTCCTGGGAATGGGGCACAACCGCTGAAGCTCTTCTAGAGCTGTATAACCCTGAGCTGTCTGTCTTTGGATCCAATCCTTTCCCTAATGGCAAGATTCCTCAGGCCGACCCCAGCACCACCGCCCTTGCATATGCGAAGCAGTTCATAAACCGCAATTCGCAAACGCTTGTCGATGATACCGCGGTCGGCGATCCGGCATCCCTGGGTGTTTCAGCAATTCTCCTTGGCCAGTCGGACAGTGTCTACATCGGCGCGGCCAACCGCGAGTCGGACTTTATCCTCAAGATTGCTCCACGATGGAGTAACGGTGCGATCTCCCATCGATCGGATGTTGCCGAGCTGTGGGCTGACAATATGGCCATGTCTTTCCCATTCTGTACGTTGTTTCATCTTGTTTACCCAAACATACAGAAGTCGCAGCTAATATGATTTGTCTGTCTTCAGTGGCTTATCTTGCCGTTCAGCATAACGACACCTCATTGATGTCTCTGACGGTGCAACAATGTGGCCTGCAACGCGCTGTTCTGAAAGGCAGTAGTCTCAGCTGGCAACACATCATCGGTCCCCAGTCTCAAGACACGGGCCTTTGGTCAACAAGCAACGGCTGGGCCGGCTATGGTATGGTGCGAGTGCTGCACACACTCCAGAAGTGGAGTGGTTCGGCTTCGATGACTTCACAAGCCAACCAACTCAAGGGGTGGATCAAAGAGATCCTCGATGGCGCGATTCAGTCGAGCAAAGACAGCGGCTTATTGCGCAATTACCTCAATGACGGCAGTTGGTTTGGCGAAGTTTCCGGAACTGCAGTTCTAAGCGCTGTGGCATATCGAATGGCCGTTAACGACCCTGCTATGTTTCCGCAATCATACATCACCTGGGCCGACTCAAATAGAAAGTCTCTAGCACAGAAGCAGAACAGCGGCGGCCTTTTCTCGCCGGCTGTGAACCCGTATAACTGGCATGATAGGACTAAGTATACTGCTGGATCACCTGAGGGCCAGGCATTCGCCGTTTATCTATACACAGCATATAGAGACTGCGTCAACGCCGGGATTTGTCAATAACCCACCGCATCTGCGGCTACTTAACAATAGTCTTCGGTCTATTGACATTCTGTCTATAATGATACCTAGCTACTGTATATATTATGTTAAAGTACTAGCCAGCTTGAACCAAATAAATTGCATCTAGAAACTCGAACAGCCCAGCAAATGTCATCATGCACCGCGGTATTCTTGGCAGGAAGTTACAAAGACATATTTCCAACTCAGTTATTCACCCTATTTATAACCTCTATCTTCTCTTCACCACAATCTGTGTCATCTATGCTTATCCATAACCATCAGGAGGAGCTGACCACCTGTCCTTGAAGGAAGGATGCCCAGCCGTACGCTATTGATACTCGGATAACAAAACATACGAGCGCCTTATTTATCGGACACCTTGTAATAACGCGACCAGACGCTCTTTTCTTGATCGATCTTCGCGAACAGTTCCGCAGCGCCAGGGATCTTTTTGGAGTTTTCGATTGACTCATCTGCTGCTGCCATGTCGCGCCAAATGAAATAGTCGACCCAACGATTGTCGGGCTCACAGTGAAAAATCTCTCGGGAAACAAATCCTTCAGTTTTAGCGGAGTTGATCCCGATCTGCTTCATAGTTTCAAGCTGCTCCTTGTAATCGATGCCGTCCTTGAAATAGACGACAATGATCTCGTGAGCCTGTTTGTTTGCCATTGCTGTCTTTGCTGCCAAACTATGACAGTTGGATCAATTCTCGTAAAGTTGAAGTTGTTACTGCAAATGCCAGTTAGCATTTAATAGCATTTATCGAGCGACTTTGGGCTCACTTCTTTTTCTCTCCCTATTAGTTGAAGAGTAATGTGGATGTGTTCGTGGTTCAAGAAATTCCACAGGGAGAATTATCTCCTTTATAGACGATGTTAGAAATAAGACGCCGAGGTTCTTACCAAAATGATATAAAGAATACGACTAAGACAAAATGGCGTCACCGAGAAAACAGAACAATGCAATCTAGAGTGGTGACGTATTGCAAACCAAGCTCTCGTGATTTAACATTTGTTTTGGGTAATGAAGAAAGACCGGATAATTCAGTAACCCAGCAGTTCAATAGACCGACCATAGAATAAGCCAAGAAGCGTGACGCGTCACATAATCAGAAAATCTCAATGATAATGCGAATGGAATAGGCAGTGAGTCTTTCTTTGGGATCTCTTTGACCTAATCCAACGCACTATGGCCTGTATCAGATGTGGCTACTGGTGAAGCACGTAAAACATGCTTAAATAGGGCAGTAAGCCATTCTTTATCATCAGACCAAAACAGTGATTAGAAGCCTACCCCATTTTCATTGAGGTTATGATTTGCTTGCGTAGTATGTTCCCCGCAATATGATGCTCTCGTCCAAACTCGGACAAGCCATTGCTACCCACCCTAGTATCTGAATCAGAGATTGAAAGTGTCTCTCTATTGCCCTCTGCTCCACCTTGATTACTTCCTATTCACTATAAAAGAGAACATCCTTTCTGCCCGTATACAAGCATATCATCCTTCAATAAATGTCTTTTTTCTTCTATATTCTTCCAAATTGTAATGAAACAGTGTCTCTTGTAACCTTGATTTACGCTTGGCTTTCTTGGCTTCTCAATGGCTTCCTGCAGCCGTGTTTCTCAAAGACTCTTTTCTCAAAATGTAACTGGATATTATATCATTGGGTTTCTCATCGGTATTCTGACTTGTCATTTCTCTTTGCAGAGTAGCCGACTACTTCAAATCTCCAGAAGCAGGTTCAACTTTGCCCTTACCACCCTTGGATACAGGAATATGTCCACCGACTCTTCCAACGGTCTTCCTGATTCACCAGCACCTATCTCTCAGACGGATCTTTATGATGGCTCCTGCCATTGCGGCTATTTGAGGTATTCGGCATCATTTTCTCTTTCGAAACATTCGTCACATCTTCAAAAATGCAACTGCTCTATTTGCCGCAAAGCAGGTTATGCGCTCTTGTCACCTGAGCCGGAGTCTTCATTCAAGATTATCTCACCAAAGGCTGGAGTATCAGCGCTTTCTGATTACACCTTCCATACCAAATCGATGCACCACTATTTTTGCCCATATTGCGGTGTCCGCGGTTTCCTCATGGCTTCGTTTTCAAATGGTGCAGAGGAAATTACTGAGGTATTTGTTAATGCTGGGACAATCGATGGCAAATCCGACGGAAGTGTAATGGAGGAGCTCGGCAAACTGAAGGTGAATTATATAAATGGAAAGGCAGAAGCTTGGTCGGACCCTCCTTCAGATACGCCTTATGAAGGAGGACTTGCATAGTTGAACACCTAGCTTACATAAATAAATATCATTTGTTGACTGGAGGGCACACTCCCCGTACCTTTCTGTAGACTCTCAACGTTCATGTACGTGAAGAATCGCATTGAGATAGTATTGAGACATTCAGTACCATGGACTAACCATTGAGTATACTATCAAATTATGTTTCAATGTTGTATGAACACGTGCAACAGAGTATGTAGTATGTATGGATCCTCTTAACATCATGGATTGCTCAGAGATTGACTAAATGGCGGCATTCAAAGATCAAGACAACTAGTGAAGTTGGAAAATGGATGATTCCCACTGAATCTCCAGAAACAACATTCAAGCCTGTGAAAATGAACCAAGATCGTTTCTTCTTCTTCCATAGAGAATCGCATTGCTACACTAATAATGGGTAAGGTTCGAATTCTGGACGCTGGTGCGTAACCAGAAGCAACCGCCTCCATCTTAGGATGCACAAACAACTTAGTGTCAATGCTATTATCGTGGCTTACTGCCTATTCTGGACTACTCCAAGCATTTAGTGGGTGTAAGCCAAATGGCTTATTTCCTAAGGAGGGACAGAAGGCAAGGAGTCTACCGAAATACGCGATTCAATCACTCAATACTCTTTGGCGAGCCTCGGGTTCGAAAGTCAGAAAATTTGATCTCTCAGGCAGAGATATAATATGTAAAAGTCGCACTCGTCTTCCGCTCCTTGCACATGCCAATCAAGTCATGGAATGGCAGAGGTATAAAAGAAGAGCCAGTGTGCACAGCAAAAGTTGATAACTTGGTTCTAAGGTCACAGTGCCAGAAATTCCACCATAAAGATGGTCACTCAATACAAGCCCGTCCACAGCTGAGGCCGGCGCAGATTGTAACGCTGAGCCTTGAACCCAGATGCCAGAATTATGTAATTAGTCTACAGTGCAGGTCTACTTAATATTTCCAATAAATCTCACTCTGTGTAAACCATTTGGCTCTGTACATTATCACCCTGGACATGAACACTAAATATTCGCTTTGAGGAGACACCGAACGCCCGACGGAAGGCGTCGCAAACTCTGCCCAAGCTCTCAACTCTGCCGAAACCCCTAACTCTACCAACCTACATTACAATCTGCAATCTCGTGGATATTATTTACCTACTACCAATGACCGGGATAAATGAAGGTGGATATTCTAGAAGGTCAGCTGGGTTAGAGCTTGTGTTCCCGTCAACCACACCAAAACGCCCACCTGTGGCAAAAAAGCGTCTACTTACTCCTGCGAGGCGAGCGCAGAATCGAGCATCCCAAGCGAGATACAGTATGTGCGGCTCTCTTCCATCGAGAATATAAGCTCATGTGCTCTTGAATGATATCAGGACTGAAGCAACGACAACTCAGTGAAGAATCAGCAAGAACAGAATCCAAAACTGATGACGAGTCATCTCAGGTGGCCGCCCTACTTGACAATCAGCCTAATGCAGCAACCACCTTGATACCGCCACAAGACTTGGATCAACCAAAAGTCTCTAAACTGAAGTATCTCTCGCCCCCATCCTTCCGACCTCTTGAGGCACAGAATGATGTTTGGCAGCGCTTGGAAAACACGTCACCCCAAGCTGAACCCTTCGTTTTACCAAGTATAAGAAGACCGAATGACACGACCGGTACCTTTCAGTGGGACTATAATGACTTGATAGCCTCTAGAGAGCTGGAACCTAACACTTCAAACAACTACGGCTCCGTGTCGGAGATGCAAGATTATTCATTTGCCATACCGTCAAACAGCCATGCTTTGACCGCGTCAACGCAGCCAGATCAGACGGAGGTAGATGAAAACCATGGGGAGAGAGAACGGCAGACAATCATCCCACCCGCGCCGTTCCTATTGATCAATCATATTCGTTTACGTGATATGACATTCCTCGCAGCCACTCTCGCAATCGCAGCCTCAATTGGCGTTACCTCTGAAGACTATCTTAACGACAGACCTTCTCCCTTTTACATATTCAGCAACGCCACTTCTGTACAAACTGCAGCACGCTATTTCGAGCAAACTGTGAAGCCTCACCTTCGACCAAGCCTGACTCAACTCTCTCAGCCACATGCCTCATACCTCGACTTGATCATCTTTCCCGAGTTCAGAGAGCGTGCGGTCACTTTCGCTACCAACGATCCTTGTCTATTGGATCAGCAAGAATTGTTCAATGATATGATATCAGGTGGCTTGACCTGCTGGGGGAACGCTGACAATGGCGTTGGCACCCGAGGCAACGGAGTACCCTGGGATATGAGAAGCTGGGAGGCAAAACCATGGTTTACGAGGAAATGGTGGTTTTTACTTAAAGAAGATAATGAGATGCAAGATGCCTCAAATTGGTGGCGGCAAATGCGTGGAGATGATGAAAATGAGATTTTCTTATAGGGGACTGATGCATGTATTTATGGAATGCTGGAGAGATGTAGACATGAGAGCTCATGATGAAAGCCATTTATCTGGCCACATAGAGAGACACACCGACTGGATCGAGCAACACAAAAGTGAAAGCGAGACTGCCTGAGCATATCACAGATATGCAATCTCACGTGCTCTCGTTCTGTCCGACCAACAGTATTTAAGTTGGGAACTGTTCCAACACACAGGGCACTCTAACTTATTCACTTTTCTCCCCAGTTCCCTCCACCGCCCTGTTGGTCATCGGTTCGATGGCAACTCCCTACACCCTGAGTGGCGCAATCAACTCTTTCTTCGCAGAGGGCACGTCCGTGGTAAGGCAGCAATGTGATGATTTTGCGCTGTCCCGTGTCGGTGGGCCGGTGAACCCCGTCCAGATCCAGGGATCGTTTAGCTACACGTTGACGGCTGGAACAGAGGGGTCCAAGCTCTTCCAATTTCGATCCCATGATTCCAAACTGGACATTGGCCTTTTGGGCATCGCCAAGAGAATCCATCCGCAGTTTGTGACTGGTTGCAAAGACCATGGAGTACTCGGTCAATCACGGCCTCTCCATATCTACGAGATGGACAAGCTTCCTGGGACCACCTACATTATGGCACGCGACAGTTCTACTATTCAGCCTCCTGAGACCAAGTTCCGACAAGGCAACACCACCAAAGACCTCGCAAAGTATGTCCACAACTTCCTTGCTTTAGTTCAAACATCGCCTAATAGAGTGTAGATTCTTCGCTCAGTCGTGGAATAACGGCCAAAGTTTATATCCAGATAAAACTGCCACCTTACTTATCGAGTTTCGCTCCAAACTCGACCGTCTTTTCCGATCACTACCATCTCGTTTTGCGACAAATCTAGATGCAGTTCGCAAAGAGCTACCGTCGCTCTTCTCGAAGAAACTCCCTTTTGTTCTAAGTCACCAAGATCTTAATGAGACGAACATACTTATAAATCCCGAATCTGGTAGCATTACAGGGATTGTCGACTGGGCAGAGGCGAGGATCCTTCCTTTCGGCTTTTCGTTATGGGCCTTTGAGAATGTTCTCGGCTACATGAATTCTGAGGGGTGGCATTACTATAATAACCGCCACGAATTCGAGGGCATATTTTGGCAGACCTTCCTGGCAGAGGCCAACGGTGTTTCGGATGGTGATCTACAGTTAATCCGGGTTGCGAGAATGGCTGGGTTGTCTTTCCGTTACGGCTTTGCCTGGGACAGCAAGGGTGTGGAAAATGTGGTGGACGAGTCCAGTCTCTCTTCCTATGCGTATCTTAATGCGCTTTGCACGGCGAATGACTGGGCACCCACCATATGAGTTTGCTTATGCCCATTAGCGGCTGGCCTTACGTTGATTTCAGGATCGGAACATGAACAATATCAGGTATCGAGCTGGCTGTAGGGAAGATGAAGATGAGATTATAAAGTTAGGAGTTTGATACGTATTAGTTCAATGTAATAGACACAATATTTATGATGATTGTATCAGTCTGACTAAATTTAGGTACAGATCCTTAGCTCCGTCCGATTCTTAATCGAAGTTGTCGTAATAAGTAACGGTAAACCCGCCGTCAGTGTTTTGGATCACGCGGGCATAAAATTTGCCCTGGCCTTCACCACTGCTAAAGTCAATCGTAGCGCCGCCTCTAGCAACAGAATCATAGTCAACAATCTCGCCCGGAACTTGTTGGCTTTCGGAGACGAAGAACTTCATCGTTGGGGTAATCTGGATATTCATATTGTTATGTGGGGCAATCTGGAAGTCCAAGTCAGCAGGTAATCCACGATTCTGGGATGGCCAGGTCAGCATACTGAGGCAACTGGGGCAACTTGTCCGCGGTTGTTGACTTTCGCAAGACCAACAAGATAGGTATTGTTGGGAACCTCAAAGTCGGTCCCAGTCTTGATCTCATAGGCACCAGTAATGGCACTTGGGTTGATCTCCGTAATCGTGGGGAAGCTTTGAATGACCTTTTTGTCAAAAGTGCCTTTTCATAAAAGTAGTTAGCCTGTTGGTCTTGTTTCACATCATTATGACAGCTATTTCTCACTTCCGGGGGTCCCAGTTGTACCAAGACGAGCCAACAGGCTCATGCCACTGGTGACTACGACACCTGGCGATGGTGCCGTAGGTACAGTGCCAACCCCTGTCAAATATCTCATTAGCACTAATAGACATACGTAAACTAGTTCAGATATTTTCCTACATGCATAAAAGTCTGCTCCGGTACGGATTTCAAAGTTTCCCTGATAGGGAACGAACGAGGTGTACCACACATTCATCCAAGGTTGCTGGCCTCCAGTGAACTCCGGAGGGTTCATGAAGACAGCATAGTTGGTGTTCTGGCCGCGTTGGTTCTCTACAGAGATGGTGTAGCTGGTAAAAGACATATTGATGGAAGGCAAGTTGTGGTTAAAATATTTGGTAAGATAAATAGAATTGTTTTGTTGCGTACACTGCGTGCAGAACAGGTGGTGGAAACAGGAGGGCGTGGGACATGTTTATATAGATGAAATGGGATGGGGATTTAGCCGTGGCAGACATTGATGTTCTGATATGCGCATCTCCTGTCACCGAAAAGGTGCTTAACGTCCGACTAAAGCAGCTGGAGGAGCGCTAACAAGGCTCAGCTGAATCGAGATTTGGATTCTCCCTGACCCGGCTCCCATCCGCCTTCCGCTCTGCCTCTACCGATGCTCGTTTTGCCACGTCACCCCAGTTGACGTAGGCCAAAGAGAAGAACAAAGTACAGTATAATACGGCTGTAACCGCAAACGATGATGAAAGCTGAGGCCGGGGTCATGAAGCAATGTGTTGGCGTAAACGAAGCATCAAGAAGAGCCTAGAACTACCCGGGTAACGCAAATCCGAAGCCGATGCATGACGCTACTACATGTAAGTGTTTCACCGGTCGATGGCCCCAACCTTTAAAAGAGACGATTTGTCGGATAGAGGTATCTGTGGGTGTCATTTGGAGTGCCTTGGGGATCTGGTTTCCAGGGTCAAGGAACGTGCAGCCGGTGAATGCAATTGTGCGTAAGGCTCATGCATCTCGGCCGCGTCTCCGCTGGAGCCCATGGGAGCGAGATACGTATGTTATTATGAAGCATTGAGCATTAGAAACTCCATTTGTCACAAATCAACTTTTGTATCCAGATACAGGCTCAGGTTTATGAAAGCCATGTACTCTGCCATTCTTTTTGTCGCACAGAGGTGGGTGGATTGGCTGCTGGTTAGACGTTAGAGAAGGATGCATTTTACGCCACTTGCGCAACGGAGGCGGTTCTCTAGAGAGCTGAGTAAATTGTGTTTGTGTTATTATGTTGTGCAAATGCATCCATCGTATATCTGTTACTCTCGAGAGATCCAACTGTATTGAGTACTACGAGGAGAAACAATAGCGTCGATGGGTGTCACTCTACCCCACCCCCAAGATGCACTACAACCATGCCTGACTCTGATGTAAAGGCAGAGGCAAAGGTTCTTTCTGATTCGTAGTCTGGAACAGATAGGATCTGAACCTAGATCCATTATTCGGAGATCTTTGCCGGCTGGGCTTGTCGTTTCCAGTTTGCGAAAAGGATCACGCGGTGGTAAGTATGAATGTTAATGGCGATTTTGACGAGACGGCATCTGGAATGGTTACCGCGGTTTGGGTATATGCACGTTCTCGCATTTTACTCCCTTGCATACCCCTAGCCAACGATTATACTGCGCTGGTTATATAAAGCGCATATATTAGACCCTGCACTTATACGTGGCATCTCAATTCGCCCTCATCATGTCCTGCAGGCCTTGCCCTTACATCATGTAGGCCAACATAGCTTGACCACTCACTCACACTCCTCGCCTATGCACCATCTTTATCTAAGACAATCTAGCTGGTCCCAGTCACTGATCGGCGGGGTAAACATGGTCTTTCCGATAAACCTATCAGAAGCTATTGATCTCATTCAGCTTGGATATGCGCGTACGTGTCCCGTAATTTTTGGAACAAGCCAGCCGTGTCACCTAAAAAAGAAAGAGGAAAAAGGCGTCATTGGGTTGCAAAAGCGCCAGTCAAGTATACGGTTATGTATAACGATTACCATATCACACTGAAATTATAAGCATAGTACCGGGTAACGCACCACATTTATTGGAAGCAGAATGCTTCGCTATGTAAAACAGATACTAGCGAGTGATACGGTGGCCTGCATGCAAGGGGCAGATGATGTGGACAACAAGCCGAGAACCATGGGCATGCTGAGAAGCGAAATAAAATACGTAAAATAGAATTCGGTGAGGAGAAGAAAGTGGGCATGTGAGTCTAAGATGACCTAAGACTCATGATCTGGAATATGATGTCAATACGTTCAAACCTGACTTCAGGGATGATATTTGGTCCGGTATGGAATAGGTACTGTAAGAGACTATTAAATTACGAAGAGAAAACAGTAATTGGCGCATCCATTTCATAAAAATACAAAAGACACGGTTTCCACATATAGTAAGCTCTATATAACGTAGTGATAGGCGATGGTGCAGCCTCTAAGGCATGTTCACCTCCTCGCCTCCAATATATACATATTTATCCAACTCCTCCTACTCAATCGGCTTAACCTCGTCGAGTAGCATCCACCAGCCTGACCGTGGCTGGAAAGTGTCAAATGTCCCTTTATTTTCGCTGGCAGTTGCTGTCATACCCACAGAACCTGCTATGATGGTGGTCTCATATTGAAGCATTGTCGACGTATCCACAACTTTGACGGGGACTTCGACCACGGCCTGTGGCACACTTTTAGCTCTGATGATTGGGAAAACAACGTCATCAATAATGAGCCTCTTCCTGTCTTCATCTCCTTCTCCGTCGAAAGAGTAGAGTTTTATGTTTTCATCTGTATATTGTCGAATCATCTTGCCTTCCTTATCCCAGAAGCAGAATGCCGTGATCCATCCGGATAACGTGTCTACTCCTCGGCCTGATGCTTCCGCACCGACTCTGTGGACTGCCTTCATCCAAAACTCTTTCGTAGCTTCGTCATCTGGTCGGTCAAACGTTTCAATCATTTTCTCCACCACTTTGACGAGTAGTTTGCTCCATTCGGCAGGCTCATCACCGAATGTCGCAAGTTTAGGCAGTCTCTCAAGGAGCTTTACCCAATCTTCTCTCTCGCCTACAAGTGTGACGCTTGGGAATCCACAACCGCATAGTATGATGTACTCAAAATATGCCTTTGTAGTTGCCATCATAACCATTGCCGCGACGCTGATATCATTGTCGGTTGTTGTAGAAAAGTCGGGCAATATCCAGCTCTGAAGATCCGGATCCCGCACATTATCTTGGATTAAATTGGTAAAGAGTTTCGCCGCGTATGGAATGTCAAGATTTATCATAGTCTGAGGTGACAATTCGATGACGAGCTGTTTCTTGCCATCATGTTCAACGAAGAGGCTTCTCAACTCTTCGGCATGGGCATTGATATAAAAGCTGAGTTGGATTGTAATAGCCAACCAGATGTCATCAGGACGGAGGACGAGATGAAGATCTTGCTGAAATGCTCGGATGATTCCATCAACAAAACCATTCCCATAAGGTACCACGGCTAGCCGATTGTTTCTATTGATATCCCCAAAGGAGTGATGTAGGACAACGCGTGACTCTGGGCCTTTGGGCTTGTTTGTCTGCGTTCCGTCGCTCAGGTGTTCATCGTCGCTTGGTATGTATGTCCAACCTTTAGACGCCCTCTGGAGAAGGTGGGCCGATGACTTGGACATCTCATCTTTGTTAGAACCGACGACCTCGGGGTTCGGTCTCGTCACAACGCTTGCCTCATATACGGGCAGGGGGATGTCTGGTTCCTGTTCTGGTTCGATAGATGCAGGAGGGAAATAGCGGAGTAGTAGACTTTTGGTAAATAGGGGGCTCGCTATTACGGCAACCAAGCCGCAAAGGAGAGTTATTTTCCAGCTGAAACACATGCTTTCACGATTCATTTCGGCAGAAGTGATAAGCAAGATGTGATTTTGACAATGTGCTTCAAGCAGAGAGTCGGGATTCTCTCAATTTAAGGTTGGTGAGAAAGGCCAGATGGCCAAGTTCTCTACCCTTCGGTATTCGTGTCAACAACGCGATAGCCTAACCGTCGGCTTCAAAAATTCCCTGTACCTTGCACGCCAAGCTCACCCATTCGGGCATATCAACGGATACAAGGATACAGCCCCGAACCAATTGAAATTGTTCATCCCAGGTTTGCTGAACTAGTCTAGGAGAGCTTAAGTGTACAAGTAACTCTAAATGCTGATGGATGTGACTCCACCCAGTGAAATACGGGATGAACTCATCAAGTTTCCAGGCCATTTTCCAAGCTACTCTACTAGAATGGCGCTGTGTTTAGCGCCTATAAGTTATCAGTAGTTCACTTCAGTAATTTAGCCTAGCTTTCGCCTGCTTCGTCAGGTGTTGCACAGAGAGGAGATATTCAGAGCAGTTTTTAGAGCGCCATCGCCGGAATCTTGGTGGTTTATGTTTATAATCTCATAAGTTCTAAAAAGCAACTGTCAATTGATCTATATTCTAGTATAATCTTGTAAATCGATAACGTCTCGTGGTATAGTTTCTATAGCTGCACCATTCTAATACGAGAAACCCCCCCACTATATTTGCAAGACTCCGCTAATTCGACAAGTCGCCTTCTCCTATTTTATGATTCGTTTGTAAAGAAAAAGTCATAAATCATGTCCGAGATTAAGCACTGGCAGCGATCTGGGCTTTGTGAACAGCGACAACTGCAGCCTCATCATTGATGGTCTTGATGGCCGCGGGCCGAGCCTCGAGACGGGCCTTCCAGGCGGCGAGGTTCTCAAGGTGAGACAGGTCGACACCAGAGCGGGAGCCCCAGAAAGTGCCCCAGACATAAGCGTCGGCAACGGTGAGGTTGTCGCCAAATAGGTAAAGGGTGTTGGCTAGGCGGTCATCAAGAAGCTTGTAGGCCTTCTGGAGCTTGTTAGAGTGGAAATCAATACCCTCGGGGGTCATGAGCTTGCGCATGAGAGGAATGTGCTTCTGGGCAATCTCAGTAGCCAGCTGGACAAGGAACTGGTCGTATTTAACACGTTCCAGGGTCCCTGCGGCGGGGACCAGACCGGCTTCGGGCTTCTGGTCGGCGAAGTATGAGCAGATGACGATGGTCTCAGAGATGACATCTTTGGTCTCGTTGTCCAGCTTCAGGGCAGGGACGTAGAGAAGAGGGTTGACAGCGGCAAAGTCCTCGCCGCTGGAGGTGCTCTTGCCGACCACATCAAAGTGAACAAGCTGGTGCTCAATTCCAAGCTCGTTGGCAATTAGCTGAGCGGCGCGAGAGCAGGTGTCGTCGGCGATGTAGAGAGTAGGGGCCATTGCGAAGATTGTAGTTGGTAAGACTTAGAAGAGGCTTTAGAGTTTGTTTCAATTTGTTGAAAAGGTGCTGAGTATTGGATAGAAGGTGATGCAGAATGAATTGAACACTGGATCCTAGATCAAGCAGGGCACTTATATAATTATGGTTGCCCATTGTTGAGCACCAAATTGAAAGCCGAGTTGAGGCTCGAGTTGCACACCGCGGCTTCGACGTGTCGCTAATACTGCCAACACGCTTACACCCATTAGAAAACTGTAAAGGCGTGTGGCAACTATTTGCACCTGAAGCGGAGAGCCCAGCCAGTTAAAAGACAACAACCGGCGTGGGACACTGTGCTAGACACGGACGGACGACCCTAAGCTGCGGAGCTATTAGTTAGTACTCAGTCAAGGTGGGAAGAAAATGCGATGGGCTGAGGGGCTTCTTTGGCGGCGATTTTCACCAGTATGCCTCTCAGATAGTTGCGACGGTTTCGCAGTGGATCGCTATAGTTGAAAGAATTCCGTGAGCAAAACAGGAGAGGGCAAGAAATTGCATCGAAGCGGCGGTCCATCGATTTTATATATTCATACACTTATATGGGCCCGCCGCCTTGGTTATGAATACAAAATATGGTGGGCTGCATTTTAAATTAGACATGATTAATTATCAATAGCTTCACAGGCGAGGATTGGACAAACAGCAGTCAAAGATTGCAGATTTCTACATTGAATGCCACGCTGCCCTGGGGAACCCTTGAGCAGATGGTGTTGTCGTTGTGTTGCACCGAGATTTGATTGATACGATCGCCGAATCACCTACAGGTGGTATGTCTGAAGCAGCCAATGGGCACTTACATGTGAGAAGTGACGGCAAGATCCAATATCTACGCACATATACGAGAGATGCGAGCTACTACATTGACAGAAGTGCTTTTACCATATCTATGGGATGAGACTAACGCTTGGTCAGAAAATTAAACAAGATGCCCATACCAAAAATGTACTCCGTTATTCCAGTTGACCAGAATCGTACCAACATACGTAGCTAGCTCTTATCCCCCAGACGTCAATTGGTCCGAGTATTCCTGTTCCATCCCTGATGAAGCCTGCTTATATGGCTTGCTGTTGGCCATCCGGTATCTGCCTCAACATCTTGTAGGAGCTGTACAACAGCCGTCCGTAATCGTGGCTCCACCAAGCATTGTCCAGCCAGGAAGAGTGGCTGCACTGAGTGTATCCGGGCGGCAGGACCTGGTCGGCCAGCTGCAATCCCGCATATCTTTGTGCAATGGTCTTCTATGTCCGTCAATATCTCTCGGTAATAAAGCAGCATGGCCTGGGGGTTTGATTGGTCAGTCGGTTTAGCGAGGAGTAAAAGGATGCGAGCAAAGTGATAGTATGACAGCGTCGCTGCGGACACTGGTGATGGAAAGAGTATCTCGTCGAAAACCGGCTCCACCAGGCCTTGTGAGAGTGTTAGATGGCTAGAAAGCTTATAGTGAGAATATGGCTCAAATTGTATATCGAGTTGGGCGTGCCACCGATCCAAGGCGTTCCAGAGATAGTCCCAGCTGCTATTCCGGTCCACATCCTTGGTCCCATGATCACGCCGGCCAGGATTCGTGGCGAATTTGTCAACGATCTGAGTTATCAATATGAACAGTTGCACCCAGGGCGTCTTCGTCATGGATGGAGGCTCATTGAGGATAAACCCATCGTCGGAGCCTCCCAGCCCGGTATACGGGGTTTCACAGTCTAGCAGCGATGTCCTTTTTTGATCATACGAGTTAAGGAGATCGTGTGGCATGCAGTACCAGTAGCTAGCCAAAGCCGCCGGGCTGCCGTGAAATTTGAATGGTGTGAACACCTGTTGTGATATTGAGCCATCGTTGGGGTATCTTACTAACTGGCTCTTTATCTCACGGGTCCGCCTAGATTTGATGTTAGATTTGCTCACTCCTTGAAACTCATGAGGTTCGTTCATCTTTCCGCAGAGCAAGCACCATGAGGAAGAGCAACAACTGCCGGGGTAGGGCATTGACAATGATTCTACTTGCAGACATCAGGCAGGTACTTACGTGTAAAATTCATCATAATTCGAATCAATCATTTCATAAACGGTCAAGATGGCATTACTCGCCACTGCAACATCCGTCAATATCAAACCAGCTTCGGTAGTGTAAAGCGGAGACGGGCGCTGCGAGTGTGTAGCCGCTTGATGGTAGTAGCTGGCAGCTTTGAAGGCCCAGTCAACATTGCTTGCACTGGGATAAAGCTCCGTCAAGGCCAATGTGCTCATGGGGCCGCAGTTGGTGGCTCGGAAGCCGCCCAGATTGCTCAAATGCTTAGCAGCAAGTGCCGCTATTGCATATTTCAGCACAGGGTGAGTCCCAGCCAGGCGAGGGATACAAGTCTGAAAGAAGCATTTGTCTCCAAATATGTCTAACCTAATATTGTCCATTAGAAAGTTGGAGGGCGGTCCGTGGCCAGGGTAGGGACGTACCATGGAGCCAGGTTGTCTGTATAGTGCCGGAGGAGGAAGACAATCTCCTGTTCGCTCTCAAGCATAAACTCCGAGGCTAGGGCAGCAAGCCCCATCTCAAATTCGCCAGTTGATCCAGAAGACATCAATCCTGGGGATTCCTCAGGGGCGGGTAAAGGAGCCCCGAAGTGACCGGGCTGCAGGCCAACTACACTCGTTTCATTGACATGATTATCGACGAGATCGAAGTCCAATTCAACTTGGAGGGGTATAGAGGAGTCCAGGCTCTGCAGGGCGGCATCAGAAGCTTTGCGGAAATCCAACGGCGAGATATCCAAATGCTCTGATCTCTGGCTGGCCGACACCGTGTTGGTGCGACGGATCTCTATAGCGTCTTCATTTGTCTCGGTGAGTGTCCCTGTAGATGGCTTTGCCTCATGTGCCTTGGCTTCTCGGATGGATTGCCTCTTCTGTCGCTTGCGAGGCGGCTTGGCGCCATTGTTGATGAACTTCCAATCCTCAGGGTATCCCGGACACTCGTGTTTACTAGACACACACTGCTTGCAGTTGGGCCTTGTCGCATCACACTGGTGCTGCCAGTTAGGGCCTCCGTCGCAAAGTCAACACCAAGGGAGACGCCGGAAATCACATACCTTGATGTGTCGCTGCCTGCATCGTTGACACGCTGATCCGGGGGACATTGCCGTTCGCAGCCTACGTTTATTGATTCATACAACAGTCAACCCAATGTATATGAATATGCCCCTCTCTCAGCTAACAACGACGGCCGTGCGAGGTGTTGGTGGCGGGTGGAGGAGGATGTTACCCATTGAGGTAACAATTCAAGCTTTGGCAGAATCAGGAGATGTACGGAGCGTGGAATTAAGAATTAGCAAGACGTAACACAGCTTTATCCATGCCACATGAGGACAGAAGAGGGAAATGCTCAGATTGAGTTTGATCAAGCTCTTTCACTCGCTCCAAGCTGAACGGCCTAATGTCGGTAGGATGACGTTGCTGCTTTTGGCTAAAGTGTCCGCTTGTTCCTGTTTGGGCAAATCTCCCCAGTCCGGCATCTCGCGGTTTCTTTGCCTCCACATCACTTTTCGAGGGATGCCTGTTGCTGGGTCACAATAGAGCCTGGCCTGGAAATCCCCTACGCTGCTGGTTACAGCCTGATTCATGAACGGACTCTGAATTCTCGCCATCGTATCCGATCCCTTCCACTACTTTGAAACAAAACGCCATGGCAGAGTCTACTCAGTCTCAAGCCAAAAGACGGCGGACGTCCACCGCGGAGATCAGTAAATATCCCGTCATCGCCGGGTACAGAATCTCTACCTATGCCGCGCCGGGGACTGTTTTGACCATGAATGAGCAAAAAATCATATATCATGCATGGAAGAGTGAGTATTCCATACTTGTGTTTTATTCTGTAAATATTTTCTCTCGCGATCAAACACCATCACAGAATTCTTGTGGACGCCGTCGTTCTTGATTTGTAACGTTCGTCCTCACAACGATTCTGCTCTGTTTAAAGCGACTGGACCCGTGTTTACAACATAATCCCAAGTGTTGGTCGCACAATCAGAAATACTAACAACTTATGCTTCACAGAGAGCGGCTCACCACACAATGCATTGTGCTACACCTGTCGTAAACCAGGCAGCATGCTAAATTGCCCCACGTGCTGCCGGTCATATCACCAAAATTGCGTTATCCCAAAGATACCAGAGCGGCAGAAGATGTTTTACTGCGATGCATGTACCAAGAGGGGATGGCATATACAACCGCCATCATTTGAAGACAATGAAACGAGTCATCTTCACACCAAACCAGCTGATGAGCCTGTTCAAAAACATACAGCCGAACCCGAAGAGCCCAGGCCAAATGTGGAGGCCCGTAGAAGTAACAGGTTGAAAAAGGGTACGACCAAGTCTGACGATGCTGAAAGCTCATCTACCCGGATAACGTCCAGAAGATCATCAGAAGAAGACGCGGGCGCAAGTGGACAGGGTGACGTGATTCACTCTCTGCAGAGCCTCCGAGAAAGGGTAATCAGTCTCGAGAGGGAAAACGAGGCATTGCGCCTTAGCTCACGCACGAAAAATCCAAGGAAGCGTGAGCGTACCTCATAGGGGGCAATTTAGGGAGAATCTTCTTCAGTTGATGCGGCAATTACTTTTTGTTTGACAGCGAGCTCCAATACATTTATTCATTATATTACTGCATAAACATGTTCAAGTTGTGTCCCAGTCCATGATTTCACAGCTGAATCTCCTCTCCGGCAAACCGTTGCACGTAAATCCATTACTGCATCTACCTCAAAATCACTACAATGATGGTATTTGAGTAATGCTTGCACTCCAGACTGCTCAATCGTATTAAGCCAATTGTACAGGCCCCAGTCTGGAATATTTACCCTTCTTGGGAAATCTGCTTTGCCCTATGACGAATGACATCAATACGATAGCTTTTCATAGATCATAATTTCAGAACGCTCTCCCAGTGGCGGATGGCATTTCCATATTGGGTATAAGACACTTAGGTGAGATGCCCCGATAGGCAATCCGAGGCATGGAATCAAGCTTTCGGAGTAGCTTCAGATGGGAACAATGTCCATGTTTGAGAAGATCTACGCATGAGACAAAACTCCGTTGATGCTGTAAAGAAGTTATAAGAGATACGAAAAAAGAACCAAGATCATAACTATAAAGTAGCCTTGGCTCTTCATCATCATGAAAATTCCGTCAGACATCAACTGCAACCATTAAACAACACAGCCTCAAGTCAACAGCTTAAACACATCTTCAAGAAAATAGTTCAGCTACAAAAGCTATACAAAAAGATGGCGTGTTTCGCAAAACTACCCGCCAACAGAAAGTCCACTCCAGCTCCCTTTACTGTGTCGGTTCCAGAGCAACAGCTTAGCGACTTTAAAACTCTATTGAAGCTGTCCAAAATTGGACCAAAGACATACGAAAATGAATTGACAGATGGCCAATTTGGTATCAGCCGGGACTGGCTAGTTCAAGCCAAAGCAGAATGGGAGAATTGGGACTGGTAAGCTCAAGCTCACAAACAACATTCCCTCATGGCTGACACATGACATGCAGGCGCAAATGCGAAGACCGCATCAACAGCTTCCCCAACTTCACTCTCCCTATCAAAGAGGGCGGGGACGTTTTCAATATCCATTTCGTGGCACTATTCTCCCAAAAGCCTAATGCAATCCCTCTTCTCTGCCTGCACGGCTGGCCAGGTAACTTTTTGGAGTTTTATTCCATTTTGGAGATCCTGGCTCAGCGATACACCCCAGAAACACTCCCGTACCACATTATTCTTCCTTCTTTGCCAGGCTATGCTTTCTCCTCGCCTCCGCCCCTCACACGAGACTTTCAGCTCCAGAACATCGCGAGTATTATGAACACATTGATGATTGAGCTGGGATTTGGCAATGGATATGCAGTTCAAGGAGGAGATATTGGTAGCAAGGTTTCCCGTGTTATGGCTGCAACTTTTGACACGGTTAAGGCTATCCATAGTAAGTTACAAGCTGGAGTTTACCACTAAAATACGATGCTAACGCCCGACGTAGTAAACTTCTGCATCATGCCCGAGCCCGAGTGTATCAAGGACGCTCAGATTAGTGACATCGAGAAGGAGGGCCTGAAGCGATCTGAATCCTTCCTGAACCTCGGCTCTTCATATGCTCTTCAACATGCAACCAAGCCCAGTACAATTGGACTTGTCCTTGCTTCAAACCCGATTGCGCTTCTTGCATGGTATGCGACCCTTCCACAATCTCATTCCAGGATGCAAGACGGCTAACAAATTTAATAGGATTGGTGAAAAGTTTCTTGCTTGGACCGATGAGGACCCGTCGCTTGACGAGATCCTTACTTCAGTTACGCTATACTGGTTGACGGAGACATTCCCACGATCCATTTACCCATATCGACAGGTAAATACAGTCCGTTTCCAAATTATTATTATTAAACATACATTGATTAATTTATTAGCTATTTACCCCCGGCGTTGTTGGAGCTCACGAGAACCCTGAATGGTACATCAAGAAGCATTTCGGCTACTCATTCTTTCCGAAGGAGCTTGCACCAATCCCCCAAGCTTGGGCCAAGACGACGGGCACTCTGGAGTTCTATCGTCAGCATGAGAGTGGCGGTCATTTTGCCGCCATGGAGAAGCCCGAAGTTTTGCTTGCTGATGTGGAAGATTTTCTTAAGCAAGTTTGGGGGCAGTGAGTGCGACCTGGATTATAGGTGGGCTTCATGGCATTTGCCTTGGATACAATACTAGTTGGTCTGGAATTTCGCTTGGAAATGAGCAACTGTTTATATGTTTATATGCGATATAAAAGTTGATTTGGGTTGAATAGACGATCACGTTAGATTGCTAGATAAGTTTGTAGCCCGCTGACCAAGTCGGCAGGGTCAAATCGTCAAGATTGTCCGACTATCCATGTAGTATTAGGCGATATCTTCAGACTATTTGTTTCTTTGATCAGGCTTCTTAATCCATTTGACACATCATTACTCAATTCACGAATGCTATTGAGTAGCTTTCAACAAAGTCTCTGATGCAACAAAAGTTCAAACAGGTTTCGGTTCCACTAGGGCTGAAGCTGAAGCCTCATTTACTCACAGTCGACTGCTCCGCATAAGCGCTACAATATCGGTCATTTATTAATGATGTTAAAACTTCGTTCCAATTTTAACGATTGATTGAACAGCTGCACGATCGATGCTACGTAGACGGTGTCTCAACCAAAAATATTCATGTAACCCTTCTGACCTGTTGATTATACAAAAATTACCTTTGACAGTTAGCGCTTGAAGCAGATCTGGCTCCGGGCAAAACTAGGCTACATCAGGGAATTTGTACATGCTGTAGTATCTACGGATTTGACGGCTATCAGATTAATAAGGGTCAGTTGAGATGACGTCCCTGCTCAATAATCCTCAAAATAATAGTTCATAATACAAGAGGCTTGCGTATACTTCTTTGTGTATAAATACCTAGTAGTTTAAAGTGGCTATCGTCAACAATATGCATTCACCAATACAATTCTTCAGCCGCAATTTCATCTGCCACATTCTACAGAAGTTCACAATGGCCTCACAACATGTCTCCAGAAATTTTATCATCGGTGGCACAGGAGTCCAAGGAGTTCCTATCGTTAAAGCGCTTGTAAATGACAAGAAGTATCAAGTGCGGGTTCTAACTCGGGATACTTTGTCTCGCCGCGCCAATGAGCTTCTCGCTCTGGGCAATGTAGAACTGCTTCAGGGCACTCTCGACAATGAACAGACTCTTCGTGACGGCTTCAAAGGCTGCGATGGAGCGTTTGTCAACATTGATGGGTTTCACACGGGCGAGAAGGCTGAGATGTACTGGGCCATTCGCACATATGAGATTGCTATTGAGGAAGGCGTCAAATTCTTCGTGTACGGCAGCCTCCCCTACGCACTTAAGCTGGGAGGATATGACTCAAAGTTTAACGCCGGACATATGAATGGGAAAGGTAGAATTGGACAATGGATTCTCTTCCAAAATATCGACAACAAGGATAGAATGGGCGCAAGCCTTTTCACAGTGGCTCCATATATCGACATGACCGTTGGTGCTCAGACCGTCATGACACCGACCATCGAGGATGGGACTCTCACCTGGCGTGTTCCACTCGGTGAGAGTCGTATGCCGTTGAGCTGCCTCGAAGATTGTGGCCATTACGTCCGTTGGCAATTCGATAACCCTAAGCGTGCCGGCGGTATGGACCTAATAACTGCAATGGAGCATATCAGTTTCAAAGACCTGGCTACTGCATTTGAGACTGTTACAGGCCATCAAGCACAGTATCTAGGCGTATCATTGGATGAATACTGGACCAAGGGCCCTTTGTCAAGAGTTGCACACTCACCAGTCGGCGCCGGAGTTGATCCAAAGGATCCTAATACGATGACTATGCAAAAAGATTTTACTGGATTCTGGAACGCGTTTAAACATGAACTAGTATTCAAGGTAGACTATGCTCTTCTGGATGAAATCCATCCCAAGAGAGTCAAAAGCGCAGAAGATTGGTTCCGTCAGCAAGACAAAGTATTGCAAAGCTCTGGGAAGGGGAGTCTCTGGGATAGAGTTCAACCTGAGAACATCTGGCCAGTTCTGAAGCGAGGGGAAGATGGAGAAAAGAAGTGAATGTACAAGAACAGCAATAGAAGTGATGACTATATAGCACTTTACTCATTCAGGCTTATCACGGACCGGCCTCCCTACTTCTAGATGAATAACCTGTCTCCACAGAAGGCCATCAAGTATTGATGACTTCCATTAGATTCTAACAATCTATTCTATTTTATTAGGTAAGAGTACTCTATGTCTACCGAAGTTCAATTAATAGGAAGTGCTGATACTAAAACTAGGCGATTAAATGCGCCAGATTACGCAACTGAGGTCTTACGCCGCTTCCGTGGCTTGGGCCTTTTTCTTCTTCCACTGTTCAAAATCTGGTGCCATGAAGATTTTGCCATCTACAATTTTCCAGATCGTGCCTATGGCAACCATGATCCACAGAAGCGTTACTGTGACCGACGCAATCTAGTTTGCAAATTAATTAGCAACTAATATTGTCCTTTCTTTCCTTTCTCACAAGCAATCGAAGGAGCAAAGCATTAGAGGGACATGGGCACAATGAGCAAAGTATAACTTACAGTTCCCAAGATATTGAAGAATCTGGACGGCATTTCTTGTCCAATGGCGATAGTTGCACCAGACCAGACACCAAGAGGGAAAGTAAATCCCCACCAACCAATGTTGAAGGGAAATTTACGTCGGCTAATGCTGGCCAGAGCAAAGAAGATCCATGCCAGGCCGTTTGCCCACATGATGAAGCCAAGAATCCAGCCTGTCACGTATAGTATTTCTCCGGAGTGGGTGCCCATCTTACCAAGAGTACCAGTCTTGGGCAAAACTTCTGCTGCGACTTTTCCCAACTGCATGATTGCGTATCCGCCTTGACCAAGAGGTGCAACGGGCAAGAACATAGATACGATAGCCTCAGGGGGCGGCAGATTGTGCATTGAAAGGCGTTGGTAGAAGATCACCAAGCAGGTGAGGGACAGAGGCATTGCGGTACCCCAGAGAAAGTATGACGTGATGAGAGTCCATAGAGCATGCTGTTCGTTTTCCAGGGCTTCAGCTACTACTGCGCCTATGGCCGATGCAACAATGGGAGAGGCGATAGGCAGAAGCCAAGTTGCAGAAAGCGTCGTCAACTTGATGTCGTGAGTATGCATACTGCCAATTACGTTAGTCTTGGGGGCTTTCTTTCATGGGTTATGAAAGTTCCATAATAGAGGTGGCTTACATGACAAATGGTATCCAGTAACAAATTATGATCGATATAGCAGCGTCAATCCACCACAACGTCCATGCCTGTTGAAGAGAATGTAGTTAGTGATTGAGGCTTGTCGCAATTATGTTACTATGACCAACCAATGTAATCGTCCAGGCACCCCATGCCGGTACACAAACTAAAACAATCATTTCAACGATTGTCGAAAGAGCAATTGGAAATGCTCCCAAGAGGAGAGGTACTGCGGGGTGCCTAATCATGGTCATAAAAAGGCCGGGGTATATCAAGTATCGAAGAGCGGATATAAACGTAAAGAGGATAAATAGCGTAAGGTTGAGAACAAAGAAGATGACAGAGATCCAGTATAGCCACGCGCCATTATATGGAAGATTATGAAGAAGAATCGAAACAATTCCAGTGCCCATGTTGATTGTAAACCATCTGTAAAACCTTTTAGACTCCATCCGCATAGAGTATCACAAACCAGGAGGTTCAATGACGACGCGCCCTTCGAATGACCAGCCAAGACACGAGAGGGCGAGAAAAAAAAGCTTAGGGGAGACTTACGCTGGAGTAAATGCGCGAACAACGATCCAAATATTCTTCTCTCGCTTTCGTAGCGGAGGCGGACTGATGTCTAGTTTTTCCACTTCGCTTTGCGGAACATTAGCCGTAGGATTTATAGTCACGTCATCGTGTGGTGATGCTAGAGTTTTCGAGGAAGGGGTGACACCTCCTGTGCCGTGCCTTGGATTAGACAGAACGTTTGTTCCATTAACAGCAGATGTTCTCCTCATAGTGCTGTCCATGGTGGTATCTCTTCCTACACGAAGGAGGGGCCTCCTTAAAGGTAGCAGTATGTTGAGATCAGCGAAAGGCCGTTATGCCAGAGGTTATCGAGTTTTGCCGGCTAGACATGCAGGGCTCAATATATACATGTATGTAGAAACCCGTATAGCTCTAGAACTGCCTATTACATCGTTGGTCGCAGCTGGACCGGTAGGCCGCGGTCCCTGACTAGTGGAACAGGGCTCACCGAATACCCGGCCCAGCCCGCTCAACTTACATATTCAAGAAACTCTGGAATATGCCGTGATTGTAGACATTCCGCGGTCCACAGTAGGCCAATGAAGGTCGTAGTTCGTGTAAGAAAGCAGATTATAATTGCTAAAAGCTGAAAAGAAGAATTGCTGAATCACCGGATCAATCACCGAGTGGTAGATCAATCCCCGGCCCGGCCGCCTCAGCTCCACTGGTGGCTTCGACTACTATGCATGAAGAAATCCACTCCGCAATAAGGATCTCCGGCCAGAAGCTTTTCCAGTGGACAAAGTTCGGCCGCCATTGCCCTTGTATTCCCACCAGCTCAGCTTGCGGCATCTTCCTTTGCCACCTTTATTAGTCAGTTGTCCTGTTGTTTAATATTTAGGATAATACAAAACACCAAATCCCGCGGTGTTTGGAGAAACACCTGGTGACCCATAGATATGCTAGCAGTAACCCCAATCGAGTCGCGATTACTTACCAGAAACATTTCTTGGTTGGTGTAACACTGCAGCGTCTTGTTGGAAAGCAAGGGCTTTTGTCTCCTCCACATCAATATCCTCACTATACAATGTCCCAAGTAAAAAGAGTGGTGAAAAAAATGGCAATGCCCCCGGCAAAGTTGGCATGCCTGCATTGGTACATGCCGTTTCCATTCCCCTTTCAAGATTGTTTCTAATGAGCCGCAGTCGCGCATCGAGAACGCGTTGTAATGGCGAACTACCATGCCACAACGTAAGTTGCAAAGCAATACACGCCACATTCGCGATGCGAGTACAGCATGGTTTCTAATATTGTCTTTTAGTGTGAAATCAGAGATCGGAATTGCTCTTATGTTCCCAGTAAAAGGGGTGGCTCACGGAAAAGGCGCGCTCAGAGAAAACCTGTTAACGAGAGCGAGGCACCGAGGTCTCCTTCAACTCAGCGTCTGTCATTTCCACTTGCTGTTAGATTTCTCGAATCATACTTAAAACTTCTGAACAGTCCTTACTCCTGAGAGTATCGAACACCTCATTATCCCAGGAGCCGGCCTGAAACACCCCGAAGCCATTGGAGAGCAGCAGCAATTGTATGCGAAAAGCGAAACACTTTCAGTAACGGAATCGATCGACGAGCATTTTGCGAGAGTATATGACAGCGAGCAAGCAATGTAAGTGAGACTATTTAAAAGCTTCTTGTGCTCTTTCTTGACATTGGATGGGCTGATGACGAAGCAAAGTTTGAACGCATACTACATATTTATACATCAGTATTTCCCAATACTTCCTCCACCGAAAACTCATCCGACTCTCGATTGTCCAATTCAATGGCCTCTAGCCGCTACAGAAAAGATAATCCCACATAAATCGATCTCCCCACTTAGTCTTGCACTCTCTGCCGTGCTTGCTCTGATTCCTCTATCACAGGAGACGCACTGTACATCTGCGGCATGTGTCTCGTTTCGAAAAGCTCTGGCTCAGAAATTTGCACAGGCAGCCCTCCAGCGTATCGACACAGATTCAGAATACCTCGACTTTATCTCGGATCGCCAGGTAGACTCCATGACCACAGTTGAGCAACTTTCCATATCCCGCGATCCGTTGCATCCACAAACGCCAGTGGAGCTAGAGAGCATCCTGGCACTGCTTCTTCTACGTAACTATGAGCACACAGAGCGTGCCAATTTACTCAAGATGACAGCTCGAGCAAGTCAAGCGTTGATAATAGCAAAGAATATGTCCCTTCATCGGCTAGGTCTCGAAAATGATACCTTTTCAGAGGCCAAGAGGAGAGCTTGGTGGATGACGTTTCGTAATTCCCACACATGGAAAAATGCCAAATTGTTAACTGGCTGGTAGTATTTCTGTGCTCATCTATGTTCTGTGGTTCGACAAAGTGTGAGTGTCAGAGAACGACATGTTAAAAAGCAATCCGATCTTGGCTAACATCAATAGGCCTGTTTAAACGTAGACGACGACAGCCAATTCACAACTCCATACCCGAGGTTAGAATCCGATCCAGAAGTGAGTTGATCCATCGGTATCTATTTGTCCGCAGACTAACTCTGGCATATCAGGCGTGGTTGATCTTCCTCGAAGCTCTGCGAATCGGCGTTGCAAGCGTCAAGTTCACTGCCAGCTATAACGAACATCTAAGCTCGCACGCGGATATGACTAGAATTTTTGAGCAGATGAAAATACTCGACAAATGGGTGCTTCAGGTCTCCGCTCGGATCGAAAGCTATGTGCCTGTCTCAAGCTCAATGGAGCTTGTCCCTACCTACGAGTCAGCGACAGCCGAAGTAATGCGACGACTTTCTCGCATCAGATTATCCAGGTACCTTTGACTATAATATCACCACTTCGTGTATATTCTAAGCTTACTGACAACTACTCCAGTACAAGAATCCGCCTTCATCGATTCCAAGCCTTCTCAGACACTCCGCTCTTCACCGAGAATCACTGCGATCTCAGTGTCCCCAATCCTCTCAATAGTTCTTCCAGCATCACCAGTAATACTGAAGCAGGGATCCCCGCCTACACCGTGCTTCAGTCGCCTCCATTCACATACGACCGGTCTACCGAGATTTGTGTGGCATCGGCTCTAACAATTGCACGGCAGCTACAAAGATTGCCGATTCCCAAGACATCTGACGGTGTGATTAATCGAGCGATACCTACCTGTACATGCTGCGCGATGCAAGCCAGTTACGTTCTTCTAATGCAATTCTACAAACTTCACGCCATGCCTCATGCCCCACGAATATCATCAGGCGACTTGTCCGTGGATACAGAGCGCCTCATTGACGAACTTCGACATGGCTTGGAGGATATCATAAGGGCAATGAACAATTTCGCTACTTCATTTGAAACCATTGCGGGAATGCGAGGTTCGTATATCCAGTCAACACCTTTACTTAGATGAATATCGTTGTGTTGAATGCATTGAATGCTGACAGTATTGTTGCTCATATATTAGATGAGATCGAGATTGCCTATCACATTGCTTTTCCACATATTGCAACAGTCTCAAAGTAGTTTATGGGAAGTCTGTGATTGATATTTTGCCGTTGAGAAAGACGCCATTGGTCTGTTTTTATGCTTTCTATGTTGCTCCCCTTATTTCACATGCCCGCAAAACAAATAAGTTATTAGACGGGATGTTCATTCAGATACCCCGCGCTCTGGCATGCGCCGCTCAAGGACCAGAATCAACCATCCTACCAGGTAATTTTACATACATACACAGGATGGAAAAAAGAACAAAAAAAGAAAAAACATACAACAGCCGGTGTTCGCTGATGGTCACCCACTCAACTACTAATCTGCCGGTTAGTGGCTTATCTATGGGGGAGCAGACGGGACCCCGAGTTTTCCACTACCTATGGTCGTATGTACCTGGTATAGTTTAGTCTGCAATTATATCCACGCTTGATGCATATAATAATGAGAATGTTTGTAAACTACTGATAATCTTTGTGTTATAGCAAATAGAGTGAGAGGAAGAGAGAGAGAAATCTGGCTGAACTGAACGTGAAAATATTTATGCTGAGAGCATTTATTTGGAAACTATATGAATATTATTCGCTTTTGTGATGCAGAAAGTATTGCGCCTGAATGAGGAGGCTCTTCACACTTTGGCGCTATAAATGCGGCTCGCCCCGCGCCGTATTGTTCGGCTTCGATCTTCTCCGGGCCATCACAAACAGCACGAGCGAAGGCCTCAGCTCGCAAATATTAACTTTCAAAGAAACTTCCATCTTCTACTATCCATCTGTATAGGGACACAGTCATTAAACCCTTAGATTTGCCTCTCTACAGTGTCTTTTCTACATCAGCGAGCGACGTAAACCACAAACACAATCATCAATACTTCGAGTAGTAATTATAGTAACATACATAGGCTGGAAGCTGTTCAAGATGAAGACGACCCAAGAGTTCCCGCGCCTCAAGCTTTGCATCCCGTGTTCCCGGCTCTTCACCGACTACCGGGATGAAGCCAGATCTGATCCCAATAGCACCCGATATCACATGTGGTACGAGCGTAGCGGATATCAGTATTGCCGAACTCGGCGTGAGCTCGAGTGTGCCGCTGTCTTTGGTTGCGTCTTTTGCAAGGCTGTTACTTCTCGTGATCACAAGTATCAGCAACACGAGGACGGTACAAGGGGCTCGGACACTTCAAAGGACAGGACGGAGCTCTTCCTAGATGAGCAGCGCCCAGGCTGGTATCCGTCACTTGACGAAGAGCTGGAGCTGAGCATTCGTTACAACAGGGTCGACAATGTTCTGTACATTTGGAGCCGAAGCGGGACTCAATGGAGCGGAGGCGACCTGTCATGGAGCATGTACGCCACCCCGAGTAAGTCGAGGCCAATCAATATCCTGGCTGTATCGAATTCATATTGATTCGCGTCTCCTCAGGTGACCCAGCAGCCTCCGTCGTTCATTCGCAGGCGCTGCTCCAAGACCTTGGGTCTCCCGAGAGCTTTGACGATGCACGCGAGTGGATGGACGAGTGCCTCACCAACCACCACGTGTGTCCAGCACATATGCCGGCTGATCTACCCACAAGACTCATCGAGGTGTCCCGTCTGGGCGAGCCCGAATCTGCGCGTCTGTGCGAGACCAGCGGGGAGAAAGGACACTATTGCGCTCTTAGTTACTGCTGGGGAGGAGACCAGGTTCTCAAAACGCTTCGTCAACGGTACAACCGATACCAAAAGGAACTTCCTTACGATCAGCTGCCCCAAACCATCAAGGACGCATTTCAGGTCACGCGGAGCATGGGCCTGAGGTACATCTGGATTGATTCGCTTTGCATCATCCAGGACAGCGACGAGGATAAGCAGACCGAGATAGCCAAGATGATGAGCATCTCCCAGAAGACGCAATTCACCATCTCAGTGGCGAGTGCCTCGGCCGCTACCGAGGGATTCCTCCAGACTAATTACCACGACCCCAGTATTGGAGCTTTCTATCACCCCCTCCGGGTAGAGAAGGAGACCATGGGCTCGGTTCTCATTGCCGATAGCTCGTCGTCATTCGCCAGCGTTGCCGCGCACCAGCAGCCCATCAACACTCGGGGCTGGACCCTCCAGGAGGCCCTGCTCACTCCCCGCCTTCTCATCTTTACCAACATGCACATGGTCTGGAAATGCCAGACTGGCTATCAGCCCGAATTCCACGCTACCTCCCGAGACGCCCGCGAAAGACGCCGTGGGGATTATGGCCCCTGGGATGCTTGGTCTTCGCTCTGCGGCTACTCGTTTGCTCGTCTCAAGAAGCTCGACGAGCTAGCCATCCCGGAAACTCCGCGTGTCGGGGAGGAGTTCAACAGCCGTGGAGGCACTTACTCGACCTGGCATTTCATCCTGAACAAATACACGACGAGGCAGCTCACCGAAGAAAGTGATCGGCTGCCTGCCATTTCGGCCATCGCCCAGGCCTTTGCCGCCCATTTCAAGACTGAATACTACGCCGGGCTCTGGGGACGCTTCCTCGTGCATGATCTAATGTGGGAGAACTGGCTTTCCAATCCCAACGCCACAAAGTCAGGGGCTCCGTCGTGGTCGTGGGCCACCATGAAAGGTGAGCTTCAGTACGACGGTAGCAACACCGACTATGCCCGAGCCGAGGTCGTGTCGTGCAAGACCACGCCCGTGTCGGACAAGAATCCTTTTGGGGCAGTTACTGGCGGCGAGTTGGTGATCCGCGGACACCTGAACAAGCTGTGGCTCGATGCGGGCGAGTCGAACAGACGGGAACTCTTTGACAATGAGGGCAACGCCATTCCCTATGCCGAATTTATCGGCGATGACGGGTCCGGAGACTGGAACCGGAGCCGCACCGCTGTGCTCTGCTTGGTCCTTGGTGACAAACCCTGGGCGACTAGGCACAGCAACTATCCAAACTGTTGCCCGAATTACATAACCAGGTGTCCCCAGTCGATAAAGTGTCGGATGATGGTGCTAGTCGAGAGGTCGGACCGAGCAGGCTGCTATCAGCGGATAGGACTGGCCAAAGCAGAGATGTATGTTAGACCGCTCTGGTGGGAGAAGTGTGAGAGAGTAATGGTGACGGTTGTCTGATAATATGAGTTCTATCAGCTTTGTTGTAATAGACTCACACTGCTCCTTTGTGTAGAGCGCCCACTTTCTACTTTCTCCTTGGGTAGCAACCTTCTGATATCTCCTCCCAAAAATGTTTCGCATTTTCATAACCAGACGCTTGAAACGTGAAGGAGAGAGATCATCGTCCCCGTTGGCAAGCTATCACTCGGTTTCACCGTTGTGGGACTTTTACTTCTATGATTTCTCCGGGAGTGTCTATTAAGAACATCTTCAATAGTTATAAGATCATGTTGAAGAGTAAAACCGGTCGAAATTTCTGTGGATCTTCATCTTTGGAAGAAGCCGTGCTGTGTTGCCGAAAAGCGAATCTCATTGCTTGGCCCTACCGCGATAGCCGGAGTTATATGACGGCCAATAGCGTATAGTACAGCTTGAAATTATTATCAAAAGGTCGAACGAGTTGGATGTATATGTATCACTGGAGAAAATCTCATAGCAAGAAGTAAAACCAATGAGGAATTCCATTTTCTTTGTGGTACCAAATGTGGCCTCACTTGTTGTTTCTTCTGGTTGATCGAGGGCTTTTATCAGAGCCATGAGCGGCTGACAACGTGAAATTTCAGAAGCCTTGCAGTGGCAATACAACACATAATCTACCGGTAATCAAACTGGTCAACATCTTGTAAGTAACAAAGAGTGGCATTGGACCATAGTTGTCCAGTATATTGTCTCCCGTAGCCCATACGCGCGCGATGAACAAAGCGAATCAAGGAGACCAAGAGGGACTTGATGGAGGGCTCTCGCAAATGGATTTTTGACCACACCGTGTACCAACAACAGTGCCATAACTACAAGAATCGACTACTCTGGATCAGGGGTGAATCAGGAAATGGAACGACTATGTTGGTTAGTATTATCGACGAACCGGAAGATGTGCTCAAGCGGGCGAAACAATTGGCTTCTCATGCCACGGTTCTCTCATACTTCCTCTGCCATGATAAAGCGGCTATAAAGCTCATTGCCAAGAAAACACTTGCCGTGTCAAGTGGATAGTCTCCAGTCGAATTTGGCACGAGGTCGATGAGCAGCTGGGATATGCCCCAGGGAAAGTCAAAATTTGTGTAAAGCTGAATAAGAAATTGCCTCCGCCGCCGTCCAAACGTACATTTGGTGTCAATTGGATTTACTATCAAGTTGAAGATGTACGATAGCAAAACGCCGTCTACCGTTCAAGACCACCGCCCCTTTAACGCGAATGATACATTCCTCCGGGTGGCCTTGGTTTGTCAGGAGCTCGAGGAGATGTCACGAAACACTCGGGGGAATTCCAATATGAGTTGATTAGAGTTATGTACCTAATTCTGCCTTCTGTACTATGTCACGTACGACCAAAGGTAGGGGAGAATTCGGGGTCCCGTCAGGTTCTATAGCGCAGTTTAAGGTCTTTTATCCCCGGCGCCTTTGGCTTCTAAATTAAAAAATACACGACAATTCAATTTATACAGCGTGAAAATCAAACTAATTGTATGTAGAAATCTTTCAAGATTCGATCTATTATACTAAGCCTGCATCTTATTGGAAGCTCTACCCCCTACAGGCAGTTTTATCATGGATGCCTGTCGTCACACATTTGGTACTCATATGGCGCACAATACAAATGTCTTGCCCGCCCATTCATTAATCTTCTTAACCCCTCAAGTCTGGCCGGTACAGGTGTCTCCAGGCTTTATCTGAACAGAGCCAAGGTGTTGATATGGGTGCCCAGCGTATATGGCATCCTGCTCTACAGAGTCCCTCAATTGATATTGATAGAATAGGTGTGGAATCTTAGTAGAAGCGTCGTCAACTGCATGAACGAAGTCCCAGGCGCGAACACTAAAGATCATCATATATAAGTAATCCATGTTTCAAAATAATACAGTGTACAAGGCATAAGCTTTAATTACTTACCCAGCCACACTATCATAAGAGACTAAGTCTAAAAGGTCAGTCCTCTCCATCCATGTTTTATTAGTAGCCCAAATGTAGACTACAACAAGCCAGTCTCCCATTAAGCACTTGTAATCATGGTTATATTGGGAGAAAACTGCTCGTCTCCCGCATGTTATCTCAGGAGGTGCCTTATCAAGCTTTGTGCGGTCATGCAGTTGACCCAGATATCTTGGATAGTGTGGCCATAACATCACCGACGGTCGTGTATTAGTCCCCTGAAGTAATTGAAGGGGGAGGTCTACAAGATAGGACCGTATAAGCATGCGCCATGGCGCTCGCCCATCTTCATATCCCCGGGGAATTAGGTCAGCTGATATCAGCCATCGGAATGATCGTACTTTGGGTGGTGTTAGCGGACGGCCAATGATGGCCATCCACGCATGATGCCAGGCGGCCGCTGTCTGTCGATAATCCGAGCTTTGCGTATGCTTAAGTATGGTCTTGTTATCGTCTTCGTCTTGATAAGGTCTTTGTAGCCATAATGGAGCCGATTCATCTCCCAGCGGCGGAGAAGCATATTCGGGGAGCGAGGGACAATGGCAGGGGATATAGTGCGTGCAGCGAGGTTTGTCAACAGGCATATATGTAGCCGATGATTCTGCGCCCGTGGTTGAGGATTCTGCAGTCAAAAGTGACGATGTTGCAGTCATGGTTGATTGTATAACAGTCATGGTTGATGATTGTGCAAGTGTCTTGTCCATTTAATAGCAGGCTTTCGCGAATTGAGGCTTTGCAGCATGTGGTTGCACGTCTGGTTTATATATCCAGAGAAATCGGCCCGACACAAAAGTAAATCTCCTCTTGTGGAAATAGCTGGCTTGATACTTTTGGCGTTTCTCTTATTATGACGATGAAAGAGACGATGATGGATTATCTAGAAAGAGAGGGAAGCCTTAAAGCTTCCACGAACGAAATGAATATCCTGATGGTGTTGCAAACAGACAGGCCCGCCGCATCAGATCACGGGAGGTCTCACGCGCAACGGTACATTCAGGAGATTGTGTCTGGCCCTCATTGATATGCATCAATCCCACCGAAATCACATCATCTTTCATCAGTTGTTGCATGCTTCAGAGCATAGAATTGGCTATCTTGGACGGTCTACCCTGATGAATAAAAGGCCAAGCCTTGTCTTGTCTGTTACATTTTAGCGGCTGTATAACACCCTCGTGCTGATATCACTGCCGCCGGCCTCCACTCTGCAGTATCTGTGGCCCAACTTGGAGTCATTATGGTGATAAGATGAGTCCGTTTTAGACTGCGCTTCACATTTTGAAGATATATATGGAGAGACACCACTATCGTAGGCGGCGGCGAACGCGCCTGGAAGTGACGCCGTGGTTTGCTCGTCGTGGTTTCTGCATTACTTCTTGTAGCAGAGCGGCGTCAACTGCCTCAAGAAAGGTAATGGCGCGTATAATCTTACCGTCTTTGCATTCGGGAAGCAAGCCGTGCTTCTGGTTGAATAAGATGTGGATGGTTTCAAAGTTTCCGCCAAGGCCCGTAACAAATTTGTTTATAAGGAATGGTTCGCCAATCCTGCAACTTTCATCCAGTTCTCCAAGTTTTGCTTGAACTTCTAAGAGTCTTTCGGCGTATTCGGTTACATTCGCACAGTCCTGCAGCGTCAAGCTTTCGTATTCATCATAAAGAACACGGAAGGCTAGAGTTTTGTAACCTTGGAATCATCCGTTCAACGCGTCCATCACTTCCGATAAGGTCGTCATGTGTTTGATGAGATGCCGGTTTCGGTAATTGAGGCTGCTCCTGACGATGGCGACGACTTGCATTTGACGATGATCCCATAATTCAAGTCTTGCGTCAAAGGCGATTTGCGTTTCCTCATCTCCTATAGTCGGCCTTGTGTCTCTTTCCAAGAGGTCTTTAAAGCCATTGATTATAATCATGCCCATTACATCTTGTTTCCATCTGAACCAATCACTCCACGAGTCGAGCTTCGTGATGTCCATGGCGATGTCCATGGCGCTGACTATGTAATTATCGGTTGTATTGGGCTCAGCCGGTTAGTGCAGTTGGTGTCTAAGACCGCAATCTCGGGGCCGATAATTTGAAATTAGTCGTTTTTCAGCCAGATTATCCTGTGAACGTGGCGCCCGTGTTGTTGTTTTTATTGAAAGTCTAAATTAGCTAGCCATAAGTTGGGGGCATGGCCTCTTATTTATACAAAGCCAACGAGACTAATAATTAGCCAACGAAATTTAAGCACAGATCCAAACGGGGAGTACCCTGTAGGTTTCACACATACATATAGTCACAATGGCCATTCCATAACAAAGGGTTGTATCTATACTTGCGATTATCTGGTTCATCTATCTTTGCATGCAAACATTATTGCTTCAAGTTACCTGTGTTCTTTCCATGCCCCCAGATTTATCTCACCCCAAGTAAATCTCTGTAATTGCTGTGACTGTTTACCCCTTATCCTTTGCTGCGAAACTAGTGTAAATTTTAGTTATAATGTACCAATAGCGTTAATCCTAACACATACGACCATAGGTAGTGGAAAACTCGGGGTCCCGTCTGCTCCCCCATAGATAAGCCACTAACCGGCAGATTAGTAGTTAAGTGGGTGACCATTAGCGAACACCGGCTGTTGTATGTTTTTGTTCTTTTTTTGCATTTCTTGGTGCTATTCAAGTGTTGCCTGTGTTCTCTTGCTAATGGCAGTTTTGGTCTACGGCGGATGACGCCGTAGCTATTGATGTGAGTTAATCTGTGTAACGCTATTAGCGGGGTATATGCAGGCCTAAGACAGGGGTTCCGAAATTATACAACCAACATCTTACCGATCATGTGGTTATTAAGACAAAGGCGAGCCTAAGCCTCCCCCTTGGTTAACCCAGCTCCCCAATCCCACCCTTTTTTTCATTCCCTTGTTCTCTTCTTACTCTTCCTATGCAAAAGCTCAAGAGGGAAGACAAAGGAGAGAAAAAAAGGAAAATATAGGTATACATTAGAGACAAATATACAAATGCGAATAAAGTTTATATCTTGATCTAGCTGGCTATTACTTATTAACCCGCCGCCCGCCATTTACTTAAGGACGGGCTTTTACAGATATCTTAGCTTTGACATGGTGCGAGTAGGGTATGATGATTATAGTCATTGGGCAACTTGTAGGTTTTGGGACGCTGAGCCGCGGGTTGTTACCCAAGGATCGCTAGTACGCAGAAGACTGGGCCACGGACGCTAATATAGAAGATTTTCTTGTCTTTTTAATCCAAGTATGGTCTCAGAGGGGGCTGGGTAGAATCTTTTACTCTCTTGTTTGCCACTTCTAAGCTACTCATACATCGTTTAGTAGGAAAGAACAGGACATGAGACAAGGCTATACTAAGGTGCATGTGATTGTTACTATAACCACGAGTAACCTAGCAATTAAACACGTCACAATCTTCTACTATCACGAATACAAAGTATGGGTGCTTCCTATGCATGTTGGAAATTGTCCTTACAAAAGCCTCCATCCAAGCAGAAGTCCCAACTAGCGTATGAAACTCCGCGAAGAACCAACAGCAACAACCCGTCTTGGTCCGCTTCCTAAGCATAAACTACTAGAAGCAATTTTAGGCCAAGCTAAGAAATAAGCGTATTTATATGGCACCTTGTTTCCTATGTAGTTAATTATGAATATTGGTTTAGCAAACTCTCCGCGGTTCCGGTTCTGTTAATGTGTTATTATACGGACACAGCCAGTTTTTGAGCCCATTTCGTGGGATCTCACTAACCCTGTATCCAGACAATCCCGCGAAATCATTTATTGAAAAAAAGGCCTATTCGGGGTGTCCTGGAAATTATCCAACTGGAAGAATTTGACCCTCGCGTCCCATACGGATAGGGATTCTTTATTTACTGTGCTGTTTTCGGCGATGGGACTAATGCTTGTTTTGCCGAGGGCCTGAATCGCCTTGAGAAATGGCTCAGATGGGAGGTTCAAAACTCGCGTTATAACACCTACGACGAGGCAGATAGATGGAGGAAACATCTAGATTTTATGCCAGCGCCTGGTGAACCTGATGTTACGGATAAAGTCGTAGCGCGCATGTGGAATGAGGGGGTAGAAGAATACCCAGATGCCCAGGAAATCATTACCGAGTCAGAAGGCAGCGAGGATTTCAGTCCTAATGGCCGAGATTTCGCCGCTAGAGTAGAGTCTTTCAACATTAACACTAGCTCGCAGGACAAAGAGGACTGCAAGAGAAACGCGCGCTATAAGACTTGCTTGATAATCGACGGAAGAATCCTTGTGTAATAGCACCGTAGGAGCTCCCTAAGGCCTGTAGGTCAGAGACCTTATAAGCTGTTGTAAAGGGCAGTGCTAGCCTAGGCTGCTAGCATTAACGGATCTTTTTAATCTAATGGCTTAATTGGCACCCTTTCCGATTGCTGTTACACCTTGAAATACTAGAGGGGCTTCTAGCCGACACTCCGCCGGTGGTGCCTCTTCCTAAATCAAGTCCTAAAAGCCAGCAAGCGGAACAGATTCTCCGTGATAATTAGGTATGGATCCTGGATTAAGAAACCGCCATTGACAGAGAGGAGGGAGATAAGTAAGAATTCCCTCCGTGGATCCGTATTTAATTATATTTATTATAATTCTTTTTTTTCTAGTATACTTATGGCTATATTACTACTAACTAGTAATATTTAGTAATAGAAAATAAGAAAAACTAAGATACTATATAATAGTGGAATTAATAATATGCACTTATAATAAAGTTAAATAAGTACTATATAAAGTATTTCTTAAATATAATTGCCTTTTATATAATTATATAATAGGGTATTATTATATTAGGAGTAGTATATTATTTCTTAAAATTATAAAAACTAATTATTTCTTAATTACTTATATTTTATAAGTTTTTAATAAAAGATATTTTAATTAGCCTTATATTTTTAGTATTAAGTAATAATAAAAGTCTTTTATTTATAAATAGCTAGTGGACTAACCCTTTTATTTATAAAAAATCTAATATAATTAATAAACTCTTGCCCTTTATATAAATAATATTATTAATTTCTTTAAATTTTAAACTAAGAGAAAGAAAAGTAAAAAAAAAAATAACACTTACCCTATACCTACCCTACACTTACCCTACACTTACCCTCCACTTACCTACCCTACACCTACCCTACACCTACCCTACACCTACCCTACACCTACCCTACACCTACCCTACACCTACCCTACACTTACCCTAGACCTGCCTTATACTTACCCTAGACCTACCCTAGAGCGTAATAGGTCCTACCCTAGAGTATAACTAGACCTACCCTATAGCTAAATTAAATTTACTTTATAATTATTATTTTATAATATAAAAAAGCTTAATAAAAAATTATTATATATATAATTAATATTATATAAAAGCTATATATATTTACTTTATACCTTATATAAAATTATACTTAAAGTAAAAGTAAAAAAGTAAATAAAAATAATTATAAAAAAAATTAAAAATAATAATAATAATAATAATAATAATACTTACCCTACACCTACTTACACTCACCTACCCTACACTTACTTACCCTACACTTACCTACCCTACACCCACTTATACTCACTTACCCTATACTTACTTACCCTATACTTACTTACACTTACTTACCCTATACCTACCCTACACTCACTTACCCTACACCCACTTACACTCACCTACCCTACACTCACTTACCCTACACTCACCTACCCTACACCCACTTACACTTACTTACCCTATACTTACTTACCCTACACTTACTTACACTTACTTACCCTACACTCACTTACACTTACCTACCCTACACTCACCTACCCTACACTCACTTACCCTATACTTACCTACCTTACACTCACCTACCCTACACTTACCTACCCTACACTCACTTACCCTATACTCACTTACCCTACACTCACTTACACTTACCTACCCTATACCTACCCTATACTCACCTACCCTATACTCTCTTACCCTATACTTACCCTATACCTACTTACACTTACTTACCCTACACTTACCTACCCTACACTCACTTACCCTACACTTACTTACCTTACACTCACCTACCCTACACCCACTTACACTTACTTACCCTACACTTACCCTATACTTACTTACCCTACACTTACTTACCCTATACTTATATTTACCTACCCTACACTTACTTACCCTATACTTACTTACCCTACACTTACTTATACTCACTTACCCTACACCTACTTACACTCACTTACCCTACACTTACTTACCCTATACTCACTTACCCTACACCCACTTACACTTACTTACCCTATACCTACCCTACACCTACTTACACTCACCTACCCTACACTCTCTTACCCTACACCTACCCTACACTCACCTACCCTACACTCTCTTACCCTATACCTACCCTATACCTACCCTACAGGGCCAAGGTATATATTTTTTCGCGCCCCTGCCGGGGGCAAGCTTCCCGCCCTCCGGCCCTCCGGCTCCCCTGGGCTCCCCTGGGCTTGGCCAAGCAGCCGCCCCTGCGCCCCTGCGCCCCCGGCGCGCCCAAACGCCCCAAGATCTCCCCTATTTCTCTATTAAGTTAGTTTTAACTATTATAAAAAGGCCTTAGATATCCCTATTAGTAGTTCTAAAACTGTCCTTAATAGTATTTTCTATTATAAAGTGTTTAATATAGCGCTTGCTATAGTTATACTAAATAATAATCTTACTAACTACTCTATTGCCCAGTAATACATTGGTTTTAGCAATACAAGGGACTCTACCACACATACCAACGGGGATAGCACGCCCAAGGGTGGTATGGCTTGATCGCAAGCTGCCAGTAGCAGCTGCTGCATTATTCATCCCCATGCCTAGGAGTAGAGCAAGAACAATGTTATGATCTCCAATGTGACCTGTGATATAGGTGTTATTGCTATTAGCTCAGCCGTAGCTCACGCTTCTCGTCCCAGAATTAGTTAAAGACCAAGAGGTCAACGCTATCAACCTGGTCTTTAGCCAATTCTAGGCGTGAAAGGTTATGCAGTTGGCAGGAGGCTGTAGAGTCAGCTTATAATCAAGATCGGCATTCGATGTTAAATCTGGATCCAGTGATAGACACGACGACTGTGAATATATATGCCTCCATTCGTGCCTGAGTAGACCAACTCCGGCTTGTTTTAGAACAAGCAGCATAACCGCCGATGATGGGGCCCTGGTCGGTGTGAGCACTCCCGAGAGCAGCGAATCTGCTTGGCTGTCTAGCTCCCGGCTCGTCATGGCCTGACCCTATCTTCCAAACCTATATCTCTGGCATATTCGTTAACGCCGTCCAGCGGCATCTGGCTGAGGCCTTGGATTAGATGAAGCTCAAGTAGCCAAACCACATGTTGATATATCCGCGACCTGAGGGTATCACTGTCGAGGGCCTCGCCTTCCTCGTCCTCCCATAGTTCACCATCTAAGCAATTGTCAATGGCCATACGAAGAGGACAGTCTTCGGGCATCTGGGCTCGACATCCTTCCTTGCCCATTTCCTCATCGCCATTGAACACCTGATCCACGTTGATGAGGGCCATGCGGCCGCTGGGAACCTCGATCGGTGGAACGTCGTGCATTTCTGCCAATCCTTTCAATGGCATGACGAAATACTCCTCCATGAGGACCACAGTCAGAGCAACCATTACCGGGTAACGATGCCCCAAATCTCGATCGTCCGATGCCTCATCATCGGTGTCCCCACCATCCGCAATGAGTTGAAAATTAGTTGAGCCGGCCGGAACTGCCTTGGGTAACTGAGTTTGAAGGAAAGGTCGCAACGGAGTCTTGGACGAAGTTGTCTGGAAGAACTCGATACTAGCTGACCCCCACCCCCGCTGGAGCCAGGAGGTGCCGTTCAGGTGCAAGATTGTGGAACCAATGACAAGAGAAAGGATTCGCTTCGTTTTCTTTGTGAAGAAGTGGTGCCAATCTTTAAGACATTGAGAGAGCAATTAGATTGGCGGTCTTGTCTATGACAAAGTTGCTCTTCTCAAGTCCCATCTCAAAAAGTTGGCCGCTGTTGAGCTTCAACAGAAGACGTTGCAAGGCCTTGGACTTCGTCTTGGTAATTGGTCTGCAAAGTCTTTCCACCCTTGCGTGTTCGTTCTCATCGCTGGCTATACGAGGTGGCGCTGGAAAATTCAAGCAAACTTCCCGTTCTTTAACGATCTGGGCGCGAACCTCATGCCAGTCCCGCTCCATAGAGAGAGAGATGTCAAGATCAAGTTCCCCAGCGGTATCTATCACCAGCGCCACCGCGATTTCGGACACGATTTCGATTGGGTTTGACGAGGGGTTTCTTGCTGATATTTTTATTGGACCTCCGGTACGTGCCCAATTCGAGTTTCGCCCCAAAGTCATGCTGGCCGGGACAGGAGCATCCCTTACAGTCCAACAGGGAATCGAGGATCGACTGAGCGGCTTTACAGATGGCAAATGACGGTTCAGCAATGTCTAGGGACGGGAGCTTGTCCACCGATTTTCTGGAAGCCGGATCTGGGTGTTGTTTGTCGAGTTCGTCGGCACAGCTTTCCAGTGCCTTATCCACCTCGGCTCGTTGCTCCCCAGTTGTCAACCATCGGCTAATGAATTTAAGTTTCATCTCAAGAGACTGCTTCCGTGCATCACTCCAGCATAGATTAAGCATCCCAAGACGAAATTCCAATGTCGTTGGGGAAGACGGTAATTGCTGAAGACAATTCTCTGAGACAATAGAACCGAGTTGGGCCAGGGCCTCTTTGAGAGGTTCATCTTTTACTCGAGACGAGGTCTGCCGCGCCCACACTGAGAAGTCTCGTAATTTGACACAATGGGATGCTAGGTGACTATAGAAGGCCCTGGTTTCCTCATTGGTATCGTTGATTCGAGCAAGATTCGCCATCTCCATGACTGACTCGGACGATTTCTGGAGCAACTTGAGATTCAAGCCCTAGTCTTTGTGATCCAAGGATACGGCCATCTCGCCCGACTTCGAATGTGTCAAACGCCAAGAACCTAGGCAACGGCCGTTGATACGATAAGGAGAGTTACCATTTACACACTATAGCTCGTCTGGTGGCTTAGTATCAGTCGGTCCGTCTGCTGTTATACTTTCACCACCAACACGATAATACAAACCCCAATACCCTAATCATGGCATAAACTTTCAAGCAAGGTTTGCGGTTTTATCGCTCAAACTACATAAGTAGCGGCCCCTCCGCCATCTACCTATTGTAATCAAAACTATGCTCGAATTGATCTCAGCTTCTTCATCAACGAGGCTGCCAACACAATGTTCAACTTCATCAGAAATCTCGGGAGCAGCGCTCGCACTTCTTCAGACCGGTCCAGTCAACCGAACCGGTACGACACTGCCCTGAGAGACAGTCTTCACTTTAGTGATTCTTCTATCCGGGCAACTCCTCCCCCATATTCTCCAAGATCCGCAACCTCCAGAGAATCTATATCGCATTCCAACACGGCTTGCACCTGCACGCCCCTTCGAGGCTGTTGCAGCGACCACAATTCAATACGGACGCCTAACCCCGCTCCCCTTGAGCTACTTGGAAGTCCTTGCAATGTTTTTATAAATACGTGGAATACATCAAGCTTCACCCTCATCCCTATCCATCATTCCATACAATATCATCTTTCAATGAACAACCTCAGCTGCATCAGCCGCCGACTCAATCCAGAGACCGAAACAAGGTATGTCCTGGAGTTGTCCCTTGAAGGAAGCGCCACCTCTGTTACGGACACACATTATTGTTGGTCAAATGAAATATACTTTGATAAGGGAACCTTCTTGCAGAAACAAGAAATACGCACTGCCTTTTGGAAAAACGACGAAAATCCACCTGAGCATTTTACAGGATGTCCGCATCAAAGCCTAAGTGTCTATACACCCGAGTTTAGGGATCGAGATGGCATGTGTGAGGCAGAAGCATGGATTACGTCCAAACCGTCACGTTGCTCATCTCATCCAATGCAGAAATGGAGCAGTTGCCAAGGACCCTACACTCATATAACCTCCTGCACGATATGTCACTCAGATAACGAGTGTTACATACAACTAAATGGGGGCTATCTAGATGTGAGGTATACTTGCTTCAGAGATCTGGGAGCAGGGACGGATCCAAACGATCCCAAATGGCGTTCTTTATTTACAGGCGGAGGCATCAATCATCGGCCAAAATATGAATTTGACGTTCTTAGACGAGTTTGGCATACAGCTTTGCACCTGAAGCGGAGCAACCTTTACGACGTTGTCCACCAAACCCCCAACGGGCTGTTTCATGTGCGCTCTGCAAGACATGACGAGACATAGCCTCGAGGAACAAGTTTCGACGGCGTCCAGAATATGGTGTTTACAAGTTGGCCCTATGGATGGGCAATAGGGAAAGTACAGAAAACACGATATGACGAGGCGTTTCGAGCACAAAGTACAGCCAGTTGCGAAAGGAGAGTTGATTGCGTAGTATAGATTGCTTGGTATCAAGAATGTGGATATTGAATTCTGCCACTATTTGTTATCAAAGTATGTTGTTACAACCCGACACGTCGCGCCAAACTCTGTGTGTTGCGTCTGCCGAGTGGCTTTGCTCTTAAGCCATTCATAGCTTATCAGTTGCGCCAACTGTTGCCTGAACCTTCATCTTCTTGTATCCTGCGGCTTTGTTATTAGTACAAGATAACTCGAATCTGAACGAGATGATTTTCTCACGAAAGTAGAAGCTGCAAGATGTCCTTACCATCATGGAACCCACTACAGGAATACGCCAAGAAGGGTAACACATCGCACGGCCGAAGGTTTAATGATTTTGTCCTTGATGTAACGGCTGTGTACTTGATCCGTCAACCTCGCCAAACAGGCTTGCGAGATTGTGAATGAACCTGGATGCCGAGTCACTGGTAGCTATCTTGTAATGCTGGCATACCGTATCCATGACTTTCACAAAGGCACCATCAATGTGGTGAAGGCTCTTCCATTGATGCATCGTCAAGATTCGTTCCTGGCTTCTGATTCAAGCCGTACTGTGTCAGGAACCGCGTCGCCAGGGAAATCAACTTTTTTGCTTTCTTTAACGCAACAGGCCCCGAGATTTCTTTTTCACGCACGCTTTGTTCTATAATGCGAGTCAATATCCTCCGGTGGTAGAACTTTGGGAAGTTTCATTTTGGTACACCGAGTTCTGTTCAATTTCCATACGTCGAAATCCCTCAAAGCCATTGTTCAACCACTGGCCATGCAGTCATCGTGGATGGCTGAAAGTCCCTTTGTCAAAATCCATTTCTTTGGGCGTGAAGGGTCGATGGTGAATCATTAGGGGAGAACGTCTTATACACAGCCAACTTCAAAAGTGCCGGGTCGTTGTATCCCAATGCTTCATCTGGTCTTCCAATGCCTCTAGATTCGTGACACACGCTCGGCACCCCAAAACCCTAGAAATAAGATGAAAGAGGATCAACTCCAGTCTCTGGTGGTGCAACTTGACGAACAAGGCCATGTCAGCCAGTAATCGTGCGTATCCATGGTCAAGCAAGTCTTGCTTGTTGTTGCGAGCATAGAGCTTGGAATTGACATCGCCATCTCCTTTTCACCAGCACGCCCAGAAAAAACGTGTATATGGATGATGATTGCTCATTGCCCGCAGAGCAAGTTTCATTTGAAACCTGATTTGGGTTGGAACCTTTGTAACAGAGTGGAATGCCGCGCGTATGTTGGTGTCGTGATAAAGGACCACAAGTGTTGAGAGACAATGAAGATGCGTCTTTGACAAAGCGGGCCGCATCATCGGCGGGTATGTAAATCTCCCAATTCCTTACCCATGCTGATCCGTGATAGCCGTGGAGATCTCTCTGCCTGTAATCATCCAGGCAAATGTCATGCTTGCAACTCCTGCAGCCAATCATATCGCGGGAGTTGATCAGGTTGGGCAAACGTGTTTTTGCTGCAAGCCCAGCTTGCTCCGTATTGAGCAACACGGAAACAAAACCTTCGGCCAGATAATAGCCGTCGTTAATCCCTTGTTCCACCTTTCCGTATCACTCCTAGCGTATACAAACCAGAAGATTGTAGACCCAAATCTTGCTGTCTGCCGCTTGAATCCCAGGTGTTCCATCCCCTTTCAAAAAGTATTACCATGAACGGCGATTGGTCCCCAAGAATTATCTTCCCAGACTCATCTTTCTCCTCTTAGTTGATAGTGTTATGAGTGATAGTCTCCCAGCAAATATGTTCCCAAATAATGCTTCTCTCTCAGTCCATGATGGTTGGTAGTGATTGGTTCCCAGCAACGGTATATGAAACGTCGTTTGGTATCATGTATTCCGTGACAGCATTGATTGTTGACGCAAGCAGAGAGCCGCCAGGGTGTGGCAGGCGAGCAGATTTGATGTCATGGTTGGTAGAGCGAGGAAGAAGAGTTGAAGCATGTGTTTTTTTGGCGAGGGCTTTTGGTGAAGGTCGTCTTTACGCCTGCATTTGTTTGACTTGCAAGGCGATGGAGCTGCTTTGGCTTCGGCTTTGATGATGCCTACTAGACCTGAACGGGTACGCTTTTGAATGATTGAAGCGTCTGACCCACAGTCTCCGTGGTTCAGGCCCCAGCCAGGCCAGAGGCTTCTGGCTGGGGTGACGACCTGCCCTTATACGTGGAATGGGGGCTTGCTCTCGCCCGTTTCATTCTTCTTCTGCTGCCGCTGCTGCTGCCGCTGCTGAGACTGGCCCGGGCGAGGGGCCGAAGAGGGGCCGGCGACCGCTCTGGTGCCTCTAATAACGGCCGGAGCCGGAGCCGGGGGGGATAGAGATCGCCGGGAGGGACTCGGGGAGACAAAGAGAGAGCTGGGAAGGGGGGCTGCTTATATAGGTGGTCCACAGCCACCACACAGCACCAAACACCATCCCAACAAAAATCGAAAAGTTGGCGAGGGCGCCAGACAGTTCATAATAATAATGGACCCATTCATCTGAGCCCACAGAGTATCTGGCCTTTACGGCCACTGCTTGAAGCAGTATCATCATCGTCATCATCATCATCATCGTCGTCATCGTCATCATCGTCTTCTTCTTCTTCTTCGTCGTCGTCGTCGTCGTCGTCGTCGTCGCTGCTGCTGCTGCTGCTGCTGCTGCTTATGGCTCTGGCTCTGGTTCTGGTTCTGGTTCTGGCTCTGGCTCTGGCTCTGCTATCAACAGAGTGTAAACATCAAACGCGCTCTACGTCAAGGTATTTGTAAACTGATTCTCGGCTCAACGGTAGGAGCAATGAGCCCACCATCTTCGAGGAAGCAGCAGTGGTAGTGTTGTGGTTTCCTTTGATGTCACACATCCAAGAAGCTGGCGTGGTCGTTATTGACCGAAATCCCCTGGGTGACGATATATATGAATGCCCAGTGTCGTTATATGACATTACCAAAGGTTGTCTCCAGCTCGACATATCGAAAGATGGAAGTGAATGTTTGTGTTGACGTCTTCCTTCAAAGGTAATATCATCATCTATCCTCATCAGCAAAATCAGCAAGGAGCCGGTGTTCACGAACCAAGGACGCAGGGAATCGAAAGAAGAGTAAAATATGCCCAGTCATTCGAAAGACTTATTTAGGTGGAGTTGACTCCTTTACTGTAACCACATATTGATGGCAACTAGAAGAGAGCTGCAGGTACAGCACTAAATGCATTTCTTCTGCTTCATGTGCAGATAAATTTTCAGTACATATCCGGTCGTTGACATTAATGCGACATGGAAATTCAACTGAGGTACAAGTGGCATATTGGAGTCAATCTACGGATCCAAGCTTTGTTCTCTTGATGGACTAGTGTTTCACTTTACGTTGTATTTGTATATAGATACAGTAGATGCAGTTATGTATACAGTAGTTGCAAATCCCAAACAAGGGAAAGGGAGAAAAATATTGATTTCAACTACATGATCCCCCAGAAATTTCTCCCATCAAGAACAAACCCGACTGCATGAGAACTCAATGAACCACTCGATCACGTACTCAACACAGCTAAATAGATATAAAAGTAATACAAACACCTCAATACATACTTATACTCCATTTGATGAATAAACATCCACGGCACAAACAGCCCTCAGTAAAACTCCTTAACCAACCCATCACAGAGATTCCACAACCTCTCCCCCGACGCCCTCTTCTGAATCCCCTCCACAACCTTGGCCACCGGCCTCCCAATCTTCCCCCACGGAATCAAATAACACCCGTTATACTCAACCACCTCGCTCCCAAACCCCGCCTGCAGCTCCGTCAAGGCTCCCAACCGAACCGGATACGACAAGAACCCCTGGACACTCTTCAAGATGCCCGGCGCGTGACGAGTGAGATCCGTCTTGATGGCGCCAGGGTTGAACGAGGCGCTGACAATCCGAGGATATCTCTTGGCCATTTCCGTCGCGAGAATGGCGTTGGCCCATTTGCTCTGCACATAGCGCTGCACTCGCCCATTCAGCCCCGAAAACTCTCGCGAACTCAGCGCCCAATCATCCCACACGATGCCATCCTCGCCAGGAGGATCAGGAAACTCGACAGAGGCCGCCCAGCACGTACGCACAGATCCCTCAGCCCCAGTCACGGCGTCGCTCTCCGCCGTCTTGACGAGAACCGGAGTCAAGAAATGCTGCAGCAAAAAGGGACCCAGCACGTTGGTCGCAAAGCTGAGCTCGTGGCCCTGCTTGCTGACGCTTCCCTCGGGAGGGGCCATGACGCCCGCATTGTGCCAGATGACATCGAGGCGAGTCTCTGCCGACAGAAAGGCCTCGGCCGTTGCCTTGATGCCCTGCAGGTCGGAGAGGTCCAGGCGGAGGAACCTGACAACGCCGTCGCCGTCTGCGCTGCGACGCTTCATGTCGCCCGGGGGGTCTGACTTGGCGATGGTGCTGATGGCTGTCTCGCCGGCAGAATCAGATCGCCCGAGGAGATAGACTCGCGCTGCATTGCCGTGGAACAAGGCTGTTGCTACGGCCAGACCGATGCCACCCGTGCCGCCTGTGACGATGAAGACCTGTCACCGTGTAAGAGAGCTGTCAAGATGTGGGTGTGGGTGAATGAGGGCAGACATACTCGTCCTTGCAAGTCGGGCAAATCTTTTTCGGTCTTTGTTGGCGACCCAGGCCAGTATTGGCGAAGGTATTTCGACATGATGAATCGTTTGGTCGCGGAGAGATGGTGTTGGGCGTGGGCTGACAGCTCTGAAATTTTGGAGAGGCGGGAGGGCATGCATGATATTATACCAGATGCGGCGAGTAATCTTACGGTCTAGCAGGACAGTGCGAAGTATTTAGGAATTACGAGGCAAAAGTAAAGAATTGAAACAACGGATCATACAATGGTTGCTATGTTGTCACATCTCTTTGATTGGTCCCCTTCTGGGTTTCGTCGTGGCTAGCTGGATCATTGTCAATGAAGATGCGTGGTCTGCACATCGAATTAAAGCCCGAGACGATGAATTGGACCGGGACAGACTCTAGCGAATCCTTCCAACCTTGATGACAATTGGATTTACTTGTGAACGTGGAACATCATCTCTCCGTCAAGCAAAACGCCCTTCATCAAACATAATTGGCCATCACATGCGTCAGCCATCGTGAATCGGTTTATTCATTGCATCCCAAAACTCCAATGCTCGCCAAGCACTTGATATCTTGACATATCTTCCAAGGACGGGGGGGGGGGAAAGAGGGAGACGTGATCGCAGAGACAGCTTCTTTGTTTTTTTTTCTTCTTTCTTTTTCAGCTGCCGAGCCGCATTTTACTCTTCGTCATCCATTTTCTGCAACTTGCCCATGTCCCTCTTCGCGCCAGCCTCTCCGATGAGCTTGATCCGGTCGATGCGCACAGTCTCCGCCTCGCCGTCGCCCTTCTGGACAAAAATGGTGAGGGTGGTTGTCTTTTGGAACTTGACAAATCGCAGGCTAATGTTTGCCGTGCCATCGGCGTTCCAATCCTGGGGCTCCAGTGTGATGGCTTGTGTGGGCTCTGCGTCCTCTGCCTCGCCAAAGTCCATGTTGGAAGTGCGGTTGATGAAGAGATGGAGGACGCCGGGCCGTGATACATCGCTGTTGCCCTCGGGGGGGAAGGAGGTGATCTGCTCTCGGAGTTAGTCAAATATGCCATGCATCGTCATGGACCAATTCCAAAATCGCTGACCTGTAGTGTGTGAAGCTTGATGGTCGACTGGAAGGGGATAAAGAGGAGAAGCTGGTCGTCGGATCCGCTCTGCACCCAGTCCTTGGAAGCCGATGCACCCTCTCTCAAGGCACTCGGTTGGGAGCTCTCAAAGAGAACCTTGACAGGACCAGCGTCGTCGTCGGCATTCAAGAGCTCACACCCTCTGAGCTCGACCTGGTCTGTGATGTCGCTGTAGCCTCTGGGGATCTCGGCGCCCTTCCAGATGCCGCCGCTTCCCGAGCCCGAGCCCGAGCCCGAGCCCTCTGCCAGCGACTCCAGCTCCGAGGCCAGCTTCTCAATCACGGCCCTGAGCTCGGTGGGGTTTGCGCCCTGGACCTTGTGGATGACCTGGCCGCTTCGAAAGAGGAGGAAGGTGGGAAGGGCGGTGATGCCATACTCCTTTGCGAGATCTTGGTTGGCGTCGTTGTCGATCTTGACAAAGGTGAGGAGACCGGGGCGGGAGATTTGCTCGGCGAGGGATGCGTAGAGGGGGGCAATCTGCTTGCAAGGTGCGCACCAGTCGGCCCAGACTGGAACAAGATGTTGGTCAGCGACAAAGATGACAAGATGACGAGATGATGGATTCAATGCAGCGGACAATCGACAGTCGACAGTCGTGAGAGATGCGTGCATGGCGGGGAGGGAGAGGCTCACAGTCGGCCACGACGATGCGGGAGCTGCTGAGAAGGTCGTCGAATTGCGCCTTGGAGGTGACGTTGACCAGCGAGTCTGTCATTTCTGCGTCTATCGTGTCTGTAGCAGTGGGGATGAGTCAGGCGAAGGAATAGGATAGACTAGAGTAGAGTAGAGCAGAGGAATAAAATAAAATAAAAAGTGAGGCTGGTCTTTATTAAGAGAGAGAGAGAGAGAGAGAAACAAACTGGCGATGATTGTGTAACGGGTTGGAAGCCTGCGAATGGATTGCGATTGCTTTGCTTTGCTATGTTAGGTAAGCTGTTGGAGGGGCGGAGGGGCCAGGCCAGGCCAGGGAGGGGATAGCTCCGGCAGCGACGGGCTAAGCCTATTGTGGCCAAGCAGCACCCGGGCGGGCAAGGTGTTGATTTGGCCGTTTTGATGCATTTGATCTCTTTTTTGACGGGCTGAATAGATGATGTTGATTTGCATTTTATAGGCAAGGTATCTATCTGATCATGACGATAACAGATGGCTGTGAATGTGAGTGAGGATACAGATGAATATACATAAATTGAATGTTTGCTCTCTCCCTCGGGTACGTACCCACCCATACCTTATCCAACCAACTCCCAATTCCCCGGAAATCAAATCAAATCTAAATCAATTAGCAGCCGCAAGTCTCAGGCTATTTACTTAGACGGTAGCACTGCGTCGTGCAACATTTACAATCATTTCCACAACCAGCACGGCCAGCAAGATTAGCAGCCCAGCTGTCAAACTTGGCAATATGGATAATGAGACCAAGCCTGCCCGCCAATAGCCTAATTAATAGCCAAAACAGGCCGGACGGTATCTCCGCAAGTATAGCAGCTGGTGGATGGCTCTGTTACACGTAACGCTACTATCTGAAGCAATCGATATATTAATTACACCGCATTGGAATCATCATGGCCTCCCCTCGATCTCCCCCCAAGACAGACTCTGTGTGAATTGACATTACAATCACATCCTCAACCTCAGCTGCAATTCCAACCTCCAACATGACGTCCGCTGCCGGCATCTACGACGACGACCTCAACATTGCCCATGCCGTCTTGCTCAAGAGCCAGCAGCAGTTCATCATCCGCACCACCTTTTCATGGCTACCCGTCCTGTCTCTGGGCCGCCAGCTGTTGACACTGCCGCTCTTTTGCTCAATCATCCTGCTCCAGCTGGCAATTCTCGCCGTCATCAAAAATGGCCTGGTTCAAACGTAAGCAAACCCGTATTCACACTCACATCTCACAACTCACAATCACAATCTCACTCCAAACAAAAAACCATGCTCGCTGTTGTTTGAAGCCACACACAGATTCCCCGACTCTCTCTCTCTCTCTCTCTCTCTCTCTCTCTCTCTCTCTCTCTCTCTCTCTCTCTCTCTCTCTCTCTCTCTCTCTCAACATGAGCGTCATCTAGCAATAAATCACCATCCCTACCTACACAAGCTCCATCCATCCATTCTTACCAATCCAATAGCTCATGCCGCAAAATGGCAAAAACAAAGCCCACCTCGCTCGACGGCCGAAGCCAAAAGCTGTCAAAGCCAACCTGGAAGCCCAAAGACGCAGCCGCACCAAATCTAAAGCCGGCCTCTCCCCCCAAAACAAATCCCTGGAATCGAAGCCCGATCCCAGCAGCTTCCGATCATGAAGATTCCCCTACCAAGACTCAGCCGCTGGCGGATGAGGAATTTCCAGAGCTGGGCACTTCTGGAGCAGCCGCCGACACCGCAGCCAGCGAAACAGCAGAGACTCACGCATCTCCGCCATGCGACGTGTCGAAATCAAGCTGCTCGACAAATGAAGAGACACAATCTGAAGAGTCCATCTCTGGCGTTTCTCGAATCAGCACGCCGACGAGGTTGATCCTGGAAGAGGAGGCTGACCAGGCTGCCAAGATGTGAGCACACCCTGGTTCCGAAGAAAATGCCCTTTTGCTGATTAAAAAAAATCAAATCCCATGTAGCCTTTGGAGACATCCCTTTGGATCAAACGTCTATTTGTACGTGGAAAAGAGCGTGTTTCAGCTGCACCGCGATATCCTCACGCGGCGCTCGGGATGGTTTCGCGACAAGCTCCCTCCACCAAACCAGGTAACACAAAAAATACAGTCAAGAAAACAAAAAATGAATTCACGTTGCTGATTCCTCGGTTTTCAGGACGGATCGCCCGTCGAGATACATCTGCCACACGCCATCGGGGCGGTACAGCCTTGCCTCTTCTTCATGTACACCAAAAGTACGGCATCTTCCCTCAAAGCAATCATTTTTTTCCCGCATCTCAGCTAACCCAGCCGATTCATTCCCTGCAGACCTCGATATTTGCGAGCGAGACTCGAGCCAGCCGCTCAACTTTATACACATTCCCCGTTGTGTCCTCGCCTATTGCGCAGCAGTCAACTTTCAGATTCCCGCAATGGCATCGCGCATCTTGTCCATCCTCGAAGACACTTCCAAAGATCTCTCCACATACCTCAACTCCTACTACATCTACAAGGAAATGGACTACAAAACCAGCAGGTCCATTGCCACCTATTTCATCAGCTCCGTCGACATTTTATATTCAGAACCGCTATTCGAGCTGATGAAGCCGATGCGCCACGCTCTCGCTGGTCTCTTGGACGCACTGCTCCCGTCTCTGCTGCGCCAACCGTATTTCCCCGAGATCCTATGCATGCCCTCGTGGAAGCGGTGGTCGGCTGCCATTGCTGCGGACCAAGTAGAATATCGAACGGCACTTGGCCACTACCGATCGTCGACAGAGTCCATCTTGCCGAGCGAGCTTGAGCTGGAGGCTTTATTTGATCGTGTGCTGGGGCAGTATGACCTCTACCAGAAGAACAAAGCCGATGCAAGGAATTATTCCGAGCAACATGCCAGAAGGGGGACACCTGATAGCTTTGACGGACAAGACAGAGCTTCAGCAACGAGCCATGGTTGGAAGAAGAGAGAGGCCAGCATCAAAGAGTACAGCGAAGAAGAGTCGACGCTGGTGTACCAGGCCCCAAGCGTTGCGGGAAGCACAGGCAGCGACACAGGCACCTGGAACTCGTTTGGCACAGACGGCGCGGACGCGGACGCAGCAGAAGCAAAAGCAGAAGCAGAAGCAGAGAGGCCACCGAGCACCAGCCCCAGAGCGTATCATAGCAGATGTATGAGGACCAAGTCCAATGCATCAGCAGGGGGAGGCCAAGGCATGAGCGGTAAGAAGACGAAGAGATGAAACGAGACAAGTGAGTGGATGAGATTTCGAAACTGATAGCAGAGCATGTGTGTGTGTATGTGAGTCTGTGAGATACTATTCCTGGTACTAAGTTGGTTTGAAGTTGGGGCTTGGAAAGACAGAGTCGAGTGTAAGTATAGAGCAACTTTTGTGTGAGTATACATGAGCATGAGCATGAGCATGAGCAGAATGATTTGATATAATGTTTCAAGAATAGAATGCCAAGCAATGAACCAATAAAACGACCATTTCAGATGATGACATCTACCATTTGTTGCCGCTCCCGGGTAGGGGGAATGAAGAAGCTATCCCATCTCTCTCATCCATCTGCTTGAACTATTTACCTCCTACTCTTGATCTACTACTCCACAACAAACATCTCTGGCTATATTTCTCTATACCATCATGTATTAATCATCGTCCATCTGCCGCCTAAATACCCAACATACACCACCCAAGTTCCCTCCCCAAGGCGCAGCTTCGTCCGCTGTAAAAACACCCGGCCCGCCCCACAGCCACTCGTATTCCCTGTTTTAGCCCATGACGTCGTAATACTATCCAGGTACTCCTTGTCTCTCCCTCTTTTTCTTGCAACCCAAAGCAGCCTTGGAGTCAGCCAGCCATTCACATTCCGGTGCCTGGTACTGGAATAGACTAGAATTTTCGTTACTTGACTTGCTCTCTCTCTCTCTCTCTCTCTCTCCTCTATTTTCCCTCTCTTTGCAATTGATTCTATCCTTATAAGCAGTGTCTCACATGCAAGCCACCCAACCAACCAACCAGCTCACGAGACTGAAAAGACGTCACGCCTGATCCCAGCTCTCTTTTCACCTCGGCGCTTATCTTATCTGTCCATACAAGCACCTTACCAGTCATCCGCTCACTCTCATCCATCCTCACTCAGTCATCTTCATTCAACAACCACTCACACAAACCATCGCACCGCATCACAACTTCATCAGCGCAAACAATCCTCTTCAACCCTCTTCTTCTTCACCATGGGTAAGTCTCTCCCAACTCTCTCCCCCCCTCATCCCTTCTCACTCGTCAACAAACAACAACAACAACAACAACATCACTAACATCATCACCCAGGCCGTCACAGCGTCAAGAAGCGCCTCTACCTCTCTCCCCCCGACCCCGACATCGTCACCCGCCAAACCCACGTCACCCGCTACATCCCCGAATCCCCCTCCCCCTCCCCTCCCCCCGTCGAGTACATCACCCTCCCGCCCCGTCCCCCGCCAGCAATCATCCAGCTCCCGCCTCCACCTCCACCCACGCTCCCTCCCGCTCCCATGCCTCCTCCTTTTCCCGCGCCCGTCTACTCCCTACCCCCTCTGCGCCGGCCCTCACCACCTCCCCTGCGCCGGCCCTCCCCCGAGCCAGAGTTCATCGAAGTCATCGCCGTCAGCGAGGACGAAAAAGACGACAAGAAAAAGAAGAAGAAGAAGAAGAACAAGGACAAGCACCACCATCGCTCCAAGAGCCGCTCCTCCATCTCCAGCCAATCCCGCAGCCGCAGCCGCAGCCACCACCGCCACCGCGACGACGACCAACTATCCCGCTACCACGACCGCGACAGCCACCGCGATCGCGACGTCGAGGAGTCGCGCGACAGAGAAGTCTACATCGAGAGGGAGCGGTACATTCCCTACCCGGTCCCCATGGAGCCCCAGTACAAGACGTATCGCTACGTCGATGCTCCGCGCAGCCCCGCTCGACGGCGTGCGTCGCCCTCTCCGTCGCGGTACGTTGAGGAGGATCGAGAGCGCGATTACATCCGTATACAGGATCGCGAATACCGATACGACTAATGCTTTTTTGAATTGGCAACTTTTTCTTTTTTCGTTGTCTGACATATCGATATTGAATTGTTTTTTTTTTTTTTTTGGTTTTTTTTTGGGTAGGGGAAAGATCTACAGAGAGACGACTTGGGATTGCCTACTTGCAATAACATGTATGGAACGGCCCATCTTATGAAATCTTGCAGTACATATGGAAGAATCACAATGTAACGAACAATTACCTTTTACCACTTGGGGCACATGCCCTATAACGAACGCGATTTACGTCACAGATGATTATTGTTTATACTCAAGTTTCATTTTCATCCTTTTTGACTCTCATTTCTATTTCTATCTTCATAATTCCGTACATCACCCAATGCTTATGCGCATGCTTAAAAGACGTATATATCAACAGCATCTACCGCAACACGTCTCAATACTTGTAAAACGAAGTCCTCCGTCTTCGCGGCGGCGGCATACTAGAAACGGGAACCTCGATATTATTCACATATTTCCGCGCAGTCGGACGTGAATATCGAGCTCGACGGTAGACACCCGGCATGTCCTCGCTGGCACGGCTCGTCGAGTCATAATCCATGCTCGACCCATATGAACTCGAGGCCCCCTTTGAGGAGCGCCAGCGTTTGCCAATGAGCCAGTCCGTTGCGTTGCTGAGCTCGTCCATCCACCATAGGCCGGCAATGATGATGATGACCGTGACGGGCAAGGCCACTACCCAATACAGCCACTGGTCAAAGTCCATGTTGCGGATGTCGTTGGTGTTCATGCCAAAGATGCTCGAGATGGCGCTCAGCGGCAAAAAGATGATGGTGACCAAGGTGAAGGCGTAGATGGCGTTCTCTTGCCTGTCCTTGGTCCACTCCATCTTGTACGTAATCTCCCGCTCCAGGTCCTCCGCATACTCTGTGTTTCGCCGGAATTCGTATTCTCTCTGGTCAACCAGGTTGGCGCAGTCAGCGAGAAAGAGGCTCCGAAACCCTCCCCTGTCCGTCGACGACAGATTGGAAGCCGTCTCGAGGTCGTTCATAAACTGAGCGTCAAATTTGCCTCGGTCGTATACGACGCGTCCGACGGTTCTGTCAACCGCAGCCTCATAATATTGAGGTCTAAGAACTCCGCGTTTCATACCGCCAAACTCTCCCCTCATACGTGCCGGCAATTCCTCCCCATATCGTACCATGAAGTTTCCGTCCGTGATGCTGGTTTTGTTTCTCAGCATAGCTATTATATTTTTCTGCCTTGATAAATTTCGTTTAATGGCAGTCATTTCTTGGTTGACCAGATCAATACGATGCTCATACGTCCGACTGGGAGCCTTTGTAGTAATGTCTGTATCCTAGTAATGGTTAGCAGTTGTGGCTCGGCCTCTGTTAGGTGAACTTGCATACCAAGGAATTGAGATAGAGCGAGTATGTATCGCAAATATCATCATACTTGCCCACGTCGTCATGCAGGAGGTTGAGTGCTATGAGGGACATGACCTCTGTTGGCTGCATGACAGCCTTGTCCAAGAGATTTTGGCCGGAAATGCTTTCAACCATTTTCTGCATCCCATCTTTTAGCAGTGATTTTGCCTTTGTCATGTGGTTGTACCAGTCGAGCGCATAGGTGCCATAAATCAGGCCGAAAACAATGTGCAGCCACGCAGTCACAAGTTCATGAGGCAGTTCCATGGCGGCGCGATCTTCCTTGCCCGCAAAGGACATGAGATTTTGAAACGAGTGTATGTCCTGGGTCAACTGCCAGAGAGTGTTTCTGATTTCTGAAACCGGAGATGAAATCACCCGAACATCATCATCTTCGTCCAGTTCAGGCATCTATCACAGTTGAATGTTAATCAATGCAAACAAAAAGAATTGCCCAGGGATTCTCACCTCCATCAGCTTGCTCAGAGCACCCCAGTATTTGCCCGTGGTAGGGCCATGGAATGAGAGAGGGAAGAATAATTGAAACAACGTGCCCGCCATATTGAAGACGTCAAGCCTTTCCTCATATGAGCGGCGGACTGTATCGCTCTTCTTCTCTTCGATACGAGCCGCTAGTTTCTCGAGTTGGCCATTCACACCGTCTCTCGTCATAAGTTCGCATCTCTTGTATCCTCGCTGTGCCGTGTAAGAAGTCTTTTCTGTCATGAACTTCTCGGCCGCCGATAGTTGTTCCTGAAGGTCCTTGAGAACGGAATCGCTGGATGAATCTGCACTTTTCGACAAAAGTGTGAAAACGTGCAGGTATTCTGGTGCAGCTGCTGAATGCTGGGGGCGCTTTTCAGATGCCTTGTTGGATGTTGCATCCGGCTTCAGAAATGTTCGTAGCAGGTCGGGTGCATCTCTGATGTATTCATTAGCCATATTTCCACCAAACAGCCATTCCGCTGGTGAGGATGCCGGGAACACCATACGCAATCTTCAATTTCAACCTCACATCGCCGCGTTGTCCCTCGGCTAGGTTCAAGATTTTGGCCCAGTTTCCCGCTGTTAACAGGTGATCTTTGCGCCAAAACTCGAGCTTCCGCGGCCAAAAGGCACGAAAGTGGGAGATGAAGGCCTGGAACCACTCAGCCATGTCAACTTTTGGAAGATGTCAGAGAGACACTTACAAACCACGTTTGGCATTCCTTTGTTGCCAAAGACCACATTACTGCTCCCCCGTATGATACGAGAATTCTGCCCGGTCCTCCTCCTGCTTGGCCGGGCTCCGTGCTCATTTTCACGGTTGTACCTTGCAAGTGCGACTGCGGCATTGTACCACAAGTGACGAGGACGCCAGTTTGGTGTCAGCAGATTATGAAGTTTTGCGGGAACTTGTAGAATACATACTATTGCCGACAATAAGGCACCACAATTGCGAGATGTGAAAACATTCCCCCCGCGGAACTTGCCCAATCTGGCACACTGCTTGGTCCATGTCTCTCTGCTGGCCACTGCGAGAGTATTGGGATTGGAGCAAAGTCTGGGCCGGGAAAAGTGCCGTATTCGAAGTTGAGGGGGCTGCAGAATATTGCTGCAGATGGAAATACGGGATGCAGATCCAATTGGCGGCATGTGAGTCCTCGGATGGTTTCTTATTGGACGATTGTATCGAAGTCTGGATGCATCGAGGCTCCATGTAACCTACTTTTGCACCTTGGGGATTGTATCGGGTCTTGACGCATTGCCGCTTAACTTCGGCCTGCAGGTTAACCACTGCCTTTCTTTCAGCATCGCGAAAGTGGAATTGTTGCGATACTTGGACCTGCAAGGATTATCAGCCTGAAGTCAGCCACGGAATATCCAAGTTTCATTACCCAGAATGCGTCAAAGTTCATTATGTCTTGGCGAATATGTCTGCGGCAGAGTAAGCACATGAATCGAGACAAACAAGCGTGCACAGCGGGCGGGTTTGGCCTTACAACCATCGGAACAGAGGCTGCTTTTTGCCTCTAGGGTCGTGTAGAAGTGTCAAATTCACATCGTGTTGAGCCCCAAGCTCTGCTGTTCCAGAGTAGCTGGAAGAATAAATCCCAGGGGCAGTGATGACATTTGAAAGGGGACGTTCGATTTTTTGTGTCGATTCGCTCTCAGTTGTTGGGGTGTCCAGGTCAGACAGCTCTGCATCCTTTGATGGGTCCTCTGCTGGAAAGACAAAGTGAAAGTCGTCAAACGCATCAATGTCTTCAATGATGGGGCTCACGGGACGATGGACACGATATCCATCTCCCTCGGCATCGATATATCGTACCGAGCGCGGCTCTTCCCGTCTCTCGATGATGACTTCCTCCCTGATGCGAGAGTCGAATTGTTCGTCGTCATCTCTACGCCTCCTAAACCGCGCAACCCGATCATCTTCATCTGAAGAGGCCGCATGATGAAGAGCAGTAGGAGACTCCGTGATGGCGGCCTCAACCCCTGAGCTGTCTCTGGCAAAGGCTCGTCGTTGCTGCAATTGGGGGGCAGGGGGCGATCTAGTGACACGGCTGCGAAGTATCACCGGCTCAGCTTCATCATTGGACTCCCGGCGGTTGACAAATTCGTCTCCGCTCTCATTGAGGAAATCGCGGCGTGTAAACTCTCGCCTTGCACGTTGAGGCGGCTACACATACACGCATCCGTCTGGTCAGCCACGATGCTCTCTACTTGGACGCAGACATACAAGGACAAACCTGAAAGTAAGCTTCGGAGCCCCCAGTGGAGCGGCGCGGGCGTTCGCTGCGCCGTCTGGAGTCGTCGTGCGCCATGTCGGAGATGATTTGCCAGTCGAGGCCTGACTCAGACGCTGGGATCAGCTAAACTCAGGAACATGGAGACGAGAGTTTGGCTACTGTAGAGTTGATGTTGGCGGGAGCGGTTGGTCCAGCAGGGCTCGGGGTTTTAGTTGATTGGCATCACGGAGACGGGGATAATTGCGTTGTAGGTTGTTCTTCTCTTCTGAGTAGCAGTATCAATGCTCCTCTCTTTTTCTTCATATTTTCCTCTCTTAAAATCGAATCCTGCGGCGGCTGAAGAGGCTGAGGCTGATCATGCAAGAGACGACCAACACATGACCGGGATTGAGTTAGTGTCTTACTTTGTCTGCATCCCCGCCCCGAAATGGATGGGCAGGCGGTGAAGGGAAGACGTGTAAGCGGGTGCAAATTGCCGGGTATTTAGGAGAAGGAATGAACGTGTTTGCTCTTGCTCTTTCTCTGCATGATATCATGAGGTACTAAGGTAGGTGTTTTCCATTATGACTGAGTCTACGGAGAATCAAAGTATACCAATATACCTCATGATGTATTCTCTGTCGAATATATCAGGCAATTCAAGATAACAAAGTAACTGGTGTCAATGGAGTGGTCAATCCATTTTCCACAAGATGGGTACCTAGGTTTACTTGCATTTGCAGATGTGAAATTGTCCAGTGGTAATAGTATCATCTCACTTTCAGAAAACAACATTAGCTTCAACATGGAATATGATATGGACACCTTTACCGCGAGTTACCAAAGTAACCCTCATTGCAGTTCCACTTATTTCGTCTCCTTAGCACAAAGGTACCTGTTGATGGGATCAAAGTAACACTTGGCCAAGTGCGGGCATAAGAGGTAGGTGGGAATAGTACTTGCATCTGCTGATCAAATCTCCGCGCGACCAATGTTTAGCTACAGCTGAAAGGGGGACTGAGGAGCAGGAGTCGAGTTTAGTGCTTGTACCTGTGCCGTACCTGACGATGGAAGCATTTGCTGGATTCGGCTGACCGCAAGTACAGACTCGTACAGCAATACTAAGAGAGGTGCTTACGAGTAGATGCCCTCAACGCGCCACTTGCCTAGTGGCTACTAGCACAGGAGGTTACAGACAATTGGATCGTGGATATGCGAAAGGGCCTGCAACAAGGACTACGACTATGCTTAATCCACCGACTCTGCGCCGTGGGTACAGCAATTACCTTACTAATGTTGTATGTAAGATAGGCATCGTACCGTACACGTACAGTAATATACGATGGAGTACCTAATCTACTAATGTACGGGAATAGCTTACTGTACCCTGTGCCGAAGGATTCCAGTCCAACAACGGCGCCAAGGCAGATAGATGGAATGGATTGCCGTGGTTCATGCTGGCTGCCATCACGTCAGAAGGTTCGTCCGACCAGGAGGCTACTGTGCCGAGTCACAGTATGAGTTACTGCTGTATCCAGAGTTCATCAATCACAGGCCGAAGCAGAACAGCCCAGATAAAAATCAGGCCAGACCACAAGCTGCGCAACCACACCATCTGCAAAGTGGCACGCATCACAAGATCCAGACAAAAGAAACCAAAGCCACAGCCCACCCACGGCTGTGCCTGAAGCGGCCTAAGGCGAGTTGGCGAGCATTCTTTTGCTCCGAGCACGAGGGCTAATTGGCGACTAGGTTGATTCCCCACCGTTCCCCTACTTTTAATTTACGAAAGGCGACGTGCAGCAGCCAGAGCTGCAGGGGGGCCAAAGCGGTGCCTTGCTGGGATGGACCTTGCTGGGAATTGCCGCTGTCTTGTGTCCAAAGGAGCGCGTCAGCCGCCGTGGTGCTGTTGCGAACTAAGAGAGAGAGAGAGAGAGAGAGAGAGAGAGTTGTGTGTATGGAGGACTGCGTGCCATTGGAGGGCCAAGCCGGAGATTGCTGGCAATGCAAGGAGGGCCCTCGATGCTCCGTCCTGGCGCTTGGGGGTTGTCCTTGTTCATTTGTGCGTGCCGCTGTCAATGGCCCGGCATGGGATGAGGGCGAGGGCTGGCTGGGCTGGCGGCTAGCCGAAATCTCCTGCGCTTTAAACGAGGACATGCACGAGGCACGGAGGAGTTTCTCCGTCTGGTCAGGGACAAAGGCTGTCGGGTCGGGGCGCATAGCCCATTGCAGACACGCGATGATGATATCAAGTTGGAGTCGAGGGCAGACCCGACCACGTGGGCGAGCCGTGCCTTTTCGACTCAGAAGAATGGAGGGGAGAACAAATAGCATGTGCCTGTTCCTGTTCCTGTTCCTGTGCCTTGTGCCTTGTTGGGGGATGGAGTCCGCAGGCCAAGGCAAAGCTTCCGAGGGGCCCGAGCAGACGGCACCGTCTCGATCCATCCTGGGCTGGGCACACGCCATTTTCTCGTCTCCATCTCTAGGCGAGTTGAGACTTTGTGGAGGCCATTTGATCCATTATTGGCAGAAGCAGGACATTCCAGAGGCAAAGAAAGTTGTGGGGATCAAAGACGACGGAAATCAGAGCGATAAGCTTTCAGGACCATGTTTGATGGGACGAGGCGATGCAAGAGGAAGAAGAAAAAAAAGTTTGTTCGGGATCCATCGATCCGTCAAACCTCAGCAGTACCCAGCTTTTTTGACTCGATAGAACCAAACCTTTTATCTTTAGCTTTAGTAATCGCCAACTTTACTGCTTGACATCACCGCCTTTGGTGGTGCTCGTGGGTTACCTGTTACGAGCAAACCTGCCGCTCTCGCCTCCATTTTACTTTGCTCATACGAGTACTTCATCTCCTCTTGCTGCATGCAAATCTCGGCCTGTGCTGGCTTTTTCCCTGTGCCCCCCCGAGCCAGCCCAGCCCACACGCCCTCGGTTGACCTCCACCCCAGCTCAGCGATTCCCCCCTTCTTATCTCGCCGTCTGCTGCACCTCGTTCACATTGGGCTCGAGGGCCGATCACCCCAAGGGTACGGAGTCCACGTACTCGTACTGGCTGTCTATCAGCGGTCGATCCACGTCGCCGTCGTTCATCGCAGTATCTGGACTAGCTAGCTAGCTGGCTGGTGGGTTGGTCCTCGCGTTTTGGCGGAGACGAGAAAAAAAGAAGAAGAAATAAAGAAGAAGCGAGATCGAAGCCCCCGCGAAAAAAAAAAAAAAAGACGAGAAGAAGCGAAAGACCCTCCCAGGTGAAGAAAAAGAACAAAGCAAGACGAGGGAGGGAAAAAAAGGAAGAAGAAAGAAACAACATCCAAACCCGGCCGTCTGACCTCATAACGGAGCACCGGCTGGCCTTTATTAGTGCTCGTACATACTCGGACGGATACGTGCTCCATCTCCATCTCCATCTCCATCTCCATCTCCATGCCTGGTGCCTGGACCTGGTCACAGCGCTTCCGACTTTGTCTGTCTCTGTCTCCTGCTCGCCTCCACACTTGGCTTCGCGGTACTTAGACGTGCATGCAGCGCGGATCAAGGGTGAAGCGAAGCGAAGCACAGCCGGCAGAGCTCAGACAGCCGCCCTCCACCTGAAATTTGCTGCTCCCCACGCACGCCATACGCCATACAGTCTACGAATTATTGCGTATCGCATATCATTGCACATCCGTATCGTTGCTCTAGTTATTACTCTGCTCTGCAACTCCTGGGCGTGGGCACGAAGCTCCCGGGGCACGAGTCGCGGGCGCAAGACAAGACACACACTAACCCATCATTTCAGCTGCCTGGTGGACGAGACAAGACAGGCACAGGACAGGCACAGGACAGGCACAGGGCAGGACAGGGGTTCGACGCCCATTCGCCCATCTGGCATTTGGCACCGATATTGACGCCGGCATTGGCATTTTGCTTGCAATCTACATACATACGAGTGCCTACATTGGCATCTGGCGCTGACGAATCGAATCGCGCCCAGCCCAACCGCCACCCGTACCCATACCCATACCCATACCCATAGCCGTACCTGACTCCCCCGACAGCCAAATCAAATCAAACCCCCCCAAATCAAATCAAAGTCGCCATGTCGACGTCGTCGCCGGCCAGCTCGTTCCCCGGCAGGGCTCCGGCCACAACCAGGTGAGCAACGAAATCCAAGGACCAGCGACCACAGAAGCGACCGAGCCCCCCCCCCCCTGGCTTCGCTAGCCTCAAGAGCCCAGAAGCCGTCGTCTGTGCTTCTTTCGCTAGCCCGCCTTTCCCTGCCCTTCATCCCAACCCAAAACCACATTCTCGCTGTTTCTGCTGTCCAACCCAACGCCCCAGACACAAGGCTTTGTTGCTTTGGCTTGGCCGTGTTGGTTCTGGGACGGGCTTCTGCTTCTCTGGGAGCTCTAGTGCCGCCTTCACCCACCGCTGCGAAGAGAAGCTCTGCCCGCCGTCTGCCACTTGATGCTTCTGCGCATTCTTCCTCTTGACTGCTTTCATCTCACCTTGCCCCCTGACCCCTACCGCCGCGGTGAATCGCCGCTCGACGTTGCGCGCAAGGTTGCCCCGTCTATATTTGGACCCCCCGGTTTCATCTTGCCGCTTACCATACTGTACCATCCTCATTGCGATTGCCCGGTGCCACGGAGTACGGAATTACCCTTGACCCTCATTACCTTTCAAAGCCATTTGCTTCTTCTTTGTTTTGTCTTGCTTGGCCTGCCTCGGCTCTGCTCTGCACTGCACCGTCGTCGCTGTTTGGTTGCTTTTGCTTTTGCTTTTGCCCTTCTTTTTCGCTTTCGTCTCTTTGCCTTTTGCCTATGCTTATGCTTATGCTGATGCCCGCCTCCGCCGCAACTACTACAGATCCTCACGCCCATCCATACCGAGCCCGCTCTCCTCGCCCAGCTACACAGCGTCCTCGCTGACCACCCCGGGTCCTCCTTGGCCCAGTACCGCCGCGAGCCGGAGACGCCCGCCGCCCATTGACACGCGATCGAATAGCAATACGACCCCATCTTCTGCGGGTGGGCACACTACCTTCTACTCCGACTCGTCCAACCCCTCCAGCCCAGACGAGGAGCGCCCAAGGTGCGTCGCCATACAGCCA